AAACCCTGTCCAACCGTCACACCTCTGGTCTGCAGACCAAAAGTCTATAAGACCACGATTCCAAGTATTTTTGATTTCAAAAATCTCTAGGGACCATGATTGCTATAATAGAAAAGACCTGGGATCCGGGTCTTCTGGGCTTCTGGTCTGCAGACCAAAAGTCTATAAGACCACGATTTCAAGTAATTTCGATTTAAACATCTCTAGAGACCATGAATGCTATAATAGACAAGACCTGGAATCCAGGTCTTCTCGGCTTCTGGTCTGCAGACCAAAAGTCTATAAGACTACGATTTCAAGTAATTTCGATTTGAACATCTCCAGGGACCATGAATGCTATAATAGAAAAGACATGGAATCCAGGTCTTCTGGGCTTCTGGTCTGCAGACCAAAAGTCTATAAGACTACGATTTCAAGTAATTTCGAATTAAAAAATCTCTAGGACCATGATTGCTATAATAGAAAAAGAACTGGAATCCCGGTCTTCTGGGCTTCTGGTCTGCGCCCCCACCTAGACACGATCATGCCACTGGCACAAGTACCTTTTTTGTTTGCACTATTGTGGTATCGCTTCTTTTAATGATAACGACCATACATTTTGCACATCAATTTTGCTGAATGCATGTGGTATTTGATTAATACTACATGTCATAGTGATTTTTCAATCAATGTCTCTGTTTTAACAGGGTTTCTAGTACATCAAGAGTCGTTGCCGTACAGCCGGTCTCCATGTGTCTGCTCTGCCCGCAATGCGCAGCTTTGGTTCGTCAACCCGTGTCAGGTCGCTGTTCCTTCCGCTCACTAGGTTAGCAAGGATGATCATGAACGCTACGAGGCTCCTATACCACGCTTGCGTCTTGAACCTCACGAGGAACGCGTTGCACGACTCCACTGCTGAAGTGTTCATCCAACGCACAGCGTCGTAATAGTCTGCACGTGATCGAACGAGAGTTTTGATAGGTTCATTCACGGGGAGACATGGCATTGTACAAGAAACTTGCCGCAACACACAGTCTAGACGGACGCCCCTTCGAGCCAATCGAATGCACACAAGTGGATCTCACCTGTGTTGTACGATGGACCACACTTGTGTGCCTCCGCAGTCGTGTGGTGGAAGTGAAATCTGCAAGGGTGGAGCATGGATTGAGATTCGAAAAAGGTACGAAAAGTGCACAATCGAAGGTTTTTGCGGTGCTCGCATGGCAAGCGCACAAAGGACACAGAAATTGCCTTCAATAAGAGTGGCGCTTGGCTTGCACACGTATCTCATCCGCACCTGTCCACAAGAAAGCGGACGTCTGCAAAGAACGCTGGCTCTCTCCGCATCGCGTAGGCGCGCAGCTTGCACGCATTGTCGTGGACGAGGTACAGAGGAAGGTCTCTCCGATTGAGTCAGGTGTACAAGACGGTGAAGGCGTCTCGCGGCGACTCTCCTCGAAGCATTACGTGGAATCCATAGATGACACAATGAGGGCACGTGAAGACAAAGCCGCCCTTTGTGTGCCGCTGTAAGCACTTTTTCTTCTTTATTCCGCTTTCCAACGCGACCTTGGCATCGAATTCTCCAACGGTGAGCCCGCTTCGACACCGATGCTCTTCGTTGCGCTCGCAAGACCTCCCAAGGTCGTCTTCGAACGGTTCGTACTGCGGAAGGGGACGTTTCTGCTCCCAACCCGGAAGAACGTAGCAGCCTAGCCCTCGCTGCTCATGGCAGTAGGGATGGTCCGGAGGAAGAGGGCCAGGTTCCGATCCGTCCGCCTCGAGACCGAGCCTCTCGTTCAACAGGATCCGTTCCGGCGGAAGAAGGGCGTATTCGTGCGGTGCTGGAGGGGAAAGGCTTTCGACCCCGGGGAGAAGTGCATTCGCCCGGGCCGCCCAGAAGTCGAAGGCTTGCTGCTGCTCGACGCTCAGGGGTTTTGGCTCCCGCTCCAGCCAGACGCAGACATCGAGGCCTTCGATGGCCGACAATGCCCACCCTGCCCGTCCAACCCCGAGCCCCACCGCTCCCCGTGCAAACAGCGTCAAACGGTACAGGTGATGTAGGGCGGGATGGAAAAACGGGGGGAAGCGATCACCGTAGTGGTCCAGCAGCCGGCGCAAGATCGGGGAATGCTCAGACAGGACTGCTCTATCGTCGTCATTCGCGGCTTCCCCTAGCAGAAGCTTGCGGACCACTCCCAGGGCCTTTCCATGCTGGATGAGATTGGAGTCGTCCGAGACCGAGAACGGCGCGCCTAGAGTGTAGAGTAATTCCGCCCATCTGTGGGGGCAGCGGGGAGGCCATCGATGCTCGTCTTGCATTGCTTCTCTCTCGATGCCCTCCAGCAGCTCGCACATCGCCTTGTTCTTCGATCGGATCTGGCCGACCTGGTCACCGGCAACCCACCGGCGCCAGTGCAAGAGAACGGGATCGGCATCGACATCATCCGGATCTTGGACAAAGTTCGTGACCACTTGCACGTCGTCTCTGTCAAGCGCGACCTGCACAAGAAGACTCCGGCTCAGGTCAGAGCATGAACGGGGCTTGATGTTTCGTCACTGACAATAGTCGCTGACAAACTCACCGTATTGGAAAGACAGACAAGCTTGTGATGGGCATGCTTGGATCTATATCAAACCTTACCAGGAGCTCCTCGTACTCTTGGGCACTGGGCGTCTTTCCCAGCTCGGGATCAACAGCATGGTGCCCGCTGAACCGCGCTACAAGCGTCCGGACCTCAGGTTGATGCAGGAGACGCCTTTTCAGGCCCCCTCCCGCAAGAGACACCGCCAGATAGTTGCTTCCGGACTCCATGACTTTTCGGACGTTGAATCCATTGGAGTCTCTACTAGGCGCCGTGAATGGCCGAAGCAATGCGGCATCTGTTCCAGCAAGCCCACCCTTCTGACGCGTGCCGTCAGCGCAAGCAAGCCCCGCGATACCGTCGCATAAGAGTACCTTCACAAAGAGACGATCCAGTGCTCTTGAAAGGGTGAATCCATACGTCTTGATTGCCGACGCTTTGGTGACGTCAGCCATGAGCGACCGCAAATAGTTGGTGCCAGAGCTTGGACACTTGGACACGCCAAACCTGCCCACCCTCTGGTGACGTCAGCAATGTGCAACCCGAGAAAAGTTTGTGCCAGACCTTGGACACTTGGACACGCCGAGAGGGACCCATCCCGATGATGATGTCAGCAAACTTGAAACAACGACCGCTAGGAGTTTTGTGCCAGAGCTTGGACACTTGGACACGCTGAGCCGGCCCGCTCTCTGGTGACGACAGCAATGGCGAAGAAGGGGAATAAGAATTTCAACGGTGGTTGGAAGCACCGAGTGCCTTCACGGATTGTAAACGTGGACATCGAGCATTTGCAAACCGCACCTGAGGATGTGGTCCGCAGAGGCTACAGCACTCCATGATCTGCCGCCCGCACAGCTTGAAGAAGTCAAGGCTCGCCTTACGCCAACACTCCTCCGACAAGAATGTCGCATCGGGGTTGTATTGGCGCCGCACGGCATTCCCAGCTGCAACGAGCGAGCTGAAAGCAGCTCCTGACTTCTGAACGGTTCGTAGCAGCATTTGACAGGCCGCTTGTGTGACGACCACCCGTCGCGTCCATGCGTACAGTCTGAGCGCCTCTCCATTGTAATGAACGGTATGCTTCTCGGGGCACGCGCAGCAATAGATTCGGAGCTTGACCTGCACGAGAGTAGATGCCAAATGGAGCCCATTGTTGACTGACAGCTTTGGTTCAATCCAGACTTCAGGCTAGTAGAATCAGGTTGAAGCATTGGGACTTAGCTTGAAACATTGCGCTGCTCTTCATACAAACCGTCTGGTCTCATTAATAGAGTATTCTTCGTGTCGTTTCTACTAACTCATCCATCAGCTGAGTCAAGCAGGTAAGACAAAGGCTATAGAGCTATGGGCAATGATCTTTACCTCTTGCGACCAATACAAGTCGTATACGTGGGCACTCTGCCACAGCCCCAACCACCTGGTCCGGCAAGGAGGTGGCGCTCGAGGGCACGGGGCGGAGAGACTCCCCGCAATGCTCAGCTCCTCGAAATCTCGGGCCGTGAGCTCGCTCACTCGAATGGGCCTTCGCAACAACGACACCTCGGGGTCGTGGACCTGCCAGGAGTCCGTCGGGCGAACGAGCTTGGGCACCTCCAGCTGCACGCCCTCAGCTTCCATGGGCAACACCGTCGCAGCACCGCGCGAGGCACCATGCGTGCAAACGTTCGAGGGGCACACGCAGACATTACACACCGGAATTGACAACGCGTCTCGATCCTCGACCTGGAGGGCACTTTTCGGTCCCCGCCCCAAATCCTCAGCTGCATCCGACACAGCCTCCCCCGTGGTACCCGTTGCAGCGTTCGGCTCCTCCGGCTCTGTGCCTTTCGCCGCCCAGAACGTCTTGCTTCTCCGTTTGCCCGATCTCGCGTTCGCCCTCTCAACGACACCGGAGCTTTCCCCTTGCTCGGATCGAGCTCGCTTCCCGTTCGTTTGTGCAGACGTGCAGCACCTCGCTGCGCAGGGCTCCACGTCTATTCCAGCGCCGCCAAACACCCTCGGATGCTGCTTGCAGAAGCAGCTCGACCCTTCGCATGCGGCCCTCTCGTGACTGCCAACGACCAGCTCCGCGATGTATCCGTCCACGTCGGAGTCTGCGGTCCCCGGCCGGCTGTGGGCCGTGACACTCCCTGCTCGGCTATCTACCAGCCCGGCCTTCAAAGCCGTTTTTGCGAGCTCGAGCTGCCCCTCTGAGAACGAACTCTTGCTCAGTTTGTCCACGCCGCTCGGTCGACTCATAGCTCGCTTCACCCCTTGAATGTGCGAGCAATCAGCCGTCTTGCTGCATCCGCTCTTCCTTCCCTCGCAATACCAGCCCATCTGCGCCCCCTCTCCATGATGAACCATCGTCCTTTGAGGTGAGGGCGAACCAGCATTCCAGTACACCCCAAAAACCCGCTCCCCGATCCTATCGCATGGTATTTCTACCACCTTTGGCCCCCTCTGCAACGATATGGCGCTCGCAAGCCTCGGCGACTCCAATGCCTGTAGCGCAAGCTTGTGCACGCAGGGCGCCTGCGTGTACCGTCGGCCGCAATCGCAGGTGCAGCTCACATTTCCCATAGTGTCCCAGTTCACCGTCTCAAGCAACGCGTGCACTTTGCTAGGACGCCCGAGGGGTTTAAGCCCCGCTGCGTTGTGATTCCAAGTGCTAGCCAGATAGACGGTACTAGCGGATCCAAGCTCGCCAACGCTGTACATAGCACACTCTCCTGATCGGAGGCCATCGAGATACATCATGGCTTGGTCGACGATGGTCCGACCACCCTTCGCGGCGGACGCTTCGCCGTTCTCTGTGTGAAGTTGTCCCTGCATCCACACCGGGATCGGACTACGTCTCGGAGCAAGCATTGAAGAGCGTTTGTCTACCGCCCATTGGTCGCATGTCTGACTGATCCATCAGCATAAGATCTTTGATTTTTCATCTGTTGCCGTATGCTTTCTGTAGTTGTGCACACTTTAGTCAGATACACAGCAATTTCTAGGCCGCAAGAAAGCATGTGGATAGTGCTCAATCAAACATTTGCAAGCAGATGTAGAATGCAGGGTTCGAAGAACTGCATTCGTGCTTACCTTCACTTGCGCGTTGGACCTTGCAGTTTCCCCCACTTTCCGCCCCCTGTTCACTGCTGCCTGTGCAGCGGTACTGCTGCGGTTTCCACTGAATGCAAGCCGACCCTCCTCTGCCCCCTCTCGCATATCGCCAATCTCTTCTCCCGACAAATCTTTTAGTTGGCTCCATGCCTCCCCGAGCGTTTTGCGCTGGAACCAGACTTCAGTGGAAACCACCGAGTCTCGGTTGGTCCTTGCTACGCTGATTGTGAGCTTGTTAGCACACTGGGTTACAGGACCGAGATGCCGCTTCACACACTCCAGACAGAGGGGCTGGCGCTTTCTCTGACCTTTGGCTACCGAATCGGGAGAGCTGATTGCAAACCCCTTCAATGCGTGGTTTTTCCGGAACGAGAGTTGGTGGTCCTTTGTCACTAGTGTTTGTTTGCAGAGTGGGCACTTGGTAGCTAGTGAGTTAGCGGGAATGGTTCCGTAGGCCCGCGGATCTACAATGATGTTGCCACAGTCGACCTCCCTCTGAGTCGCCGGGTGCAAGCTATGGGCCACACTGAACCCCGGGGTCGGTTGCATGTCTTCTTCAGGGTGGCCGGACTGCTTGCTGGTTAGCGGCGGTGGTTCGGAGAGATGGCTGGAAACGAAGAGATGCGGAAGAGCTCCACTTGGAAATGAAAGAAATGACGGCATTATCGACCTTTTATACCCTGATTTCCGGGCCGCAGCTCGGGAGTCGGGACAGATGCGGACGCCCTCTAGTCTGCTTACGTGGCCGGTCGCTGCGTTGGCAGGCCTATTCGGACGGTCCGATAGCCTGCTTACGTGGTCGGGTGCTCTGTTGGCAGGCTTCCAGAGTGGTTCACTCGACAGAACATATTCCGCGGGCGGTCCGGCGGGTTTTTGTCGAGAGATGGGTCTGGCTCTTAACCTCCTCGACCGCCCCGGGCCCTAAACCGACACTCGCGGCACCCGGAACAAGTCACTTCCGCGCTCAACGTCGAGTAGGGGGTCTCGACCCACAATTCCTCTACGGTACACGGTCCAACTTACCGGCACATTGACGGTTTCTTCCGCCAGGAAGACGCACCGGCCGCTGTCGACGCCGTCGATAAGCTACTTGGCACGCGCGCGGATTCTGGGCCGTCCGTTTTATGCCGTTCAACAGATGGTGAGCCCGAAGCAGCTAGCCAGGAATAGGCAACTGATTACAAAGAACCGGTACCCTTACTTTTGCAGCTCTTGACACGCACTGGCTGTACTTTCCACACCGCACTCTTTCTGGATCTTTTCCCACTGCCTTTAATTGTAGACCGGTTTCTTGATGGCGCTTGTCGGAGCTTGCTTTTAGCGCTTCCGCCAATCTGTTGCCTGGCAGGCAGACCTTTGCTCATCAAGCTGATCAAAAGGTGATTGAAAGCCGCACAGGGCATAATGCTGCGGACACCCTACTTCCTGGGACACAGTGTGGCGGGCGAGGTGAGCCAGGGTCTACTGCAGCATTCATATGGGGTCTGATTGATTCTTTCTTTGATGTCTGATTCACTTTGCTAGATCCACCAGTGCATCAAAGCTGGTCCAGTTCCAGCTCTTGCATGTTTTTATTTGTGGCTAGTGCTGGCGAACTCGCACTGCAAATGGAGCTGAGTTTGTCCCACGCGCTTTGTCAGCCCCACCACCAGTTTGTTTGACTCCGTATTTGCATCATTAAAACTTCATCGCTATGCCTTTCACCAATCTGACAGATACCACCCCCATCAAACCAGCTGCATGCACTTCCCATGCACCTGCTCTAAGCATTCACCCGCGTCCATTTCACATGCCCTCATACCACCACCATCACAAGGATCATATGAAGCTTGCTGCGTCTGCTTTTGCAGTCTATCCTACGGAGCCTGTGTCGGCTAGGGCGGCAAGCGCCGGCCCAGTCCCGCTCCTTCACAGTGGACGCTGATCTGCGCCCCTCCTTCTCGTACTGTGTCCAACAAGTACAGTAAGTGCTGCAATGTGGACGAACTTGATCTTATGTAGCCACTGCTTTCATAGCCTTACTGAGTTCTTCCAGAGATTGTCGTGCAGCAAATGTGGCATATTTACCACTCTTGATTGCTGCGCTTCTGAACACCCCACATCAGCATTTTCTCTGAAGGTCAGGTGACATTTAAAAGCAGATCAAATGGCCGCCAGTAGGAAACTGCTACTTCTATCAGCACTTGCAAGTTTTCCATGTTCCTTTTATATGGTCGCTGTGATGACTCGTCTTCTAAGCTGATGAGGGAACAGTTTGACTGCAGGAAGCATGACTATGAGCACTACTTGTGCGCGCTTCAGTTGCCCCCGCAGCTCAGGGCTGCGAGCTTTGCGCTCCGAGCATTCAATGTTGAAATTGCACAGGTGTGTCTGATTATCCGATCCAGATTTGGTTTCTATAAACTCGGGTAAACTTTCCACTGTACGCAATACTTTTTAGAACTGGATCAACCAGACGCCAATACTTCCATACACGGCTTTGGTCAAATACCAGACAAGCTAATTCGACGCTTCTATGCTGGAATTTTCAAACGAGGGAAGGTGTTCTTGCTCGATGTACTGCACTCGGTGTTCTCTTACCCACTCGCTTCTCAGATGATTCTGACTGCTCTTAGTGATGTGACCTTTCCACTGCAATCTGCTCGGATTCCTTTGCAACATCTTTCTTAAGGAGCCAATGATCAGCGTTTTCTCAGCTTGTCATATGTCAATCTTCTCAGGTAGGAGATCATGCGCGGGAACTGATTCTGGGCCAGATGCGCATGGTTTGGTGGAGGGACGCCATCGACTCCTTGTACAAGGTACGTCTGTGTCCCCAGACAAACCACCTCTTGACCCCTCCGCAAGCCGCCTCGCAGACTGGCTATCTTATATACTCCGGTAGATTAGAGCTTAAGTGCTCCTGTCGTGCATGGACCATTCGAAATTTAAAGACTGACGCGATATTGAACACGCGATATTGCAAATGAAACGTTGCCCAAAATTTGAGCAGGCCATCTTTTCAAAACTTTATGCCAAATCTTGATCCCCAATGAGAGGCCGAGTAAGGGGAGAGGACGAAGATAAGGAAGGATGGAACTGTGTAGCTGGTTCTGCCGGCTCGGGGTTTACAGCAAAGACACAAAACTGCAGGGATAAAAGTTAAGGCGAAAAGGATAAAGGGACTGGATCATGAAAGTTTCTAGTCGAAACATAGAAGAAACCTTGTGACTTTCAGGTGATCAGCAGCGGCCTCTTATGATGACAGGCTAATTTGATCTTGCTATATAATTGAACGAACTTGAAGAACCTTGTATCGAGGCAGTCGCGTGGACTACCAACGCGTGGACTACCATCGGATTCGAGTCGGGCTCAAAGCTTTAACCTAAATTCAAGCTGATCCGATGTTCATCCGATGCAGGGTAAAGTTTTGGAGCACCCGGTCCTCAAAGCCCTCGCCGCGGTTAGTGAGGACGTTAAGCTCACGAAACGAAGGTTTACTAGACTGATAGAAGCAAGGGTGCGTGTTTCGCTTCCTTCAATTTCCCTCTTCTGAATTGGACCATCTTAACTTCTGGCCTGTCCAGTCATTCTGCGCAACAACTTAGCTGACGAGCCTCCCGGTGTCACATGCGGCAAATTCATGGTCCTCGAAGCTCGTTGATTACTGCGACTTCAGGCTTTCTGCTGTACCCTAGTCGATTTCGGGATACCAGCCGCTCATCCGTGATTTTTGTCCGGTAGGTTTCTCGCGTGGTTCACATTACATGTTAACATCTTTCTGTGACTGCTCTTGCACGGGTTCATTTTATCCGGAACTCTATGCGTGTGCTGCTTATCTGCTCGTTTTTTAGCGTATCATTTATGACGTCATGGTCACAATTCTCAGCAGACGCCAATCGCCCAGAGAAAAAGGAATGACGTCCACGTTCCAAACTCCTTAGTCATGATACCAGCTTTTCTCCAAACTCGTTTTCCACACATAATCTGTCTTGCATGCAGAACGAAGACCTAGACTATGTGGGGCCTCCAAGAACGCTTGCAGATCTAGAAAGGTGAGGCTGCCCTTGTCTGGCAGGTTTTTTCATCTTCCGAACACAACATCAGACTGGTTAAGACCCTCAAAAGCTGATAGGCAGTTTTTCAGCCCGTTTCAAGCCCCCAAGATGCTCCAAATGCGAAAGGCGAAGCCCAGGAATTGAATGCGGAATCTGTGCCATAGGCTGTAAGAACCACAAAGAATTGCGATTGGCTAGAAATCTGCCGTGCAGAATTCAAGGCGTATTTCACGAGGCACTCAAAAGGTTCATATGCGGGTTAGTTCGGCGATAACCATTGCATAGCTGTGGCTCCAGGCTTTTGGCAATTGATGTAACGAGACGTCCCATTCTTTTGCTTTTATTCATCATGATCCTACCGCTTATCGATCATCCTTGCCGTGAGCCACCCAATCCTTGCACTCAGAAGCGAGACCTCGAGAATTTCTGCAACACAGTTACGCTGAGTCGACCGCGTCGGGAATCCTCTACTTGACCCTCGAAGCCGCCGGAATTAAGAACACGGAGGCGGATCACGCGGCTAGCCATATAGGTGAGAGTCTCGTTTACAAAGACTACTCCAACTTACTCTCGATGCATTTTCGCGGTTAGGCAACCTTCTCAGAAGGACAGATGTTCGGTAGGTCGATTATGTTGTGGTCTGCCTGTTTGGTCTTAATATTGAGGCTACTTATATACCGGTGCAAAAGCCGAATCGAACCGGCCAGGTTAAAACTCGTGCAGACAGCATCTACTCAAGCGCCCTCTTTCGCAAGTCGTACTCGTAGGAAAGCAGCTACCTTTGCGTGTCATTCACTTTGCTCGGTTGTTTGCCTGGTCTGAGGATCACGGTTCACAGCGTTCTTCATCCCTCTCGTGCTCGACGAAAAACACGAATCCGGCTCTACTTTCCCTGCACGGGTCTCGCATCGACCCTTCCATCCAACTCCGGCGATTGAGCGAACCGATTAAACACGCTGTGTGATTGAGCTTCGCTCGGCGGTCCTCCAGGTTACTAGTGTGAGCACCCTAATTTGCGGTACAATCAAACAAAGGCTCTCTTTACCGTAGCATGGCTACAGTATCTTCACCTCGGTGAATACCCGGTCTCTCTAACCTGCGGCTTAATGAAATTTTGCCGCGGCTGACTTCAGCCGCGGCATAACCTGGTTTCTCTAACCTATGATTTAACCGTAGTCGTTGCCCCCTGCAGGCAAGGCCTCTGGGCTCGCGCTGCTCCTCCGAGCGACCCCCGTGCACAGCCTCAAGAGACGCACGTACCTCCCACTGGACGTGACGGGAAAGGTACCACTTAATTCGTCGACGCCTCCTGAAATGCTGAACGCTGCTCTGCGATTTGCATATCGATCACTGCTGCTCCTCATTTTTCGGAGAGATTAGAGCTGCTCTTTTCCGGGAGACGTGACTTGGAAGGTAGCATGCTTTTGTTGGCCGTTCCCAAATCTGCTGATTGCTGCTCCTCTTGTTTCTCAACTTGCTCACTGCTGCTTGTCGTTGATCGACATGACCACTGCTCGCCCCTTCCTCGTGATTACACCGGGAAACACCTAAGCCCTGGATTGGTTTATTCACGGTTGCTCGTCTTGCGGATCCTTCACGATTCCATCGTCCCGCCTAGATCCGTTCGTACTGTTCGGAAAGCTTTCTCTGACATACGCTGACACGACGCGCAGTGTCGACTATTTCGCTGACGTGTTTGCTGACATTTGCGCTGATGTATGCGCAGCACGGCGTAGTGGAGGAGGACATTTACCAGCGGAAGAGCTCCGACGCACTAAACGCCGCCGTTTTCGAGGTAAGCTGACAAGTCTTCTCGCTTCTACTTCTTCAGCTCTCCATATGTCGAGCCAACTCAGTCGAGAATTTGAGAGGAAACAGGCTGTTACGTGGCAGCTCTGCATTGTTGCGCTGTCTTCCTGAAGTACGAGACGGAACGGAGCGAGCATGAACCAGACCTGACCTCTCCCTCGTCTTTCGAATTTTTAAAACGTGGTCTTTGCACTTGCAATAAGTGTGGCCGATCGTCACCTGGGCTCCTCATATGCCTCCGTGTTTCACACTTAGGCGAGTGTGGCTGTTCGCCGAGCAAACCTTTGGAATCTGCCGACATTTTTCCAGCTGACTTTGGGTCCCTTATATTCTTATAATAATCAGCGTAAAGTAAAGCACGCTCCTGTATCTGATTGGGACGGTATTTCACCATTCTGTCAGTTCTTGAATTGGAGCCGTCTTGCGCGTGTTGCCGCATTGCGCAGCCGTCGTTGGACCCGCTGGCTCGAAAAAACAGCCATTTTTTCTCATCTGCTGTGCTTGCAGGTTGCTGACGCCGCAAAAGCTCATCTGGAAAAGGCACAGTCGATGCGAGGATCTTTGCCAGCCGAGGCTCTCCCGATTCTACTTCCTGCGGTGAGTGAAGCAGACCTTTTCGCAAACTTGCGTAACAACTCTCAGACAGGTGCTCAGGTCTTTCGTTAAAAACCCCCACATTGGATGTCCAGACGTTTCAAATGGATGGCCTTCGCCAAACGAACTTTCTGATGGAACTGTTGATCGGGACGTCAGAGTGATTGAAGTTAGCAAGCGGTCCAACCAGTTACGCGCCACAAAGTCGCATCATGAAAAGTTCTCTCGGATTTTTCCTCGCTGAGCCACTGCAACACCTCTACAATCCCTCACTTCCTGCCCCGACAAGCAGTCTGGATCGCATTTTCATGTGGAAGCTTTCCTCCAGCGCCTGTGGGCGATTTGGTTGCCGCCCTTTTCATTCAAAGCGTGAACTCTAAGACGAGGAACACCGGATCTAGCCGGACTCTGCCGGCTTCTGAGCTTCTTGCCCAACAAACGCTGTATCTCAACAAACGCTGTCCTATGTGCAGATCCCTGTGGGTACGTACCTCGACTCGCTTCAACGGCACAACTTCGATGTTTTCAGTCCACATCTAGCCAGGGGCGTTTGCGGGGTGAATCCCCTGTGGTTGCAATCACAGATTATGTGGAAAAGCTGGAGAAGGACGTTCTAGCGCCTGTGAATCATCTGGAAGTCCGCGTCGAGTTTCCGCAGCCTTTTGCAGCTTCATGCGCATATCTTTTTGCGTCTCGCCAACTCACCTGGGCGTCGAGAAAGTCGAAATGTCGCTGGGTATACACGGTGCATCTTCGCTGATAGAGTTATATTTTCATCTTGCTCAATCTGGACATGCGAGCTGTTGAGTGTGGCGCAACGACTGGAGCACATGAGGCCTGACAGCTACAACTGTACGATTCCTTGCGCATGATTCTTACTCTCATGCATGCTGCAAGATGAGTCTCGATGACTCAACTACCCAGGTAGTAGAAGGTACGATCAAAGACAAGCCTTTGAGCAGGCTCAACTATAAGCATATAAGGTGTACATAAGTGCGGCTCTTCATGTCCCTTGTCCCGTCGTCTCGAAGCTAATTGCCAACCCGTCGCCGTCGTCAGACGCGCTGCATGCGAAGCTTACGATCAAGCTGGTCATCCGGCATACTTTTGTGCGTTCAATGTGCATGAAGCCTTATATAAGGGATCGGATTGCATTGAGCCTAGCGATGAGACATCCGGCTACGTGCGAAATTACAAGATCGAAGCGCATCTGAACAAATAGGTGATCCCTTCAGTACGTGCCATCCAGAACGTGAAAGTGTTGATCCACATATCTGCTCTTTCAATCTTTGCATGCAATATTGCCCGCACGTAGCGGCCATGTCTCTCAAGAGTTTACAAGAGGATGGATCCAGCGAACACAAGTGATGCAATGTTCTTCAATCCTCTTTCAATCCGGTGGTCAATTTGGAAAGATGTCGAGTCCCTGTCCTTGAGTTCTGGTCAAGGTTTACTCGTCGCCAGTCCTTTGTCATTAGCTCCCAGCTATAAAATTTTGTTCAGCATATCTGAATCCTGCTGTGTATTTGTTCAGCATATCTGAATCCTGCTGTGTATTACCAGACGAACTTATGCGTCGGCTGTCCAGTCAAAGAATGTTGTAATCAGACTCCGACTACCAATCTGTGATCCTGCGATGCTCCGATGTCCTAGACCGTACATATATCGTCCTATCTAGCGGGCGTACTACGTCGTTTGTCATCCCTCCGTCCTACTCGCGCGTTTGGGAAGAATCAGAGTAAAGAATGGGCTGTCGTGGGCGGTAAGCTATCCGTATCCTACCCGTCAGCACGAGGTGTGCTGCAACAAATGATCCGAACCAATGATTGCATGCGGTCCTATGTGATCCCTAAGCGGTTCTATGACCAGTCGCACCCAACACGGATTTGATTTCATCCCTTCAGAATACACCTATCCCTTCTTAGATTACACTACGGTCGATTGACATCAGCGCTGTCCTCAGTCCCTCTAGCTCGCGTTGCCTTCGTAGTTGTACAGCTGGCCCGTCTGCCACGTGGCGAAGTCCCCGAGCGGGAAGGGGTTCGCGCCCTTGTTAAAATTAACCCGGCTTCCGTCCCTGAGGATGATCTCAAGCGCGACTCCACCGTGCCCGGAAAGGTCGGCGTTGGGCGACCACCAGGCGCCCCATCCGTCCACCCGGTGCCCTTGGTGGAACCCGGAATGCTCGGTTATGAAGTTAACCTGGACATCAACCGAGATATCAGACATATGTCTCAAAGTTATGCTGGCATAAGCCAGGTTTAGATATATGTTCGAAGTGGGATGAAGCACTCACAGAATCAGCAGATAAAGCAGAAATCCACAGCCGAGTAAGCACTTCCCAAGAGGCGTTCCAAAAAGCATATGACTGGCCTCATTTCACAACGACTCTACTTACAAACGAACGCGCTCCGCTTTCATGCCCACATTACACTCTTAACCCCCGAAATCATTCAACCCCGTCCTCCGAGCACTGACCTATCTCGACTTGGTTATATCTTCCCCTGACTTCGGCATGGCCTATCTCAAATGGGTTACAATCGTAATCGGTAAATGGTTTATACTGACCTGGGCGACTTCTCCCACGCCGCTCAACCGGGAGGGGACCACCGCCTTGGCGTACTGGTTCCAGGCCTGAATGCGGATGACCACATTGTTGTCGGGGTAGTCGGGGTAGCCCAATGATTGGCAGGGGACTCTGCAGAAGCGGGAGAGGATTGTTGAGTCAGAAAGGTTCGCACGCTAACTCTGATCTTGCTGAGCCAGAAACATTCGTCCGCTAATTTTGATTTGGCTAGAGTCGTCACGTTTCGATTGAGCAAGAGCTCAGGGAAGAGAGGGGCCGAAAAGCTTTGCGACGATCTGACGAGCAAACAAGCGGAGATACAAAGATCTGCTCGAAAGGAGATGCTGAATTTAACTGTTCATGTGATCCTTCGTGTCGCAACACCCAGAGAATCTTGTTGCAACAGAGGAGCGTTTGATGCCGAGTCTCGCAACGCATGACGCTGTCGAGAAAATCTCCCGCTACTCAAGAGGAGTTCTGACAACTATCCACGGTAAGAAAAGCTGTTTCAGAAAGCGGAGTGCAATCAACTAGAGTGGAATCCCCACCTTCGCCAGTGGCCGGTGAAGATCCCGCCGTTCTTGCAGTCGATGCCTTTCCCTTTGTCCAGCGACTGGAACTCGTGGAACTGGTTGCAGCACATGTCGATGTGGGAGCCCTGGGGCGGCCAGTCACGTGGGCCCATGTCATCGATGACGTCAGTGACGTCAGTGACGACGTAGCCGCGCGAGAGGCCGCTGGGGCCGGTGAGGATGCCGCACGCGCCGCACCCGCCGAGGAAATCCATGTTGCCTGCTGCCACGTGGAGGGGGTAGCTGCAGAGAAGGATATACAAGGGGTTAGTTTAGTGGATTGCCTTGGATTTGAGGGAGTTGAGATCGGAGAGCTGCGTTCTCATTAGGGTTCTTCTCCCAGGAGGGGAACTGCTGAGAATGATTGGAAACCGGATACGGGACCCATGCACTTATCTTGGCTATAGCATAGGGCGAAATAGCAAGGTAGGTGCTAATCAGAGTAAGCTGACTGCTTCGGGAGCGTTTCTAAAATCTGCTAACACAACAGTCTACTTTCAGTCAAAAAATATCAATTGCCTTGAAGGGCATATACAGTTAAATCCGTTAACTAGTAAACAGGTTGTCGAAGAGCAAGAGACAGGGGTCTTTTCAAGGAATGAAGCTCCAAATTAAAGAGACTTAGAGTTGGTTTGTCCTGCTAGGCAGAGATCCGTCAACATAGCACACAGAAAGCTGCCAATCAAGTCAGAGTAGATTGGCTAGTCTGGAAGGACGCATAGGCCTCCTACCAAAAGAAGAAGTCGATTCAAGATAGAGCCACCACAGAGTATTTGCAGACATCGGTGCTTACAGTGCGTTTCTGACGAAGTCGGTGTCACCATTGGCATCCGTTCCGTATCCACACTGTCCGTTGCCTGTACATCAGTTGAGAAGGACGGTCAGGCAAGCTGAGAATAACTCAGGCAGGCTTAATATTTAAGCGTGTTCATAAGGAAAAAATACTTCACAGCTTTGACTCTGCAGTCTCTTCTCAAAGAAAACACAGTCTTCTCTTATGGCAGCGTTCTGTTTTGCACGTTTGACGAAGCAAAGCTGCTGACTTTCGAGCTCTCTCTTGTTTGGCAACAGAGTGTCTACAACAATGGGGCTTAGAACCAAGGGACCCTTTCCATTGTACAACAATATTGAAAAGTACAATGTAAAGCGATTTCAGAGCCCTCAATCACCAGACAGACACAGAGCTCAGGCTGCTGAAAGGGTCAAGCTAGGCTCACCAGTCTCGCAGTCCATGTTGGGCTCAGAGTAAAACGTCACAGTCACCGGCGCCGCATCGCCGAGACCCAGGGTCGACCGCCGCCCAACGTGCTCCTCTGCCATAACATCCATCACGGTCTCGTTCCACCAGACTGGCCTTCCGAGCTCGGGATCTAGCTTCTCGGCGTGGATCTCTTGCCATGTCTTTGCAGCGGTGCTCTTCTGTCCCAGCAATGCTGACACGTCCTTGAGGCTGAAGGCGTGACACGTAGCAAGTGAGCAGAGGGCCAGCAGCGCGAGCGCAGTGCCCAGCTTGTGGGGCGCCATTGCGAGAGTGCGCTCTCAGGTGGAGTTCGTGGTTTAAAGGTACTGCTGGCGTTTCGGAAGGAGAGCTGAGGACCAATGCTGAGGAGGGCTGCGAAAGTTCGTATAGGGAAGTACGGGCTTTGGTTTGCAGGCAGCGTGAGGTTTTCTCTTGCAAGCAACTGAAGGACTTCTTCTTTCTGCTTCCGCTTTCTTTGTTTTGAATCAGAAGCTCTGCTTATGAATGCTGCCGGAGCTTTCCCTTGTTCAGTCTTGGCTCCTACTCGGCTGGGTTCAAGCACCTTTGGGGCTGATTGGAACAACAAGGTATTCACAATTACAACACTTCTGTTTCTGATGCTTGTCCATCTCCGACTCCCTTGTCTATTTGAGGACATGGCTGCCAAAACTGCAGCTGAAGACATGTTCTCAAGCCAGCTGCGACTAACTGCAGCTCACTAGGATTTCAACACTTGACGTTCTAAGTTCAAGGCAAGTCAGTCTTGGCTTGGTAGGCCTTCTTGCTGGAGTCATGTACCAGGTATTGGAAGAGAATGAGGTTCGTGAAGCCCTGCTGAACGCCGTCAGAGTGCACCCGATTCTTTTTCAGAAGAAGGTAGCGCAATAAAAAAGAGCTGTACAAGGCATGTTAGCAGCCAGTCTGCTGAGCTGCTGATCAGCAGAGGTTGATCTCGCAGCTGATATCAGCAGGAGTGGTGACGCAATTTTAGCAAACTTGGCCGCCATTTAGCGCTGCACTTTGCTTGCGTGAAGACAGCGAGTGAAGGTGCTCAGGAAGCCAGTAGATTGGGCATGTCTTCATCGATCAGCGGAATAGACATATAGAAATGTTGAAAGCGGACCAACAGCAGCTGCCGGCTCTTGCACTCGAAACGGCGTCCGCCGCTTACGGCGCAGATCTTCCAGGCTGAGCTTGACATTGCGGAAATCTTCCAGAGGGAATGCCCTCCTGAGATGTACAAATGCAAACATTACCTACGCAGACGATCGCTAAGTTTGTCGACCTTCGATGGCCTAGAGAAAGATTTCAAGGTTGCTGTACGATGTACTTTCCAATATTTCCTCCTGAACCTGGATTCTTGTATCACTTGCAAAAACTACACAGAATACTGACATAAGATATAAGAGAAAACGCGGCTAGGCTTACAAACCGAGCAGCATGGACGCATTCTCAAACCGCTCGTTGATTGCAACGGTTTCACCTACTCTGACATCTACGGTCAGCAATCTTGTTGGAAATTCTAACATTGAGATATTACCGACGGTTGCGGGCCAAAGTTTTGATGGCATGCACGAGCTTGTATCCACCGAGGGACGGGTGGGGGTTACGGTAGTTGAGGGTTATTGTTGTGGTTATCGTAGAGTCTATAGTAGGCAAGAAGAGTATCAACGGCGGCATTCGTATTAGGTAGAGGAAACTCCAGATTTAACCCGATATTGGTATCGAACACCCCAGCCTGGCCCAGGCACAGTATGAAACGCAACCCTGACTATGTTCGAGCAGGCAAACCGCGTGTTTGCTATCATTAAACCGTCTGTATTAAACAATGACATTGTCATTGTCATTGTCAGGCTGTAATAACCTTATCCTTAACCTTCTGCTTAATGCCACCGAGTACCAGAGTTATGGTCGGGACACCGTCTTATGCCATCTCAGCCGTCAAATTGATCACTTTCTCATCGACGGTGAAGAACATGGTTCTAACCTTTCGAGTGCTAGGCTGCTAGCTGGAGCCGCGCCGTGATCCCAAAGTTGGGCTCTGCTTGTGCGTCACGGTCACCTGTGAATCTGACCAGACAAGGAAACCATCCTTGCAGATACCAGCAAGCGCTGAATTGCGACCAATAGAGCGCAACATTTGTGCTGGGGAACGGGCAATATTACTCTGATTACGCGAGCTGAAAGGAAACGTCACAATGGCGGGGCTCGATGCAAAGAAGGTGGCAGAGCTGAAGAACTTTATATCAGCTGTTGACGCCCATCCTGAATTGCTGGCCGAACCTCGTCTGGCATTCTTCCGCACGTACCTGGAAAGTTTGGGGGCCAAGCTCCCAGCGGCTGCTTTCAAGACCAAAAGTGTACCCACACCACCACCGCAGGCAAGTCATATGAGTCAAGCCTCGAACTTTTCTTTGATTGTTTCGGGAATTGGGCGATGGGGAGGAGGTGCTAGAAAATCAATGCAATTGTTGCATTATCATAATGCTTTTGGAGAATATCTTGATTCTGACGTCCAGACATCATCTGCAGCAAGTCTGTTAAGGAAAAAGCAGGAGTCAAGATTGCTTATTATCCTTCCGGTGGCATGCAAGTCAACAATAAGTGTCCAGTAGAAGGAAAGCCTCGGACAATGCATTAGTCCTGTAACTGATTGCATCCCTTTACGCATTCAAGGCAGCATATTTTACAGCTTTGTATGAACCCCAATCAGTAGCCTTAATCGCCTACAATCTTAGAGACAGTGACCTTTCTTCGATCACTGGAACAGAGATGTCACTTTATTCCAGAAAACACTATCAAAAAGCAATGCCAGGAGGAGCTGAACATTTGTTCCTATAGCATCACCAGCACAAAAGGAAGAGGCATTGACGCAAGGTCCTGAACATAACTTTGGAATTTGACATGAAGCAGAAGGCACAGTTTCAGGCTTTACATTACGTTTTCAAGGGTTTGGTGGCTGAAGCGATGGGAACATCGTCATTGACTCTGCACCCTCCAGACATACCGCTTTCTCAAAGGTTTTTGACACTGTGGCTGAATTGATCATATTCAATCTTGCGCCTAGCATTCCTTTGCTGGGCATGAAGGACCGAGGAGGACCGTCCTTTCAGTTTGTACGTCACAATTTAATGAAGAGTGCAATATAATGGTGAACACTGTTGGTCGTGCTAACATCAATTGTCTGCCTTCTGGTATGTGCTGACAGATTAATCACTTCCACAGACTTTGAGATTCAGCAGGCACTAATGACGATCTAGGTTCAGTAACTGGTCTGCTTGAACCTCAGATTTGGCGCCAGCCTATCACGGACGGATTTTCTCCGCGTTTCAGATCTTGACAAGCCATGCGACTTCAAAGGCTGGTTATCAAACTGGAAGTCGGACTTTTTAGTTGCTCAACAGCTTTTGCAATATACTGGTTGCCCCAGTTGCGAAGGCCAGCTTCAGTCTTCACACATCTCGAAATCTGAGTCGTCCTCATACACTGATTTGAGAAAGCAAATTGAGGATCATTCAAGTTACAGTGGTGACATCGCCTGGTCTGCTCAACACCCGATCCTCACCTGCAGGCGAAGCCCGCCCCCGCTGCTGATGACACCGACGATGACGACGACGATGACGACATGCCCCCCTTGGAGGACGAGGTCCCTGCGGCTGCAGCTGGAGCCGGGGCCCATTCACACTCCCATGGAGCCCATTCTCACACTCACGGTCCTGGTTGTAATCACGGTCACAATCACGAGGAGGTAGAAGAAGAGGAAGAAGAGGAGGAGGAGGAGGAAGAGGAAGAAGAAGAAGAAGAGGAGGTGTTGGACCTGGGAGACGACAACGAGGGGGTGATTGAGCCCGACAATGATGAGCCTCAGAAGGTGAGAGATTTTTTTGGCAGTCTGAGCGTGTCGTGCTTGCTCAGGAACAGGAAAGTAGTGGGAGAGTGGAGGATGTTATTACAAAGATGTTCTTATCAACAAACGGATATTCTATGGAGAAATTTCCTCTTATATAGGGTCCGCAGATTGGGCAAGGGAGGAAAGGTCTGGTTAGGTGAATCTAATGGCGACTTTCATTTTCCAAACGGCAGAGCATCTAGTCATTCTGAATCACTGCTTCAAAGCTTTGCAGACTTGAGAGCCAGCTTTTGCAATCAGGTTATCACCTTAGTTGAACAGTGAGAACATTTCCAATCACCAATCGAGCCTGCCTTACCTGATTCTGCAGATGGGAGATTCATCCAAGGAGATTTCCGAGGAGGATTACGATGCTGCAGTTGCGTCAAAGGGCAAAGCAATGGAAGCCATGGCCGAGGGTAAGTTCAAATTGTTCCAAGCTACTCGAGCAGCCAGTTGATATTGGAAATACCATTCATGGAACAGAAATAGGTATGTTTTGCAATTCTGTTGAAAGAGAGATTCAGACACTTTACTGTTCTAGCCTGAGTAGTCTGTCTCGCAAAAGAAGAAAACCAGATTGCGTCCGTTGCTTTCTGTCAAGCAGGCTCGTACACTTCAATCTCGGCAGCTGCTTTTATTTCTTATTTTGTCTCGTGATCCTTTGGCGAAGCTGACCGTCATTTCTTAGAGTCCGCACGTGGCCACACTAAGAGCTGGCGGCCCTTTGCAGACGATATCCATTCGTTCCATTCGAATCTTCACATGTTTTGCAGGTGATTTGCCGACTGCTATTGAGCACTTCACCGAGGCTATCCTGCGCAACCCGTCCTCCGCTATCCTGTATGCCAACAGAGGTAGGTGCACCGCCAGACAACGCCTCAGATCTTATTACCTGCGTGCGACAATGTCATGCTTCATGCTCTGATACGGTCTTTCTAGAATCTCGAGCTGGTACGAAGGCAAACTTCAAAGCCTGATCGGAACTATCTCTAACAAGAGGTGGAAGCTGAAGCGAAAGCGAATCGATTTTTATCAATCATTTGATTGTTTGGTTTAGTCTTCTTTTTCAATGCAGCCCGGGCGATCGTCCAAGCAGATTAGATGGGGGGATGGGAAGGAAGGGGGAAGAGGGGGGGGGGGGAGGTGCCGTCAAGGGGAGGAATTACATGTGCTGTAAAACAAATCACGACCAGCTCGGCGGAGGGTAATTCTGGTCAGCAGAATGACTGTTTAGAGAGACCCTGTCTGTACTAGACCCCAAGATTCTCCTGTAGAAATTGTCAAACCCTCCCTAAGGCCAGTCGCCCAGTCTTCGAAGAGTAAGGGACGTTTTTAATCTGCAGCAAGCGCTTTCATCAAGGCGAAGAAGCCGAACGCGGCCATCCGAGACTGCAACGCTGCGATGAAGGTGAGCGAAGGGCAGCACCCTCGTGTGGTCGCATACCACATGTGCTTTTCCTGAGAGGAATCATGGGATGACCTTGTGGTAGCTTGGAGTAAAGCTCAGATGGAGACGTTTGTTACCACAACCGTCGATAAAAATAATCATTATGAACAGCGAAAGTGTTCATGGGCTGGGAGTTGAGAAGCGAAGAGAAGTAGAACTGCGTAAGTCCCAGCCACCTTGCCGTTTCACTGTCTGTCCTTGTCAATCGACCAGCCAAACACAAGCTTTCCACAAGAGCAATTCTGGATAAATGGTTTTTGGGCGCGCACAGGTAGAAACCGTTTGAATCACTTCGTCGGTGCCCAGGTTCGGTGTCCACCAGAAGACCTTTAAAGCCGGCCGTGAAGTCCTGGAGTCGTTCCTCCTTGCCTTGCCCTGATTGCGGTCAGGTCATGAGAGATCAACAGAAGTGGGGGTCCGATGACCCGAATAGCAACCTTGCGGCTTCCAGATAGTGTGGCGTCCAAATGCAATTCCGAGCCTCAGCATATTTAGGGAAGCATTCTTACAAAAGGGTTGGATGTCAATTGCTACTATTGTGAAGCGGAGAGCGTTCAAATTCTACGAAAGTACGCCTCCCGACCCACTTTAAATTCTCAATATGTATCAATTAGTGAATTCAATGAGCCTAGACGCTCAAAGCTGCTCTCATTAGACAAGTTTGATCCTGCAGGAAGAGGTGATCCTATCCTATTCCAGCATCTTTTATTGAGTTTCAAGCTTGTACCTTTCAGAATTGTCTCTTTTTTTGGTGGAACCAACTTTGGTGTATACCCGTTCAACACTGTTCTTGAAAGAATCTTGTTTTTGCTTTCCTTATGAAGCGTAAGCCCCCTAGTCCCCGCGCAGATCAACCCCGACTCAGCCCGGCCGTACAAGTGGCATGGCTTGCAGCTTCCAGAAAGTGGGGCATCCCAAACGCAATTCCGAGCCTCAGTATGTATAGGGAAGCATTCTTACAGGACGTTAAACGTCAATTGCGGCCCCGCAGATCAACCCCGACTCAGCCCGGCCGTACAAGTGGCGCGGCGAGGCGCATGCGTTGCTGGGTCACTGGGAGGAGGCCGCCAAAGACCTGCGCGTGGCCGCCCGGCTCGACTTCGACGAGGAGACAGACGCGTTCCTCAAGACGGTGCGCTGCACTTGGCCGTGAAACTTTGCCACCGTTTCGGCCCTTCCTGCTCTTTGTATACGTGCATTGGGAGTTTGCGAGACCAGCAGGTGCCTTTGATTCAAATTGCCCCGGGAGGGGATACGTTCGTCGCTTGTGTTCCTTTTCTTCTCCATTTTCATGAGTCGCACACGTTCGGACACGATCCATTGCTGTGACATGCAAATAGTAGTCGTGGAGGTTGTTTGGGTGGCTCGTAGCCTCAAGGATTCCTTCATGTTGAAAAGAGGACTCTAACTCTACACATTCCTCAGAGTCTGGCGGGATTCGCATGCATCACAGGTTCGTGTTATGCAAGTCTCCAGGGTTATGCTTTGCCGGTCTTTTGCACTCAGGACTTTCACAGGGTTTCGTTCGGTTGTCGCACGTCCCCCGGGCACAGGAAGCTTTTGCCCTTGACCAAGAATGGTTAAAGGGCAGTGAACCAGATATAAACCCAGGTTCGCTTGGTAGAAGGGCACTTAACCAACCACAAACCAAACTTGGTTTATCAACACTGCTCCGGTCTGAGACCATAACCTGCTCTTTGCAGGTCGAGCCAAAGGCGCAGAAGATTGCCGACTTCAACCGGCGGAAGGAGCGTCGGGCCAAGGAGCGAGAGGACAAGAAGAAGGCCAAAGAGATGGCCAAGAGGAAGAAAGCCGCGCAGGTCTGAGTTCGGCTTAGCCCAAGGTTTGGATGCAGTGCAGATTCAGATACCTTCGTCTTGCCGAGCGTGTAAGAGAAAAGCTGTTCGGAAGGCAGGTTTTGAAGGCCGAGTATTTCGGAAAATCGTCAAACGGCCTTGAGGGTCTGTATGCGACAACCTCTTTCTGAGAGCGAACGAGCCGTTGTCAGAACCGAGGCACTCGTGGGCGCTTGTTTGTCGGTTGCGTTCGGTCTCGTGTGCGCTCTTTCCGCCACAAACCGGTCAACAGGGGTCTTCGATCAGGCTTAACAGGATCCTGAGGTATTCGTAAAGGTACGTCCCTCGAAGATACCAAAACTTACGTCCCAAAGAGCTACGAACTTACTTTCTTGAAGGCCTCCAAATCTCAGACCGTGACTCGTACCATCCCGGCAGCGTGCATACGAGCAGCAAAAGAAGGAGGAGGAAGCGCGCGGCGGCGGCGGATTTGCCGGTGGCGCGGGCGGCGGGTTTGGAGGAGGGGGTTTCGGCGGGGGAACGGGAGGGGGCTTTCCAGGGGCCGGGGGTGCACAGCCGGACATGAGCAAGCTGTTCAAGGTGAGCCTCCGTGATTGGTTGGGAAAGGACACGTGGCAGATGCAGGTTTCGGCAGGAGCCTCGTAGGGTTCGCAAAAGCTTGTCTTTAAGGTGTGGGATAGCTGAAGGGAGGGGACAGTCAGGAGTCGGTTCAGGTGCTCGACTTGTAATGGTACGACCACGAACATTGTACTTTGAGAGCGTCCCTTTTGCTGCAGCATCGTTCTGCGCAAGTCCAATTTAAGAAAGCGGGCGAAATGTTACCGATAGAAAGGCGCGCTGATGACACGAAGTTGATCGACTATGGGGCATGGGTTGCGTTACGAGCGTCGATGGTTTTTAGCTAATAATTGTTGAACGTTTTCGACGATGCGTCGTCCCCTGGATTGAGCGGGTTATACTATGAGCGGTACGTCCTGTTTTGTAGACCGGCCGTGCGAGATCTTGCCAAACTTTTTTTCCGGTCGTCAAACGTTCCGTTGTCAGTCACTTCTGCTACATCCAATCAGACTCCCCTTATCCGCCCGCCCGGAAAGGCGTGGCAGGCTAACGTCGACAAAAGGAAAACTTCAATCCCGGTCATCTGTATCGAGACGTCGTGCGTGGAAGGGGCTGCGTTTGTCAAGCTTCAGAAGCAGCTTTAGGGACAATCAAACCCTAAAATCCTGACCCTAAAACCCTAAAACCCGAAAAAGTGGACATTTAAACTTTCTTTTTCCTTTGCAGGACCCCGAGCTGATGGCAGCCATGCAGGATCCAGAGGTCATGGCAGCACTTTCCGCGAGTAAGCCTTCTTCACCCTCATTTTGAAGTGCGCCAACGATAGTGTCGCCTAGATGGGACAGGCCTCTGGCCCCCTTTGTAGAGCTGCTGACCTTACACAGGCAATGAGTTGCTGAGTCTCATCAAGAACCTGTTCCGAGCTACTCTGATTCGCAGGGGTTGCATATCTTTCCGCTCTTTTTCCGCGTCTGTCGAGGTGATGGTTCTTTGGCCTTGGTAGGTGTGTTGATGACCCTCCAGGCACGTGCAAACTTCGTGTTCCATTCTTGTACAGTGAACAGCGATCCTAGCTCATTCGCCAAGTACGCAAGCAACCCCAAGGTGATGCAAGTTCTGGACAAGCTCAAGGGGATGGGGTTGGCAGGGTAGGAAATTTTGAGGGCCCAACGTACAAAGAAATAGTTGACGTGGGCATGTTCAGAACCTATGCATCAGTGCGATCGTGATTATGTAGGGGTGCAAATGTTGCCGGCCCTTCCTGAGTTGTCACTGCTTTTGCACGAAAGCACCAAGACGTTGTTCCCGTTGACTAGGAGATGAGAGGAGATGGAATGCGTCAGAAAAGTCAGCTCTGTATGCTTTGAGTACGGATCAGCCTGCACTACCCGTGTGTATGCGGGCAATAAACCTACGTTCTCTGACACAACGTGCCATGGTATCAAGCACTGTCACTGCTCTGAAATTTCAATGGAAGATTAAAAGTGCAGGCGGTGTGCATCATGTGGCTACGGCGTTTTGAAAAGAGACGTCATGCAGCATATACTGACTAGACCGGCAGCCAAAGAATTAAGTAGATTTGTGTGACGGAGGTTCATATCACACTGCCCGCCGTCGATGTTACCTAGCTCAGGCCAGCACACAATCATCTGCCAGATATGTATGATTTCCCTCTTGAACCGGTGGCATATTAATATATTGTGAGCCACGCCTGCAATATGCACGGCGAACTCGGAGATCAGTATAGAACGGTGATATTGAGAAAAGTTAAGCCCTAATTCGAAGCAGGTGAGGCATGTACATAAATTGGCTCATGCATGCTCAAAACTCGAGCTCATGCAGTCAGCTCTTGAGCAGGGTGTGGGTGCGGGTGCTGAGCTTTTCGTGCATTCGGGACCAATCGTAAGAAGTGACGGCAAGCGCGCGCGATATGTAGATCACTGTCAACTATGAGATGACCGGACCGTCTAATGCTTGAGAAATGACGAGATTCTCTGCTGCCCTTCGGCCCCCTCCTGAGAGCGCTCTTTCCTCTTCTGGCCCCCCTTTTTGCCGTGGGACGCACCCCCCCTGCCTCCCGCTTCCGACTCCCGTTTCTTTACAAGTGCGGCGAACCGCTTCTGCCTCTCAAAGTCCGCCATCAGCCGCTGCTGCTGACGGACGTCTACCGCGGACAATTCCGGACACAGTGCGCCCGCGTCCGACTTTCTTCTATCATGTTCTAGCCTGTCCGCAACATTTGCGCTTAGTTTACCAAAGACGCTACTCTGCAAACCCGTCAGCATCTCGGGCGCATCTGCACTCACAGCCGAGTTACTAGTACGGGGCTCGGCCTGCTCTCCACACGCCGTTTTGTCACTGCCCGCTTTGTCAAGATTTCGATCGACCTCCTTCCCCTCTTGCTCAGGTTCCAGCGACCGGTTGCCCATCAGCTGCGCGACTTGGTCGCTCGCGACGCGATCCCGTACCTTCTTCTCCGTTCCATTTCCTTCCAAACCTTCTACAATCCGGTTAGCTGCGCGGGTTTTACGCACAGCACCCACGTGCACGTCTGGGCTCTCAGGCTGACTCTTCTCGAGGCCCAAAAGCTCGTTCCCTCGAGCACGCTCTCCCGTCTCAACGGCACTCCCTTGCGGAGGTCCGTGAGCCCTCCCCGCCCCTGACTGTGCTGCCACGTGTCCAGTGGCAAATCCCTTCTGCCCGAAGAACCGGGCGATCCCGTGACTTTTCTGCTTCCCCCCACTCAAGCGCGTCACCCTCTCCTTTTCGCGCTCGTTAATTCTCTCCCCCCCCTTTCCGTTATCCCCATCAGCACCCCCCGATCCCGCCACGCCCCTCACCTCCCCGGCCTGAAAGAAACTCGTGATCGAGTGCGCCCCCTTCACCGGCAAGTCCACAAAGTCACCCGCCGCCACCGCGACCCGTGTTGACGGCATGTTATGCTCCGCTTTTTCAAAAATTGACAGACCAAACGAATACAAGGCCTCAGCGAGCGGCCCCGCGTGTTCTCCGCTCGCGAGCGCGGCCCCGATCCCGTCCGCAATGCTCTGCCCGCCGTCCGCCCACTCGGTCTCGGGAAGTTTCCGCTCTAGTTGGCCGCTGCTTTCCGGCAAATGATACTCTAGCGCGGCACCAGCTTCCGGCCCCGCCAAACCCTCCCGCTCTAGTTGGCCATCAACTCCTGGGTGTGCCAAAAATGGTCGCTTTAGTTGGCCACTGGAATCTCGCCGCAATAAACTCTCCCGCTCTGCTTGGCCGCTCGCAAACGGCCGCGGTAAAGCGTCCTGATCGGAGCGGCCGTCGGCGTCTGACCCTCTACAAGGTCCTCGTCTTATGTGCCCGGTAATGGACCGCCACGCTGACTCTTCCCGCTCTAGTTGGTAGGCAGGTCCCGCGTTTGACTGCAGCAGTGGGGCCTCCGCTGCTGTTCCGTTCGAGAGTTCCGCCGTAGGGTCGGCGTTCCGTCTTCCGTTTGGAGGCTCCGAGCCTCGCTCAGCAAGGAGACTTGTTCCTGGACCGCCCATTCTGCCCCCCGCAGAAACATCGCCACCCCCGCCGCCAACAGCAACCCCAGGAACCGTTCCGCCGGAATCCTTCCGCGAAAATGGTGCCTCTTCCCCGTTGCGCGGATCGCGCCCGGACGCGCCAACCTCGCCGCCCGAAGCGGCTCGCTCACTAGGGAAATGGGGGGATGTTACGCTGGGGAGTTGAGGGGGGCCTGGAGCCGGGGGCAAATCACCCCCCTGCGACTTTGCGGGGCTTTTCGGCGTTTTGCCGGCGTGGATTTGAAGAATCAGTTGGAGGATGTGGGGGGGCACGGGGCACGACTTGGAGTGCTCCTGGATGCGACGACGGGAGTCGAAGCCGCTGCGAGAGCAACATTAACCGGGTTGAGATACAGCCAAGGTTGAGATAGGTCAGTGCCCGAAGGACGGGCGGGGTTAGGGTGGGGGTTAGGGTGGATAGTGGTGCGGAGCACCAAAGTTTTGTTTTGAGGTTTTATGTTGGTGCATCATCCCGATTCCCTTTATGACTCAACTTGGCAGATAGGGGGAACTTGGCACCAGCTTGTGATTGAAGACCAGAGAAGACGTTGCGTTGGACTCTGATTTGATACAGCGTCTAGTCTAGTTACCGTCATCATCGGCTGGTGCAGAGATCTTAGGGGTAATCGGTCACCAGATTCTATGAATGCTTCCAGGCTCCCTAACGACAAAGTTGCTTCGGCTCAACACTTACCGATAATAGAGGTGAAAGGTCTTCGGCCGTCGCTTGTTCAGCTTAACGTCGTACTCGATGCGCGCCGCCAGCTCCATCGACAACAAACGCAGCCAATGCCTGCACAGAGCGCAGTGGAGAGTCAGCCTCAAGGAATCCCTCTGTCCTGTCAGCTGTGTTCGAATCTGAATCGGCTTTACACTTTTCTCTTTCTGTTCCTCCATCGCATCTTCGATTGCGTCCCTTCCTGCCTGCTCAGATCCGATCCGGCTGCTGCGTCTCTTCACCTGGCTGTTGCAAACGATAGCAGCAGCTGTCAAAACCACGCGACTATTGACGGATAAGAGAAACACTTAACAACGAAGCGGATGCGATTCAAGGACGGGTTTCGGAGTGACCTGCAGCTGCAAATCAACTTCTGCCGCCTGGCCACGGGTGTCGAGCAAGCTCCAGACCAGATCTCACAAATGCGCAGCCAATCGAGGCCAGAAGAAAACCAAAGCGATTTGTTGTCTCTTTCCAAATCTTCTAACCAGCAAAGCGTGGAATCAAAATCAACATCAGATCGCGAAACTCTCGCATCATGAGATAGCTTCATGGCTGCATATCACACCCGCAGCTTTAAGAAAAACCAAGATTTCAGAACCACGACCCTCGACTCAAAACGAAAAGCACAACGCTCTGGATTTGCTTCCCTTCCCCCTCGATGCTGCAATCACCTGAACGACTGGAGCCCTCAACTCAAGATCAGAAGTCCCAGACCCTCAGATCCTCAGAAACACCCCGCCTGAGTCCTGCCGTCTCTCCGACTCTTCCGGCCGTTTTTGCCAAAATTATCCACACCCCAAACCGACATCGTCAAGTCAATGAACCCCAAAAGCCTCCGAACTCCACCACCTAAAGACCTCAGCATCATAAGGACTTCAGAACCCCCACCTGACGTATCATCGTCAAACGAAGAATCGAAAGCCCCTGAACTCCACTACCGAAAGACTTCAGCATCACACGACATCCAGATCCCCCACCTGACGTCCTCAATGCTGTTGGTCAGGCTGTACGACTTGGCCGCGAGCATCGACTTGCTGATCTGGCGCGTTTGTACTGGCTCGTCGTGTATCCCCCGGACCGCCCGAAATACCCAGGGGCCCATCTTATCGCCCAGCTTCTCGATGAGGACCGCTTCCGGGATCTTTTGCACGTCTCCTGCGGTTTCGCACCCAAGCGTGTCGCAGAGCTCTTTTCCCTGTGAAGAAGAGAGGGAAGGCGGACGTTGAAAGGTGCTGCGCAAGGGTTGTGACGAAAATAGACTGGGTTGGCAAGCAGAGTTTCGTGGGTCCGCTCCTTGCCACTGCAGAGAAGAAAGGGATGTTGAATGTGATGGGAGATGCTGGTGTGAGCGTGAACCGCAGAGCTCGTTGTCCGGTGAAGAAGAGAATGAAGGTGTATCTTGAAAGATGCTAGTGTGAACATTGGAAAGGGAACGGAACGAGTTAGCGATCGGTCGTAGGTCGGCCCCTTGTCGACCTGGACCCCCGGTTTTTTAATTTATTGTCCGATCTTCCAGAAAGAAAGATGAAGAGACATGGGGCTTTTCGGCAGAGTGCTTTGCGATATTCAGGGTGAAGTCTGCGCGTAAATCAAAACGGTTGTAACGTCTCCTGTCTCCTTCACAAATACCTACAAGCCCTCCGACAAAGGAAGGACCCAGGTTACCACCACAAAGTTGAAACACCTTAGAGGTTTAAAAAGACTGGAATGTAGATAAGACGAAGTATCCCTCACCATCTTCCCCCCCAGGTTCCTGATCTTGCGCATCGGGAAGTCTTTCATCAGCCCCGGGATCGCCCGTGGCGTCACCACCGTCTGCTTGTACGGCTTGTTCATTGCCGATGCGAGCTTTGCCAATAGCTTATTCGGCGCGATGCCCGCAGAACAAGTGTACCCGAGCTCGTGGAACACCGCCTCTCTCATCTGCGCCACGATCGTCGCCCCCGCGAGCAGCCGACGATCATACTCATTGGACGGATCCAACGGACCGTCCAGAACGATGACGTCCGAACGGCTCTGTACACTTGCCATGCTGATTGGCTCAGACTTCTCGCTGGCGCTAGCGGTCTCAGGGTTATCGTAAACCGGGGCAGTTTCAGGCTCGGGGCTCTGGTTAAGGAGCGCCTCGACCTGCGCGGTCAAGTCCAGGTAGGCCTCATCGATGCTTGCCTTCTCGCACAGGGGCGAGAAGCGGTGAAAGATCGGGAGGATGTTGGCTGAAGCCTGGCGGTATCGCTCGAGCGACACCTTCCCTTCCTCCCGCTTGGAACTCCCACCGATCACCTCCACGTGCACCAGTCTCAGGTCCGGACACTTTTGCTTGGCCTCGGCGATTGCCATGAAACGGGTGACGCCCTTGGCCCGCGCCGCGTAGTTGACCGCAATTAGGCCCTCCCATTGCTGGACGGCAAGTGGTTGGTCAAGGGGAAGCCCCAGGCGCACTTGCTCCACTGCGGCGTAGAACGCGTCCAGGTCGACGTGGACTATGACCCGGGCCATACTTGTTACTCACTTCTCCCGAACCATATCGGTTGATCGATTCTCCCAAGCTGTGCCAGCTTTCAGCCTCTTGCTAGCACGCAGCCAAGAAGAGGCGTGACATCAAGAAGCTGTTTGCTTTTGCCCAAGGGGGAGGTTACTTTCTAGGAGGCTAGCTGATGAGATTTCCAGGGGGTTTCTCCCTCCTCTTGCAACCACTAATGCTGAAGGCTCCATCAGCTTTGCAGACTTAAGCATTCCGAAAGGAAAACCAATGGAAATGAAGGACCTGGACTTTCTCGCCGCATTGGTGCCAAGCCCAAACATCTTCAAGGAGCGCTATCTACAACTTCAGGATTCTTGATGCAAAGATGAAGCTGCCACCGCAGTCCGGCCAGCTCTTCTTTTGCTGTTCGGCTCAATGTGCTCTGTTTGAACAAGCATGCATCTCTGCGCCTCCCCCAAGCGGCATTCCAGTTCCTAGCCAGGAAAGTTTCCTGCCGCCTGCCTGCCAGTGCAGGCATTTGAGACAAGATGACCATCTGATGACCTTTCCCTGAGCGTCTGCCAAAACCTTTAAACTCTTGACACCGCTTTTTTGGCTATTCGGGAGCTACCTCTAGAGGGCTTCCATGTAAGGCCAGCAAACGGTAGTTCCGGAAAACGTTCTTACGGTTCCTTCCTGTTCATGCAATTCTTTGCGTCAATTTATTGAGATCCCTTTCAATTAAGATGCACAGGGACCTCTATGGCTGCCTCCATGAGCCAGCAACACACATGCAGGGTTTCCACATTGCTGCTGCACGCAGATCTATTCGGATTGCAGCGCACCTTCAAATTCCAGCGTTAGAACCTCTAACTTTTACTCTGCCTAAGGAATGGAGGCCGTTGAAGTTTTGGGACCGAGTCGGCTGCATGGCATTCACCAAACCAACATTGCGGCTCGGAAGATCAGCGGCTCCTGGGCGGCCCCGCTGAAGGAACCAAGGATTGGAAGCCCGTGTTGCCGCTGCACCAGAAGGTCCAATGGCGCAAAGGGGAGATACTCGTTGCGCAAATCGAGTTGGTTTGGTGCAAGGCTCAGCCATGCGAATGCATCTGCAGAGAGCAGACGGCAGCGGACAGGTGCAATTGTCTGTGAGGTAAGCTTGATGACTCGTCATTGCGGTGTCAATGCTTTTATAAGTGATTGCACAACATTGCACAGAACCACCTTGAAAGGAGATCAACATGCTGACTATTGATGCGGGCCTACATTTGCGCCTCAAGGCCATGGAAGGAATGGAAGTTCGTTTGACAACATGCAAAACAAGGCAGACTACAACATAAAAATTCCAATAGCTGGGTGGTTCACCAGAAACACTTTGATTTAGGCACCTTTCTGTGATAAGAAAGTGACCAGAATAGGTTGAGATGGCTATCCACGCATGCTCTGGCACGTTACTGATCGCATTTGGCCAGGCAACAGTAACTCCACAAGGATCACATGCACAGGGTCACCGACAGGCAAACTTTCAGAGAGCAGCTTGATGCTGTTGACTTTTTGCACCTTCCCCAACCCTCGGATGTTCCCGTCCATTGTCGAGCTTAACTCTCAAAGCCCAAGGGTAAATTCAAAATGTTTTCAGAGTCTGTGTCTTGAACCTCAAACTTTTCAATCAAAGCCCTTGACCAATAATTGACCTCTCTTTGCATCTTAGTTTCAAATAGGAAAGGGGACAGCGCAGTTGCATAGTGTGTAACTCCTGCAACTTTGCAGGCCATCGGGGCATGCAGCACTGGCACAAGTCATCATCCAGGATCACCCCTGATAGCCTTTGATACTGGTGCAGGATAGGAGGATCAAATGGGACAATGATGACGAGGGCTGGGTCGGGGGTGCCTACTTGGAGAAGGGCGAAGAGGACGACAAGTCGCCCATTAACTCGCAGCTGATCCCCCTGCTCCTTGACATGAACGAGACGCACTACAAGTGAGCAAGAGTATGCTTACTTTCAAGAAGCGCTTTCTCCGCTTATAAAATCTGCGGGCTTGGCCACAAATGTGCATCTCTGTTCTTTTTTGCTACTCACTCTGCTTTTCCAGATTTAGGTCGTAGGGAGCGGTCACTTTCATGGTCAAAATGCAGTTTCTGTAGGACCGCAGTGTAGAACCCTGTTGAAGGGTGTGCTTGAGATTGGTGAAAGCTTGGTAGTTTGCTGGTTGAGCAACAGACTACCTGGTGGTTAGCCCCACCACTTTCAGGGCGTCTTTTGAGCACAGGTATTGTGGTTGCTAGAAGTCCTGCTAAACATCTTTGGACTGGCCTGTTTACCTTGGCAATGTACAGTCTAAGCTGCATTGAAGTGGTTATGAGCTCCTCTCTCGATTCCAGAAGTGCACTGCTCGACTAGTCTGCTATATTGGAGGATGCTTTCTGTGAAGATGGAATGAAAAGTGAGGTATGTGGATGTACCTCGGCGGTTGATCGACCTTTTGGCTTGAACGCTTTTCAGTATTGCTTGGCCCCCAGATGTCGGTTTGTCGCTCTGACGCATATGGACTAGGATCTGCACTTTTCGATCTCTTGAACTAGTTCATCACTGCATGCTGACGTTGTTTCACAATTATCTGAATCCTCGGATGCAAAGAGGGTTAGCTGCTAGCACAACCTTCGACAATCTTGTTAAAAAGTACTTCTGTCTACTTCGTGCTTCGCAAGCTGCTTAACCCTTCATTCATCTCCCTTCCGATCCCTCTATACATGCTCCAATCGTCATTCCTTGGTGTGTCAATTCAGGTTCTGACAATGGTCCGTGTACTCGGCACTCACGCTTATCAATACAAAGGACGGCTGTGACACCAGAACAAGAAGCTGGACCATCCAAACCAGTTTCCGCAACCCGCCCTGGTTACAGTAAACCCTTGCAGAAAGTCTCGAAATTGCACATCCGAACTTGTTGGCCTACCGGGAATCAACACTGATCCGACTCACGTCGCCTACAGGTTTTTGGGTCTTCTCCCCTCTGCGGACATCGATGCGGTCCGTGCGGCGTTCCGCAAGCTTGCGCCGGTATACCATCCCGACACATCTACGTTGCCCAAAGACGTTGCTGCGGAAAAGTTCGTCCGGCTACGAGAGGCGTACGAGGTGAGAGCAGTGCCGCTGACCGCTTCGTTCTGACGCGATCCGGCAGAGCCTTCGATTTCGGGGAGAGCGTTCACAACGGGCTTACATGAATTGTGAATGTTTGTTGGTCGACCAGGTTGAAAGAGGTTCCCCTCAGGAATGAGAGGGCGTTTTGATGTTGACAATCCACGATCAGCAAAGGCTTTAGGGGTCTGGGTTGTAAGCAGTCCGGTAGCCTGATGTGAGCTTCTTGTGCGATGCTGTGGTGGCTTTTTCTCAGAGTGGTATCAAAATTCCCATTGAAAACGACAGCAATCGTTCGTTCCATTCTGAAACTCTTCTTGTGAGCAGGTTCTGAGTGACGAGACGCGCCGGCGTTTGTACGACTGGCAGCTCGCCGTGCAATCGAAGCCAGACGATGGGGACTTTATCTGGCCGTACGAGACCGATCGCGGACAATGGGGCCCGAACGGTCCGGGGCAGCGGCCGATAAAGTACGGGGACTTCGACAAGGATTTCTTTGACGGCAAGAACGTAGAGCTGTCGGCGCAGTCGACGTCTGCGCTCTTGTTCGACATGTTTGCTTTTGCTGCCGCCATCGGGACGGCGCTGTACATTCTGTTTATCAAGAACCCTGCGCCGTCTTAAGAACGCCTGTGCTTGTTGCACATTAGGACTTGACGTGTTGTCATTCGATCAATCAAAAAACGGGGCGATGCTTATCGTATTTCAGATATCCGAAATCCATCTTTCGAGCATATATGAGGTGGTGACATGGGTATTTTGAGACTACGATGAAAAGTTATGCACAAGGAGTTCTGTGACGGAGATGTACGAGGCATTTTATGGCAGAGTATGGTATCCGGGGTTTGGCCGCCAAACTCGTGTGAGCTAGATGACTTGATACTTGGCACGTACACCTCGTCGTTTAGCTTAAGCCAGCTGCTCAAATATCTGAGTCTGGTCACACACTGAGGCACATGATGCATGTACGTAGACAGAGCGCGAGCAAACAACTTAGATACGGCAGGACGGTCACTTCCAAAATACAGACGTGTGCACGGGTTTGTGTGTTAGTATGTCCTTGACAGCTTTCCGACCATAGGGGCTTACACACATACGATTGCTTGTATTACCACGCATTTGATTCAAATCTTATATATTTAGATGCCAGGCTGATACGGCACTTTGACTTGATTAGGGATGTTCGTTCTATACAACCATCACTGATTGGTTGGTTGAAACCGCAGTACTGCAGCTGCACATGCCCATGCCAGCCCATGCGCTCAACTTAGCTAGGTAGTGGCTGCTGGGCATGTCTTCATACCACTGAGCATCTTAGTACACTGCGCTTGCGCCAGCATGATCTTTCATTATTGAGAAAGGTGAACATTGTGCTCAGTCCTTCGGCCTACAGACTACCACTCCTTGAAATGATCCCCTAGTTCTGACGGTTTAAAAGCTTCAATGAAGTAGGAAGCACGAGGTTTTGAACGGCAGCATGATGCGCATCATGTACCAGTTATAGACGTGATAACTACTGTGCACGATCAGTGACGTCACCACCTGTCTCACGAAGTTCAAACCCTGAACCTCTTGGCAAGTTCAAGGTCGACGGTCGGCCCTGTGCGGCGGCCGCTTCACCTTTCAGCTCAAGCAGCTTATAATAATACAGCTTAGAGGGGAAGACTGGGAAGCTGTGAGGACCGTCGGAGCAGATTGCCGGTAAGCAGAAGCTAGAGGAGACGGCTCGCATTGAGCTTCAACGAAACATCTAGTATCAGGCGGCTAAGCAGCTACAGTTGGCAGGCCGCAATTGACTGCACAAATGCACGCCCTATTGGCAAGATGGTTTGAGCTGTAACTTCAATAGCAGGAGCGAAAGGCATTGTTGCACCGGCCAGGGAGATGATAGGGAAGAAAAGCTGGTTAGGTTTGTACGGAACACCCTGTTCTCAGCTGTCAGGGTGGTCAAAACTTGGTTCACACGAATGACGAGGCGCACAATGTCCGGGAAGGGCGGCGAAGAAGAGGACCTAGCAAGAACGTCCAGCCAAGAAGAGATGGCTTTCCAAGAGACTGATCCCGGTCCTGATGTTGAGGAAGATGTTCACAATCTGGATGAGCAAAAGCCAATTTACGTAGGCCCGTCGCACGGTCACACAGGCTTCAAGCGCATGTACAAGTTTGACGGCAGTCGGAGCGTCGTGGTTCCTCCAGACCTTGATCCAGCTTCAATGACGGAATGTGAGGCAGATTTTTTTCCTCTTGCAAGGCTGGGCACGTATGATGGGGAGATGATGGGTGGTCTCCTTATAGGGCAGTCAATCTCAGATGGTGGAGGTACCATAATCCCCTTGACCCCTGCTTACGGGTCAGACAACGCTGTCGATTTCTTTCTCCCAACGCATATCATTCACGGCAGAAACCTTCGCGTATCCAGCATCGTCCACCTTGGGCTGGCTAGCATCAACTACGGGGTGGGTTGTGAACGCCTTAAGTTAACTTGCTTCCTAGGGCTTCGCACTATGATTGGAGCTTTGCATGGATTTGTGGATCAAATTTTCTTTATTCATCAACCAAATATGCAGAAAAACACAAATGAAAACAACCCAGTTTGGTGTATAATTGCTGGCATGCTGTAAATAAAAAGTCAGCTCAGATTGGTGTACGTGTCGGACCATGCATCGAGGCCCACTCCATATGCAGACTGTGCGGCTCTGGCCTGTCACTCCATGTCTCGAGCGGGCCAAGCTCGACAAACAGCTCCATGTTCCCTCGTTTCTAACCCGCACTCTTGCCACCCCTCGAGCATCCCCGGATCTTTCGCATGCCCAAGCGAGAAACGTGGAAAAGATCGGAGGCTGGACAGAGTGGAAGATTCCGTGTGCGGATGCGCTCGAAGAGGGGCAGAAGATTGTCTTCTTTAGCTATCCAAGTGAGCTGCAGCTTCATAAACGCTCCAGTCAGAAATTGCCCTATGGTTCGTTCGAGCTTCTTGGAACTCTGGACTTTTCTGTGAAGAGCTAGCATGCTGACACTGATCTTGAACTTTCTCGATGGCTGTGAAGATGATGCTGCAGAAAGTGTCCTGGAGATATTCTCAACGGATGCATGATTGCGCAGGTTGTGCACATTGGATTCGGCATCAGGTGTAAACCTCACCGCAACCATTTTCTGACAACCAGACTACAAATATAGCAAGTCTCTCTTTCTCTCCTTTTTGTCTTCTCAGGTCAGCCACGGCTGGATTCGGGTGAAGAATGGGCGGCCAAGTATTTGCGGAAACCAGAGGACTACGAACAGTATCGGCTGGAGGTTGGAGCCGATGCCGTCCCACCTGACCAGTTCACCTTAGACTCTGTGGAGGCTATGCGGAGGCTGATGGGCCTTGCAGGCGACGTTTTCTACCCTGACCAGCTGTGCATATCTCCCGGGACCGTTCACAAGGCAAACTCATTCCTTGTCGAGCACACCGCCACCATGATGCCCCAAAGTTCGGGCGGCGCAGGTTGGTGCAAGTGAAAGATCTTTTTCATTAGCCTTTCGATGGAATCACCGGCGAAGGTTGACTTTGGTCGGATGGAGGCGATGGGAATGGATAATCTGTATCCCTTCTTGGCACGTTGCTCTGGGGTCTGTTGCTTCACTCTTGTTTGAAACCGAGGATGGCAAGCTCAGGTTTGCGGTTGACAATCAAACGAAAGGCTCAGTCCTTCGCCATTGAACGTCTTTCATGGAGTTTGTCGTTAGCTCGGCTGTCAAAGTGCGCGCCTAGTCTTCACTGACATCAGCAGGGGTCTGCTTTGTCTACTGATGCAGGATGCGACATGCATCAGCCATGGAAATTGTTCTGCATGCATCTCCAAGCTCACAGCGACTTTCCGGCGGCAATACGCGTATGCCCTAAGCGTCAACAATCCAGGCATGTTCTCCTGCTATCAACAGGTCTTCTAGTGAGCCGGGCCTTCTTGTGCTCGAAATGTGGTCGCTTTTGCAGGGGGTGTATCGAAGGCCATCGAGCTCCCCACTGTCGACAGGTGCTGTTGTGCTAGAGCAAATGCCGAAGGCCTTGGAGCGCTTCAAAGCTTTTCCTGCCTCTTGCAAATATCCACCCCGGTCAACTTGACAAATCCTCATCTGGTCGTGGTCTTCGCTTGCGAGATTTTTCTGCATCGTGGATGACCATCATATCATATCATATCATATCATATCATATCATATCATCCTCCTTCAACTTGCTCCGCTGGCTCCGGACAGATATTCTTCAATTCTCGACAATCTGTAGTACGAAACCATTCAGACAAGGCAAGGGCAAAGGCATCACAAAACAAGTGCGATAGACAAGTGATGCTACAGTTTAGGCATTTGCTCCAGAAGCAGGCGCTGTTCCAGCTAGCTTGACGTCAGCGGACGATCTTTTGCTGTGCACAGTGTGGGTCGCTAACTACGTCGCGGACGTACTGCCGAATCTCTCCAAGGTGCCAACCCATCAGTTCGACGAACTCGATTCGGACGCGCTCGCATGTCTTCAGCGATTCCTGAGGCACCATGCGGACTCCATCGTCAAGCTGGGCCTTACCGACAAGGTCGCTCGGTTCTTGAGCGCCCACAAAAGCCGCATCGACTGGTCGTTGAGTAGTCTGGCAGACTTCGTGTAGGTACTGGTGAGGATCTTGTGACCTCCTTGAGTGCACACCAGGAACATCGTGGCACAGATGCGACCTATCGCAACCAGAAGAACGTCCTACTCGGTGAATCATTGTGTCGCATCCGCCGAAGTCGTTCTCAAGAAGGCTAGGTCATCTGGTGAGAAGCAAGTTGCTTGGGCAATGGGAGCGATCAGACATGGTACTTTCGATTGGCATGTATAAGCCCTTTCTTGCTTGCTTAGATCGGAAAGCAAAGACTTTTAAGAATGACAGCGAGCAACTCTTTCCTCTGCGTTCGTTGAGACAGCTCACTTGTTTCCTTTCCGTTTTTCCAGCACCTCAAGTGGTCGTTCCCCGAGCTGCGCTTCGACTAGACGTCTTGTTCGCGCTCAAGCCAGAATCAGCGACACTTGTGTACATAGAGCTTCCCATGTGCCTGAGACTGATAGCATTGCGTGGTTTCGGGTAACATGTCCTTTATCTGGTCTTCTCCGAGCAATTAGTTCTTGTGGTCTACATTCTAGGTACCGGCGTGCACTTCAGGTTTCTGATTGCCAATGTTACCTGTATCCTATAGCGAAACCTGGTTTTGATAAAGGTCAAAAGTTCTGAGCATTTGTAACCCTGAAGGATTCAGATTCTGCGTGTGACTGGACGGTAGAACCATCAAAGGATGGGAGCTAGGGGCCAAATGCATGCCAGCGTGGCATCCCCCAAATTTTGTGACTGAAGACTCAAGCCGGCGAGCTTTATTTCTGGCTGACTCGTTGGTTGTTCATCTAGATACGTCAAGGATGGTGACTGTAAGGAATGGCCGCCTGGATTATGTCAAGCCTGCATAATCCCTGCACGAGATCAATCCACGCTATTGCGGATCTATGCTAAATATCCTGATGCATGTTTCAACCGTCAAGGCATGCGAGCGTGCTGATCGCGATCGACGCACTCCAGTAAGTCACCAAATTGAAGTGACCGGTTGGTGCTTGAGTCGGAGCAACTTCGACCTAGTGCTTCTCTGCATCACATTTGCGCGCGCGCGTCCAAAGCCATGTTCACATTATACTCTTGCTTGCTTATCGATATGTTGCCACTGGCATTTGGCTAATTAAGATCGATCCATGAAATCGTTGAATGCTGATTACAACTTCCATGCATGCAATGCACCTGCAGTCATGCTTCTACACTTTTACCGCAGGCTACTGAGTATTTCAAGAGCTGTCCACGCGTCCATCAGTGCGCTCAAGCACTACATTTGTTTTGGTAGATGCCGGGAGTGCATGCAAAGTCAATTGACCGCGACTCGCACTATCATATTGCATGCGCATGTTCTTATGCGCGTCAGCGGGCCTTTTAACTTCAGCGCCCCGAAAGAGGTTGCAAAAGCACAGTCTTAATCTCAAACGGCTGTTCAGGCTGACTAGTTGTGGTTTGACTCATAAGATTATACAGAATTGATCCGAAGAATGAGCACGAGCTGACTCGTCATCAAGTATTAGGGAAGCAGGTTGGCCGTTCAACACTCTGCTCTTTCAATAATCTGCGTCAAACGGCTGCATCATTACCACTTCGAATCCTGAACTCTTCGTCCACTGTTCTACCGCTGCCTGAGTCAAAGCCCCCCTCGACCATCTCAGCCTCTGCGCCTCTTCCAAAACGCTCCGCAAAAGTGAAGTACATGTTTCAACATCTAGGTTAATATCTGGGTTAACATCTCCCCCCCTACTTTTTGCCCCGGCCCTTTTTCGCTGGGGCGGGGGCCGCTGCCGCCTTCCCTTTCTTTGCGGGGGGCTCGGCTTTCGCTTTGCCCTTGCCTACGGGCGCTTTTCGTTTGCCTTTGGCGCCCTCTTCGGCAGCGGCGCCTTCTTCAACATCTCTCGTGGGCTGGAAAACGGGCAACTGCAGCGACAGACCAGTCGGCTTCGTGAACCGACTTAAGATCATACGAATGGAGCGGAAAAGCGACGATTGCTGGGTTCTGATGAGTCGATCTTTAACGGAACGACGACCCGACCAACGGTCCTGCTCTTGCGACGATTACATTGGGCCCCCATTGATGGTTTTGCGGGCTATGCATGGTCTCCGCAGCTTGCACAGATCTCCATATGCTGGACGTGCCCTGCACCTCCCGACCAAACACGCGAAGCGCCGCCAACGCCATACTGCCCGTCTGATCACACTACTTCTGTGAGACGCACCTTTTCAAGCTCCTCGCTCTCGACTGTTCGGTCGACGATGAACAGCGTGTGCGCCAGACCAGCAGCTACCCTGTAAGACAATTCCGCAACTTTAGTGTCACTTCTACAAGTTGTTTTCTAAGATTCAATCAGAATATGGGTGACCAGTTTGGTCACAATAAGCCAAATGACAAGGCAGTCTTTACAGCCCACCATCTATCACCGCCGGCTTACGAGCGCATGACGATTTTGAAAAAACCATCTCTTCGCGGATGCAGACGTGTTCGCAGAGTAATCAAAAAGCCCGTCGTTTCAGTCCGAAAATCCTACGCCATCTACCGCCCAACGTGTCTACAACTCAGGTGTGCCCTGTCATGCCAGTCTGAAAATATAGAGTCCGCCAGCGGACATCAAAGTGAGAGAAATGAGTGCAACGATAATGTACTCACTTTATTACGTGGAAGCCGTTTAGGGCGTCAATCTTCTTTGCGTTTGCGGAGGACCTGCGGCAGACAAAAGGCACTGGATTTTAGAGCCAACCTGATGAACCGGACAATGCCCAGGCACAGCAGAATGAGGTACTGCCCGTTTTAAACTTCAGAATGCATCGAATTCGTACCGTTGCCTCGTTTGTGGCGGCTGGTTCCATCTTTTCAGAACTGCTGATTCCCATTTCGTTCTAAAAGAATTTCAGTTTAGATTCCATTCACCCGGGCACCTAATTAGCAACACGCTGCAAATCCGAACCCACCCTGACCACCCAGATAGACCCCCCCGTCCCCTGAGCGCCTTTCTTCAGTTGGAAAAAGAGAAATGGAGAACACGTGCCTTCTTCTGAGACTTGGAAAAATTAGCACCCCTCAGTACGGCTGGACGAAGACGAACTACACTGCACTGAAAGTCGCTAGGGGCATCAGGCCGAGAAACAAACAAACCTGCTCCGACAGTCAGCAGTCTCAAGTAGAGTTTCAGAGTCATCGATCACGACTTTCAAAGCCTTAGAGTAACAAGAGCCGATGGGTCGGCTTCTCACTTTGGACCCTTAGGGCCGTAGCCCAGCTCTCCGTGCGTCGCGTTGCCAAAGCTTATGCACGAGTCATCGGCGCTTACGATTTTGCTCGTGGACCCACAGTCCATGCTGCGGATATTCCAGCCGCTGTAAAACAAAAAGTCATCGGTTAAGAAGCCAACCCTGTTGATGCCAGCAGAGAACCAGATAGGGTTAACAACGACATTAGGGCTGGAGTAGAGGAGGGCTTGAAACTCTTTCAAGAGACAGACAGTGTTGAGCTGAAACCGCAGTATCTTGCGGGCAATGACGGGAAGGTGGCTTTAATGTACACAAGCTAAGCCACACTGCTCTGTCGAGCGACCATATTCGACGCACTAGACAATGAACCATAAAAATATGGTTCGAAGAATCTCTCTTCGTTGAGTGTTAGCTGACCAGAAGCAGATGCAACGAACTTGCTTGAGAATTCTGGCTTTGGATTGCGGAAGGGGCATGCAGAAGCTGAAGATGCATCGCTTCTGCAAGGCAACGACTCTCAGAAGAGTAGAGCATGTTTTGAAAAACTGCAGGTTTGTAGATGCCCTTACCTGAGGTCATGCACGGGCGCAGGGGACATCCAGGCCTCTCCCGTCGGCTTGATCTGGCCCCACATGTACAGCTGACCGCCGACTGCCGGAAAAGAGAGAACAAATCACTTGGGCGATCAAAACTTTTGCCACTTAGTCGATGTGATTGTCCTGCATCAAAATGGTGGTCATAAGCAGGGTTCTGCTCTTTTAACACAAACAAGCTCCTGCTTTCTCTCAACGGGATTCTTGTGATTAGAAGCAGGACTTAGCAACCCCGTCAAAACGGGTTGGGAATGCGAACAGACAGTACTGCCGAATGTCTTGGAATCGAAAGACGAATTTCGTACCGTGTGAGGGATCATAGAGGCGCTTATCCAAGTTAAGCATGTTCCGAGAAGAAGTCAAGACATGCAAACCTGCATGTAAGCATAGAACATGTCTACGTGCAACCCAGTAGGTCGACTGCTCAGGGGGGTAAATTTTTACCTGCAGTGCAGCCTGAGAAGGCCCCCCCGGCCGTGATGAGCGAGCCGGCCGGAAGCGCCATCCTGTTGGAGAAGAAGTCGACCTTGCGTGGCTTCCACTCGTCCTTGGGCGTCTTGTGCCCCAACCGACCGTATGCGCCAAAACCCCACGTGTAAACCGACCCCTCCTCGTCCGACACCACTGCAGATGGGGTTAGCATTTCCGGTTAAGATAGATATATGTAGTTTAAAGAAGGTCAGGGTAACGAGGGATGCTTGTGCCCCAACCGGGCGTAAGCTCCGAAACCCTACGTATAACCGACTCCTCCGCATCCGACACCATTGCACGAAGTTTGGGGGTTAACGTTTTGGATTCAGGTAGATATATGTAGGTTAAGGGAGATTGGGATAACAAGGGCGTCTTGTGCGCAAGCCGTCAGTATGTGCCAAAACCCCACGCGTAAATCGACCCCTCCTCATCGGACACCACTGCACAGCGTTTAGGGATTGACATTTTAGGTCGAGTTAACAAGGGCGTCTTGTGCCCTAGCCGGTCGTATGTACCAAATCCCCAGAAGTGAACCGACCCATCCTCGTGGGACACCACTGCACAGAAACTTTTGGGTGTAGGTAGGTTCAGTAGCAATCTAGAAGGGGCCGTGCTAAGGGTTCAGGGGCACAGCAGCCATTCTACAGTTTCTTAACTCAGAAGGATGGTGATACTACCGTTAAGGTGCGAGCGAAATCTTGGAGCCTGCTATGGACGTCAGCTTCTCCAACCATCGACGACAGCCAGCGGATTGGGCACGGGTTGTACGTCGACGAGGGACAAAGAGGACGAGAGTGGCCAGTCACGAAGAGAGTTTCCCAGGGCAGAACCCTATGGAGGCCGGAGGCCTTTCAGGTCGTCAAATGCCGCTCCGATTGAGTTATGACAGCCAGTTTGTCCGTTCTGAGACCAGATTCAGCGGCTCTCCGAGACAGGATCGCGCTTTTGAAACTCTAAGGAAGGCCATAGAAGTCACTCCAAGTCGACCGCAAGACGTCACCCCGAGACGCTCGTGCACTCTTGCGTTGTGCGGTTGCATTAGACATGCCCGCATGGAGATCCGCAAACCAACGGTAAATTTGCGGATTCGCGAAGTTACTACTGAACATGGACAGCGCACCTGTGTGGTTGTTTCCACAGGCGACCCGCACGACCTTCTTCCCGTTGAGGCCGGCGATCGCTTTTGGCGTCGGCTGCGGTTCGTAAACCAACTGGACGGAGCTCGCCTTGGCGTTGTACTGCGATTGAATGAGGAGAGACGAGATGTTAGCAGCAACAACACAAGTGTTGGCCAACCTGAGACCTCGGCTAGCGTTCCGTTGTAGTACTAAAAACCGACCGAATATTTAGAACTTTCATCTTAAGACAGAATCTTGGCAGGAACAAATGGAGGTTCGGCAGTCTCAGGGCTCCTTTTGACCTTCTTCTGAAAGATCTCGAAACAGTGATCATTTAGCAGGAATGCATGCTTTAGTGTACGTGCTCGAGTCTCAAAAAGAAACGACAGAGCAGAGACGTTGTGCGGCTCTGATTAGCATTCGGTGCTTTCGCCACATCGAGCGGCGTGACGCTAACCTGAATGTAATCTGCCAGGCAATCCAGTGCTCACCTCATGATCTGACCCGTCGCCTAGCTGGCCGTACTGCGGCAGACCGCACGACCTGTGAACGCCGGATCGGAGTCAGTTACTGCGATGAATCCAGAAGAGAAAGATGGAAACGATACGAGAGAATAGACTGACCAGAACCAAGCAAAAGGCGTATTGCAGGGAACCCGCACTGTGTCTGGAGAGCCTGATAGAACTCCACGCAGCGCTCTTGAAGATTACTATTATGCTTCCAAGTACGAAGTAAGCCGTCAAAATCATGCCTGCAGTTCTCAACGTCCGTCTCTCATCAAGCACTGACCGAGTCACAACGCTCCAAACAAACACGAAGGCTTAGTCGTTCCTTTCAAGGATCAACCGACTCACCACACTCCTTTCTTTGTAAGCCACACCGTGAACTCTGCTCCGCACGCCACGTCAGTCGCGTCCTGCACTAGGCACTTTACTGGGGACGTCTCCTGCTCTGCAAGCGCCAGAAGAAAGCATTTGAAGTGTGCTCCACAGTTGGATCTGAGGCAAGGCATTCAAACAATTTTTCGGAACATTGTCATTCCCGTAGAGTTGTCGCATCAGCAGAACAGCCTTTGAAGATGTACAGGGCCGCGACTCCTTACGAAACACAACGCCATGCGTTTTTCCGGTCACTCTCAAAACGAAAGCGTCAGTTGGGGCTTAACGCGGTTTTGTTGACCTCACGAAAGTGTCACCACCTTACACAGAACGTACCTATATGTACGAGCTCCTGAAAACAACGAAGGCTCGAAGAGGTCTCAAGAAAGCTGTGTACCGATGTGTCAAACTCCAAATGTTTCGAAAACCTCTGCAAGTAGCAAATGGATGCGGACTGGTAGACATTCCCGGGACGACGCGCTTCTCACTTTGTGAGACGCCTCGTTGCCTCCTCGTTGAGCCTTGACCCCGTTGACTTCTGAACACAGCGTCGAACAGCACGGTCCGCTGACACTATTACTCAAAGCACCTTGACCGCGTCCTTACGAGTTCTGCAGTTAAGAAAAAGTACAACAGATTGGCAGCGAACGGCCGCTTACCGCTCTTCAAATTCCCGGTGCCTAGTTGGCCGTTCTTGTTGCTGCCAAACGCGAAACTGGTGCCGTCCTCAGTCACGACGACTGTGTGCTGCTTCCCGGCAGCAGCCTTTACGATCTTGTGCCTGGCGGGAGGAAATAGTCGAATGTTAAGAAAGAGACAGGAGATATGCAGCAACACTGTGTTTACTGTCCGTTGTTTGCTTACTGGGTTTCGTAAAGCACAACGACCTGACGAGGACACGGAAAGCGAAAGTGGAAGAAGAAGCGAGGAAAGGAAGGAAGCAAAGAAGAAGCATTTGAGCCCTCCTCGACTCCTTTTGTGCATCTCGATGTGCCCCAACTCCATGCAGAGTAGCGCCCTTTCTTCAAAGAATCGAGTGCGAGTGCATCACCAGCAGGTTTCAACGGTGTTTCGGTCGTCCTCACTTCTTCAGAGCCTCGACAACTGTTGGCGTATTGCGCTGGAGAAGGTCGCCGTGCCCAAGCTGCCCGTTCTGCAAGACATAAAGGAAGCCTTCGTGGATAGACAGAGGCGATCTCAGGATTTCGTGAGTCGTGCCAACGGTTGTCTCGATTGTCGAGCCTCCTGGCACGAGAGGTTTGTCTTTTTCTGAAAGCTCGTTTTCCTGCTTCAAAAAACAACGTGTATGTGCGCCTGGCACCCAGTGCTTGTTTTGTTGGCAATGGATGGACTATGTACGATGTAATTCGAAGCAAGTCTCATGGAGTTCGAACCACATGGTCACCCAAAGAAGGTCGTAGAGTCCGGGTCGTAAGCACCTAATGCACTGCTTACGAAACTTGCCAATCAAGTGGTCAACTCTCCAGATTGATATGTGCAGCCGCTAGGCGCTTGTCAACCGGCCCGTCTCTCACCTCGTTTCTCCCCCATGTGTACAGTTGCCCGTCCACATCAATCGCAATAGCATGCGCCGATGCTGCAATTGAGAAGCGACACATCATTACTCTCACAATGACTGAAACAAGCGGAGTTCCCCGACTGCGCTTGAACATCGAGCAATTGCAGAACTCGCTGGCAGACTCAAAGCAAAACGACTTTCTCAGACGACCTGAAATGAAATGGGATCAGTTCCGTGAAGCTTAACTCCAAAGACACAAGGTCCTCTCTGAGGGCCCCATGTCCTTCTAATGTGTCTAAGTAGGGTGTCAGGCCCGTGCTTTCTTCTTTCTTGACCGCTTACAATGGGTACACGTAAACTGCTGAATGTCTCTGAAATTTTATCCACTCAATCAAGAATAATCTCTTTAAGTATTAATGGATGAATCCTTACCTGACCCAGACGCCACAATTTTGAAGTCAATGTCCTTGACGGCCTCCAGTCTCGTAGGCAGGCTCAGGTCGGGGTAGGTTGCATCCTTCTCGGCTTTCGCGTCCTGAACCAGAAACCAACGTGACCTTCAGAATATAAACACAAGCCTCCATGACACCATGCGGTTAATAACGAGAGTCCGAAAAGGTCAAGTGTGGCGACTGCTTAAGTTGTCTCTCTATGCAAATTGAGATTGTGAAATATGTTCACTCTTAAAAGGACAAGCCTACGAGCCCCATGTCGAATTTGAAAAGTTCGAGAAGTGTTGCTATTGGCGCCTTGCTCAATCAGGTCCTTCATGCATACAAAGAAATCAATTTCAAGCCCACATTCAAACGAGCATGTTCCCAGGTAGGTAAGTGAAGGGTGTCGTTTGCCAGTTTCAGACTTAGACGTAGGTCACTTACCGGAGTCAGCTTTGCTTTCTCAGTCCTTCCGACACCAGTCCAGTCTGTGACACCTGCGCAAGATCGAACAACAGTGTGCTCTGTATAGAGATTACATTTGCTGGGTATTGTCTGTTACTCAGGTCAACCAGTTCACCAGTTTGATACTCTTTGGCGGCTTTGAATTGGCCTTCCCTCATTCTTTATCAAGGAAGGGCCCCAGCTATGCAAGACTGGTCCGTGTCTGGGCTTCAAGAGACACGTAGCACGTAGGAGACTCCGAAGAATATCAAAGGCTGCCAGTGGCAATTGCTTGTAGATTGACTGCACCACTGCCTCATCCCTACATGTTGCCCCTTCTGATTCATATGCAACACTGAGTGCGCACACCTGTTTGTGCACCTCTCGCTTGCACCTGCATCTCTAACACAAAGGTTTGTACCACTAGCATCAGCAACTCACTTTGTGCCAGATTGAGAGAGGCCAAAGTGGGCAAGCCAATTGGCACGAAGGAAATGCAATTGCGTGGCAAGGCTGAACTCATTCAGCGGTTGAATGCAGGCCATACCTGCAAACAAGAGTTCGCCCGCTTCCGCCGCTTTGGGTCCAGACGACCCCGCTGCAGCGCTGGAGCTCATTGGAGCAGCAGCCTTACGGTGAAGTTGGGGGCACAACTGCTGGATGCAATCAGCCCTTGCTAAATTGTTCAGGCCCGAGTCCAGATGGCGCCAAAAGGTCTGCACAGAAAGCAATGAAACCGTCCTCAGACTCAAAATCACAGCTCAGCACACAAACCCTAATTCCCTGTTTCAATTGTGCGAAGGCAACCCAGACTCACGGCCCGTTTTGAGAAAACCTCTCGAAACACCAATTTGAAAGTTTGAGTAAAACTCTAGCTCTCAAATTACGGCGATCAATTTTGGACAAATCGTTCGAATCCGGTCGCGTCTTTTTGGAGAAAATGCTCAAAACTGCGTCGTGCGATACGAACAAATTGTTCAAATTTGCGACCGGGTCCGTCCGGGTCTGCCGTCGCGACGTGCGGGTAGTTTTTGGGAAATCTCCACCGTCGATGCAGGTGGACCATCGCGACCCACAACATCGATCGCGAAGACCGCCGGGATCGCGGTACATAAAGGACGGTGGTTGGTCGGGGCGACGGGCGGCCGCAACTTCCCGGGGACAACGGACTCTTCCCTCTTAGACTAGTAGTTTAGGGACCGTGGCACCCGAGAAGCAACCGGGCCCTGCCTGTGACATTAGGGTCTCGCTGGCAACCCTGGGACAACCGGGCACTTTCCAGGGGCAACCGGGCCTTCCCGCTTTAGGGTTACACCACTGCGAGTGACAACCGAGCAAGTCCTTTTGGTTTTAGTGTGTGCCCGGGGCTTCCACAAATTCGAACCTTTTCAATGACCTTTTCTTCGGATGGCGCAGCTAGAATACGAGCGATTTGATCAAAACTCGACCGGCTATTTCGAGCAATTTGCTCAAAAACCGGCCGGCACTTTTGAGCATTTTGTCCAAACCGACCGGCTGGTGTTTTGAGAGGTTTTCTCAAAACGGGCGTGAGACTGGCCCGGGCTTGGCGAAGGAAGAAGGAAGAAGCTCTGAAACCCTAATCGGAAGGCCGGGGCAGGCATGTTGATTGAGCTGACATCAGACCCCCTCCCAAATGAGTCAGCACAACCAAGAAAGGCCGCCGCGCACATCTTCCTGAATCTTGGCAGGCTTTCAATTGCTGTAGAAGAGGGCATCTGCTGCTCCTGCTTGTGCTGCTCCCCTCCTTCCGCTATTACACTGACAGAAGCTCGCTTCAAGGTGCACATTTGGGCTATTCTGACTGCAGGCGTTTTTTGAGCTTGGAAGAAAATAACGCTGTATTCAGAATCAACCTCAAAGCTGAAAAGAAGGCATCTCAGAACCCGGAGACGCAAAGTACCTAGGATCCTCTAGCAGAGTCCAAAAACTCGAGGTGGCCAGCAATGGCAGCATCTCTGATCGCCGCCAGGGCAGCAGAGCTCCAGTTGGGCGTTGCAAGGTGCAACAGGGGGGAGAGCGTTGCACAATTGAGACAGACGCTGAAGCCCCTGCCCTCTTTGTCAAGTCTGCGTCCACAACTGCCTGCCAGAACATTTGTCTTTCACAGTGAAATTGCAAAGAAAAGGTGTGGAAATCCTGGAGTTAGAGCGGCTGAGGGCAATGGAGCTGCAAATGGGGCTGGAAATGGCAAACCAAAGATTGCAACATTGAAAGATGGGAAGGCAGTTGACGGGCCTGATCTTTCTGTAAAAGTGAATGGGATCACATTTCCAAACCCCTTTGTGATTGGCTCTGGTCCTCCGGGTACGAACTACCAGGTGATGAAAAAGGTAAGGCTTCCACGAGCTTGCATCTCCGTCTCTTTTAGCTTCAATTACTTGCCTCGCAAGTGAAGATCGCGGAATTATCATTTAGTTGCTTTGCCAATGGCAACATGGCTCGCATGGTGAGGCGTTTTGAAATGTGTTGATCCGTCCGGTTACAGTCGCTCTCCCATGGGAGTGGTCCAATTGCTTAAAGCAAACCGGAAGACCTTAGTCTGCATATCTAGCTTGCGTCGATCGAAAGACATTCAGGCAGTGTCCCTGCAGCATCGAACCTTGTGAGCTGCATCATTCAATGTTCCTAACCAAGTCCCCTTTTGACAGGCGTTTGACGAGGGCTGGGGGGGAGTCATCTGCAAGACGCTGTCCCTGGACAGCAGCAAAGTGATCAATGTGACCCCGCGGTACGCCAAGCTGAAGGCCCAGGGTGGCAAGGAGGTGATTGGCTGGCAAAACATCGAGCTCATCTCCGACCGGCCGTTTGAGACCATGCTGGCTGAGCTAAAGCAGCTGAAAGAGGAGTATCCCGACAGGTGAGGAAAACGGAGACGTACTCTTCAATCTGGACAAGAAGAAGTTTTCTCAGAAGTGCATATTTGACATGCAGTGCAGGGTGTAAGCTTTCAGCTGCAGCAATTGCTTGCTTTGCAGCTGGCGGTGGTCCATTGTGGTGAAACTCACCAACGAAATCGTGGGGCAAAGAGATGCACTGGCCATTGATGGTAGATGAGACATAAGGATCGGTACAAAATAATTAATTTCAATTCCATTCCCGCGCAGACACTGTCGTTTGCCCTGTCCACATGGTGTCAAAGGCAGGCTACTGCTTAGACAACACTAGCATGTTGCAACTTGATTCAAGTCACTGCCTCCGCAGCTCTTTGGCACCCATGAGAAGTTGACTCATTTCTCCGATACATTGGTAAGCTCAGCCTTCCTACGCCCTACACCCTACATTCGTGTGCCTCTATGATTCGTAACCTTTCCTTCCAAACCTCCCTCTCAGGGTCCTGATCGCCTCCATCATGGAGGAGTACAACCGCGGCGCCTGGGAAGAGATCATCGAGCGCTGCGAATCGGTCGGCGTGGACGCGTTCGAGATCAACTTCTCTTGCCCTCACGGGATGCCCGAGCGCAAGATGGGTGCGGCCATGGGACAGGATCCAGAGCTGCTGACGGAGGTGTGCGGCTGGATCAACGCCAAAGCGACGGTCCCTGTGTGGGCCAAGATGACGCCCAACATCACCGACATCACCGTGGTGAGTTTAAGGGACTTGTATTGGTGTGCCAAAAGATTTCTTGCTTCAAATGTCAATTCTTCTGATCCATGCCTTCACATCAATGTCAGGATTCCAGGGTTTTTGGAGTGAAGAGAAGAAGAAGCGAACTTGTTTGAAAGCGACTGGTTCTCATGGATCGGACGATTTTTGCTCTCCGCACCTGCTGCAAGCCGTGCTGCTGCAAGAATGATAACTACCAAGGAGGAGTATTTAAACGTTGCAGAGTGGCGTCAGCTTATGCCTTCTTTTGCGCAATCAAGGAATTCAAATCCAAGCAAGCACGTCACTGCTCAGGGCTGCAGTAACATGATATTATATGGACAGAAGACGGGTTGGGGAGAAACAACAAAGTGAAATTGCAACTTTTGCTTGAACGACTGGCCTGCTTTCCCGCAGCCGTCGCGCGCCGCGCTCGCCCAGGGCTGCGAGGGCGTGGCCGCGATCAACACCATCATGAGCGTCATGGGCATCAACCTGAAGACCCTCGCTCCGGAACCGTGCGTCGAGGGCTACTCCACCCCCGGCGGCTACTCGTCCAAGGCGGTGCGCCCGATCGCGCTCGCGCGGTGCATGAACATCTCCAAGATGATCGAGCGCGACTTCCCGGGGCAAGGGAAGACGCTGTCCGGGATCGGGGGCGTGGAGACGGGGGAGAACGCGGCCGAGTTCATCCTGCTGGGGGCGAGCACGGTGCAGGTGGGCGAATTGGTTTCACTTGGGTGACTTGTATTCGATTGAGTTTACCAGGTGATTCAGATGTGATATGCGATTGGAAACGAAACAAAGCAAACAACGAAAAATGCTCTATTAATTGAGAGCTTTCCAAAAGCCTTTTTTTTTTTAATCTTGGAGAATGCGGCGGAGGTCATCGTGCTGGGGGCGAGCACGGTGCAAGTAGGCGAATCGGTTTCACTCGGGTGATTTGAAGTTGAATGTAAACTCGTAATGAAACAAAGCAAGGCAAGGAAAAATGCCCCTATTGATTGGCAACTTCTGAAAACATGTCTTGATTTTGGGAGAGCGCGGCGGAGTTCATTCTGCTGGGGGCGACGGTGCAGGTAGGCAGTCCACGTCTTATTTGATAGTGTCTGCGCTTCATGTGAGCTCGACATTTCATGAGATCTTGAAGGGTCTGAGAAGTGCAGTCGTGGGACATGCTTATGATGAGAGGTTGCGTGATCGACTTCTTGCTCTTGAAGCAACTGAGCTTGAGAGCCTCGACCGCGGCTCCATTGTAGGCGGGGTCAGAAGAGCTGGGATGGGCCCGGATTTCACAACGGTTACTGAAGGACATATTTCAAGGATATCACTTAGGTGTCAAGCGGTCACAACCAGGTCTTTCAAAGAATGCTTCTGCACTACAATTACAAACTTAGTATCCTCTTACTGAATTCGTGTCCGGTCCAGATGAAGAGGCCTGCATTTGCGGCCACCTTTCAACTTCAAGGTACGGAAAGAAGTCAGTCAAGTGTTTGGGACAAGGTTGTCAAAGCCCGTACTTAGCTGATACCGCGATTGCAGGTGTGCACGGGCGTGATGCTGCACGGGTACCCCCTGGTGAAGGAGCTGTGCGGAGGGCTCCAGGAGTTCATGAAGCAGCACAACTTCTCCAGCATCGAGCAGTTCCGTGGGTAAGCTATGCGACGGAGACTCCAGTGTACCGCGTATATAGCACGTGCTGGCTGCGAAGCTGGTCTTAATGGGCGTCTCGTTCTGCAAGGACAGATGGCAGCTTGAATGGAAGCGTACCGTTCATCGAATCGTTCCTTGTTATCCTGTCTGCGGTTGCAATCTGATGGTCTGGTTTGCTGACGGGTCAAAAGGTCGATCCAGATCTAGGTTCCTTGAATGGTTTGTCGTCAAAGGGATTTTCTACTGCTGAGGGCTGACCCACCTGGTTTGGAGCAGCTTCTCACTTGGGCGTCAACCAAACATTCTTGAAACCCTCTGGCGAACGCCTCAGTTTCGCAATTCCTCGTTGCCTGTCGCTTATTGGACGTCTTTCGCCGTTTTGCCTTCTACAGGCACAGTCTGCAATACTTCACTACCCATACGGATCTGGTGAGGCGCCAAAAGGAGGCCATTGCTGCAAAGAAGGCCGCCCGAGTTGGCCTGGCCAATGACAAGGATTGGACCGGAGAGGGGTTTGTCAAGGAAACAGAATCGATGGTCTCAAACTCGTAATTTGGACGCTGTGTATGAAGACAGGCTAAGCTTTGAGATCCGCATACCCTCAGCCGTTGTATAGGAGCAAGCTGCAAAAGAGAGGTGTATGCCATCCTTACAATGTACATAGGGTTTATGACTTTATCTAGTACGTGTACATAAGATGTGCGATCACGAAGCGTTAGGCGTAGTTGTGTTGTACACCGAAGATTATGGTAGACCCGGATAGATCAATCGCAGGGAGCAAAAGCCATAACCTGACGACCTTCAGAAGAAGTTGCATGCAGGACCGTATGAAGGATAACAGTCCTCAACAAATGCGGTACAGTGTACTGTATTCCAGTCAAGGCCTGACTGGTTAATCATACATTAGCGTAGTCCTCATCCTAGAGGCTTGTGTATAGCTGTCATGGCGGCATGCAGTAGGTCATGATTATTTTTAGGGCGTTTGGGCACGGCGGCCAACGTTCAGTGGCGCGCGCAGACTCAATCAAGCCAAGATGGACACTTCTCTTAAAGCCCGTGCGTATATCAAAGGCATGGATCGGATCTGCGCAGACATGGAGAAACCCATGCCAACTAGTCTGTGTATCCTTAACTTATAGCGTGTATGCGCTATATACTACAGAGCTGGCCCGTATTGTATTCCGCTATTATATAAATCTGCGAGGCCCTGCCACGACGGTTTCCTTTTTTTAACTCAAAAGTTTTGGACGATTGGATCACTGGCATAAGATCCAGGCGCGCAGGGCGATATAAACTCGAATTGTGTACCGTCGTCAAAAGTTGATTCTTTTGTCATGTACCCATATAAAGTTACTTGCCATGCATGGACAAGCTTGCAAAGCTGCATAGATTCTTCAAGTAGACTATGCATATGGCTAAGAATCTATGCTCTCCATGACTCACTGCATCGACCCGGTATGTTGACTTCTATGCGCAGAGTCTCCGTATCTTGAAGTTGCTCGGCAACACCCAATCGGGAGCTGCATCGTCCTTGTGAACAACTCGACTTGCCAGCGCGTGCTCCGTATCGCTCCTATTTGTCTAGCGAGCCCCTTCATTGCTTAGCCTTCACTTGCGCGCGTCTAGCGAACAGAATCAGACGGACAGGGGTCACGTCAGCTTCAGTACCCAACGTCTCTCATGGCTTCTCGGGACTGTCTTCCTCCAGCTTTTGTGACTCGGGACCCTGAGCATACTTTGGCAGACCGTCGCGCATTGGCATGATCGAATCTTCGTAGTGGATGTGGCATTCCGGCCTGCAAGGGGCAAGCACACAGGTATGTTACAGAAAATGCACGGCGACAGAAAGAAAAACGTTCTTTCCTAAATCTTGTGCTACCTCATAAGATCAAGCGACTCTCAAGTTTCGGGACAGAAGGTGCCTGGGCTCTTGATTAGAAACGGACTTGACAACTGCCAGCAAACTTGATTTTAGAGCGCTTCCATGATGAGCACTCCATCCGGACCTTCTGGTTCCTCATCATAAAGGATCAGCATTGTAGATCAGCTTTGTATGTCAAGATTCGTGAGACTTGGCCGTTTTGTACCTCAGCTTTCATCAGGACAGCTCATCAGTACAACGCTCCACAAAGGCCACATAAACCTCTCTACCGTTCTTTGAAGCTTTCCGAAGGCTCCAAACCATTGTTGGTCACGGACCGACAAGAAAAATGGCCTCCAACCCTTGAGTAACCTGAGTTTCCAATCTCGAAGAGAGACACTGAGCTGGAAGGTGTACTCCTCAAGAAGTTCTGCGAAGTCGACGAAAGAGTCTGCCGGCACTGCCGTGAGCTTTCAAGACAACACATTCTTCAAGCAGGGTCTCCCACCCACCCGACCAGCCCTGATGTCATCTCCTCAGAACCCGTCAGTTTTCCTTCCCCCCTCCCCGTCTCGCCCTTCTTTTGTTCTTCGGGCAGGATTCAATACTTACTTGAAGGAGGCGCCTGACGTGATTGTGCTAGGGAAAATGGCAATCCACTTCCCGCAGTTGAAAACCGCTGAGCCGCACCTGTAAGGGACAGCGTTAAATTACAAAGGTTACTTAAGATCAGCACAATTTTCGTGAACGAACCAGGTTTTGCAATCTGCCAGAGAGCGTATTAGCAATCTCCCATGTTCCTGGGGGTCTAATGTGTCCGAGCTTGGGTAAGCTTGAATAAGCTTCCAAGACACAAAAAGCACAACGAGGCCGCTCCAGAAGCAGAATATGGCCAGACCTGCAGTGGTACTGATCTGTCAGGATTCCAGCGGGATCACACTCGTTCAAAGACACTCGCAGACCCAAAAAGGTAAGAAGCCAAGGGGAACCAAGAGCACAAGCCATCTTGCCCCGTCCTGAAACAAGCCCATCGGTTTCTACTCTTGGACAGACTTTCGCAGTCAGTCGTCAGGCAATCCAAGATGTCAGTCATTTACAATACCAACACGAGCTGGAAGGATCAGGCAGGCTCAAAAGGAACAGATACGGAGATCATTGGCGCTCACCGTTTACAGAACGCTCGTCGTGGTCCGGTGTGCGTGTGGTTGTACGAGGTTACCAAGTCGGCCCCCTCGGTGACTTTGAACCTGGGCAGAAACAGCGAGATCACGCGTTCTGCAAATGATGCTTTGCTAGCCGCTGTTCGCCCCATGAAAAAGCACCTGCCTTTCAGCATACGAGGTCAGGGCCATTGAGATATTACACTGATCAGATGTTGCCTGCATTCAAGTAGAGCAGCTGGTGCTGGACAATGGTGGCCGCAGATTGTGCTTCTAAACGTCTGCTCATAAGGTTCGGATCTTATGGTGAGCCCTCAACTCCTTGACCTCTGGTGAAGCATCATCACACCAGCAGAGTCACAACAGCTTCCCTCTTTTCCCATCCGAGAGTTGCAGCGGCCAGCTTTGTCGCCAGGCTATTGATGAGAGACGGGGTTCGATCAGAAAGTAAAAGCAAAGACCAAGCGGAGAAAGAAGGGCAAGGGGGGCACGATCCAGTTTGGGAAGTGCTTTGATAAGTAGCTTTGGCGCAAGTTACACAAAGCAGCCCGGCAGGTATATCACTGGCAGGTAGGGCAAGAAGAAACAACAGAGGGCGATACTCACTTCCCTTCCTTGTCGGCAAACCCATAAGGAAGATCAATCGGAAACAACATCAAAGGGACGATCGGAGCTGAGCGGACCTTCCGGCACGTCTCGCAGTGGCAGTAGCACTGTTGCAAAAAGCAGGAGAGTTTGAGCAACAGATCTTGAGGACTCTGCTTGCTGATTGCAAAGAATGTATCAAATGTTCAGAAGACGCGGTTAGTCATACTTATTAGGCACCGACTGATGTGATGTCAGTGGCTTCCGACATGCGTTTGCTGATTAAGCTATATGAGTACTCCCGGCCGCCTGTATGTAAATCATTTGACGTAGTGTATCTTGACAAAACTTGCAGGTGACATGAAAGACTAGCAATGCTCCATGCAGGAATCTTGCCACCACCATGTCTCTGCACCCAAGAGCTACTCATCTGCTGCTGCCAGTGGCAGCGCAGATGGACGCCGGATTACTCATTCTTCTCTGACGCCGACTTAGCTAATCTTCTCTGACGCCAAGTATTTCACGATCTTCTGACGGTATATTCTGAGCGCACACTTTTGGTGCACCGTATCATCGCAGTGGCTGTATGCACCACCGCCTAACAAACTCATGGGAGGACAAGCAAACGATCGATTTATCAGCACAACGACGTTCTCACCTGAATGGCAGGCTCCACATCATGGATCTCAAACTTGACTGCAGAACACAAGCACTGTCCTCCGATGGACGCCATCGCTTGTCGCTGCGCGCTATTTATCAACGAGAAGGCTTTCAGCATCTGCTGCTTTACATGCAATGTTCGAGAGCTTCAGCACGGCTTGTGAGCGCAACTAAAAGGCCGCTGTTCTCCCTCCTCACCAGCTTCAGTTGGTGTGCTGAACCTTCAAGCTCCATATACGGGAATCTTCCTCAAGCCGGATGCGGGTTCAGTACTGGGTCATGTTATGCGGTTAAACTGAGACCAACATGGTGACTGGGCTCTTTCTACCGTTCGCGATGGGCAATGACTGGTTTCTGACCGTGCGATTGACCTTGAGTCAAGACAAGGGGGTTAATAAAATTTGGCTGCGCGGTTTGACGAGGTCAGATTCCACGGTCCAGCGGGATCCCTTCAAACTCATGATCGATCTTGGACTCCCTCCCACACAAGCTGCTGCTACACAAATTTTGAGGAAAAGGGACTCTACAGTAGTGCGTTCTGTTTGTAATATATGTCCGTCTGTGCAACAATTGCATACATAGCCAATTAAGACCGCAATTCCATGTGCATAAACTATGAACTCGTATCAAGCAATCTAAATCAGATTGCGTCGCACCGAGGGTGCTTGGATTACAATTGCGACGCGGTGGCTTACTCAGCAACACCATGATGTTGGAACGTTTCCAGGTCAGCCTGTGCGCGCTACTTTCTGTCGAACACCCCGCAGCGAGTGCAATCTGGTGAGGTGCTTGTGCGAGGAAAAGCAGCACACTGATGCCGAGTCCTACAATTGTAGGCATGGCACACTGTTAAAAATATATTTTGACGGGCGTAATACAAGTCCAGATGGAATGCCTAATACATTGACAGTCGGGTTACAGTGATCTTCGTTGGACCATTGCGACCCCTTGAAAGCTCTATACAAGATGTCCTGACCTATATGACGTAAGTCTTTCACCAAATCTGGAAGTCACGTGCACCAAATTTCTAGGGAAATGAAGAAATCGCACGAGTGACTTTATTCTCGAGATGCAGGCTCTCAATTGGAATAACTACAGGCCTGATCGCGACTAGCGGAATCACAAACAATGTCACGGCAAGACGAACCGTACATAAGCTTGCGCTCGTTCATATTCGAAGGTCCAATTGTGCAACACCCGCATAAGTGTCTCGGAACCTATTCCTAGCTGCGTATGTGACGTCAATGAAGGAGAGATCCAGGCTGAAAACTGTGGCCGTCTCTAGGGCCACAAGCAATTCAGCATGCTCGCGGGCAGCTTCCAAAACTTCGGAGACGCGCTCCTCGCCGAAGGAGTAATTCCCCGCCAATGAAAGCTGCACAAATCCCGTTTTCCAGTCAGCACAGAATCGAACTAGAATGTCCTCCCCCTTGGAAGTTTTGTGATTTTTGCGATGAAGGGTTTCATATGGGGTTTAGAAGTTTTTAGCTTTTGAAGCAGGGAATATGCTGTGGTTAGTAGGGGGTTAGTCGTTCAAGTTTCGGTTTCGGTCAACGCGGTCAACCCGGTAAGGGTTTCAGCCAATAGAATCACGAATAAAAATGCCTTACCGTTTTTGGAACATGTCATGTCAATAAGGGAGGCAACTATATCCGGGATGTAATCTTCTCAACGGCCGGGAAGGAACCCGCCTTTGCGACGTGGAACTTGGTTAAAGACGGTCGTGTTGGTGTAGAAGAGTAAACCATTTGGGCAGCCTTTCACAGGCACATGCGATTAGGCTTGAACGACCGAACAAGAGGGGTCTCAAGTCGCTCGCACAATACAAGAGCCACCGGCAGAGGTCACCGAGGTCCTTTGGAAATTGCAGGTGGTTAAGCGACAAAGAGGACGGTTTTACTGCTGAGTGACTAAGGCTAAAGCTGACCGTCTCAAGAAAGCGCGTTCGATCTGACCCGATCGCAGGATCTGGCACAGAGCAAATGCTGGCCCGTTCGATGGCCCGGATGTACCTCATCCGACGGCACACAACTTGTCTGGCTGGGCTACGGTTGGGAAGGTCAATTGTGGCGGATGTGCAGTACCGAAGAAGGTAAAGGCACCTTTGATCTTCAGAATATACCTTGATTTATGGGTGCAGAAAAAGAGAGTTGATTGCCGCATCATGCAGCACTTCGAAAACAGCTATCCTAGAAGTCCGGCTTAGGCTTGAAGACAAGGAACGCGCAAAAGATGGAAGAAAAGTCTTCGGTCTATTTGATGACACCAATTGAGTCGAGAATCTGAAAAGTACGTAAGCATGACCTCACCTTTGAAAGCGTGGTGTTTTTCTGCAACGCGCCCAACAGGTCGTCCGTACATGTGCTGGTCACCTTGTTCTGAGCCAGGCTCAAGTGACGCAGAGAATCGTTGTGCTGCGCGAAGACAGAGCGACTTCATCAGCCACTAATTGACAGCCTGAGGTCAACACCAAGTCAAGAAAAGCGCGTCCTCACCAAGACCTGATTGAAGACCGCCCTCTGCATATAGGGATAATTGATTTGTTGTCGAACATATTCGAGGCCGATCCGCGAACCCCCAGCAAGGAACGGTCAACCACGGGATTGACGAAAGTAGAACGAGATTTGAAGATCATCAGACGAACGTCCCCTGAAGCGGTAGTCACCTGGAGCCCTCAAAGGCGGCACATTGGGTTTGGGACCAATTTCGTAATCACCCACGAAATGACCATGTGCAGACCGTCTTTGACTAAAAGAAAGAACTCAAAACAGGAGGACGGACCCCTCAGAGAACCACCCCCACCTGGAGCCAAACAAAGACGGCACTCGCCCCCCGCGCCGAGACCTCGTTCTGCGACAGGTCCAGCTCCCACAGCGCGCACCCCGCTGACGTCAGCCCACGCACGATCTGCGCCACGTGGACGTCCCCCAGGCCACAGTCGGAGAGCGCGAGCTTCTTGAGCGTCGGCGGGAGTGACGTCAGGATCGAACCGAAAATGATGGCGGGGACGTCAGCGGCGGTCGAGGCGACCTCGGGCGAGGGAAACTTTTCGGACGATTCCGCGCCGTTATGCCTGCCGTTTCTGACTTCCCCGGGAAAGGCGCTGGTTTCCGTCCGGCTGGAAGCGTCATCAACAGGAGGATCGGAAACGGTTGAAGGGCCTTCGTCCACTTTCGCTTTGCCTTTCCGGTCCGCCGTGTGTTCCGACGATTCCGCAAGGTACGGAGGGCTTCCTGGCGTCCCGTCTTCGATCTTGTCCTTGCCCTTCCGATCGGGGTCAGCCGTCCGAATCGAAGCACTGTCCGGGACACCATTCTCTGTTGCAAGATCCCCCGCGCCACCGCCGTCTTGTTCCGTCCGATGAGGCGCGCTTTGACTCGCTTCCCCTGCCGTCGACGCGCCCGGTTCATTATCGCCCGGGCTCTGCCTCGAGGAGCTGGTTACTTGCTCCGGACCACAACTTGCCCCCCCCTCTCGCAAAGAGGTGCCCGGAAATGCATCTACGGAGTTCCTTTCTGCCCCTGACTCACTCGGTTGACAGCTCTCGGGGCCCCGTTTTGCATCTCCTGCCCCAGAAGATGTGGCCGGTCGGTCTTCCTCCGAATCGCGACTCGTTCCTTTCCCCCCGACCGCTCGCGCGGTATCTCCACCAGGACCATCTCGACCCGGGTTAGCTCCTCCCGGGTTAGCTTCACCCCGGTTATCTCCACCCGAGATATCTTCATCCGGGTTAGGTCCTCCCTGGTTAGCTTCACCCGGGTTAGCTCCGACCGGTTTCTTTCCATCCGGCTTATCTCCACCCGGGTTAGCTCCACCCGAGTCATCTCCAACCGGGGTCTGTGCCGCAGACGAGCTTTCCCCCCCGTCTCCTTCCACGTTATCAAAGCAGAGATTCCACTCGGGCCGCTTTACCGGGCCCTTTTTCCGAGCCGCCGGTTTCTTGGGCGGCGCTTTCGGCGCGCGCCGGGGGGACGCGGTTTGGACGGTCTTCCGCCAGATTCCGCTCACTTTCCGCCAGGACCCTTCGACGACCGGAATCTCCTCGGGCTTTCGCTGAGGCATGCCGAAGGGGTTCCCTGCTCGAAAAGCAATGGCTGGACCAACTGAGAATTGGTATCTCTGCCCGAAGTCACGACAAAGTCAACAAACATTTGAACCAAACGGAGATTGGTTTACAAGCGGATTGCGGGTTGGACTTCAGAGCCGGCAATTCGAGAGCGCCCCAGGTTCGAGACGCACCTTAAAATCCAGGGGGAACCAGATTCATAAGTCCTCAGAGCCGTGCAAGATCAGGGGAACATTTTGCTCGCGAAAGGGCCGCAATGGAGGCAATGTAAAGGGAAAAGGAAAGGGAGGGACGGAAAGTGTCCTGACAAAACGTACCTGAGAGCAAAAGTGCTTCCAAGATGGAGCCGCGCAGGCCCTCCAGCACGTCGAGCGGAGCCGAGGAAGAGTCGAGATCGCAGTAACTGAGGTCCAACGTCTTCAGGCTGCAAAAGAGCTGCGGAAAGTCAGGAGCTGCCGTTTTTTTGTGAACAGTTGCTGGGAATCCATCCGTAAACTCGAACTGAACAGGAACCCGATCGTTGATACCATTTGCGGCCGGAACGAAGCTGGGGATTTGTGGCTTTGATACGCCAAAGTTGCTATTGCGGTCACACAATCTTTATGGCAGCTGATGTCCTTCATCGCTGTGTCTACGCAGCTCTCCCCTGAAATAAGAAGCAAACGGTAGTACACGACTTAGTGCTCTGAGGCAAGCAGATGGGCCGAGACAATTTCAGTTACAGGGTCTGCAGCAACCCTTTCAACCTTGACCCGAAGAGTAATTGCCTTAACGGGTTTCTCAAACCAGTGGTCCTCACCTGGAGCTAGGAAGCGACCGCAGTATCGCCCACAGCTCCTCGCTGGTGAGGGGGTTGTACGCAAGCTTGAGCTGTGACATCCGTAGCCTACAGCGACGATCGCAAAGTTAAAGGTCCGGGTATGTTAAATTGTCGAACAGATGCAATTCTAACAATAGTTTGGAAGTCAACTTATGAGCGGTTAAGGGGTAATAGCGACGTGAATGGAGCCCTGTACCCTTGCCGAAAAGAAGCTGTCGATTTATTATAAATCCAATCTCGAGCCGCGTTGTGAGAAGCCCTCATGTTAGATTTACGAGCATTCTAGCAGTCCACTTGCCTCAAAAGCAAGCAAATCGAATTGCATAATCCAAAACCTGTGCCCGCAAAAGCAGTACATCTTCAAAGCACTCTCACCATCCTCCCAATCAAGATGCATACAATGCTAACATCTCGCAAGTCGCCAACCCGATATTTCAACGGCTCAAATGCGGTCTCGCGTCTATACCATTTCGCCTGACCTGCTCCTAGGTGCACAAAAGTTTGTCGGACGTCGCAGCAAACATCCGGGAAACCGACAAGATAGGTAATGCATCCGCTTCATGTGCAAACAACGAGAGCGATCTCTGAATCTATCAAGGGCCAGTTGGAAGCAGAATCCGGTCCAGTCCCTGCTCGGACCCCAAACATCCGAGTTGATAACGAGCATCCTAGCTACACCTTCAGCTAAAACCGGATCCGAGGGCACTCGCGCAAATGTTGCGTAGCCTCCCAGGAAAGCCATCTGTAGCCGAATCCTGGCCCGTCGCGCACAAAAATGATGCTATCTTTTATGTATGTAATGATGTCGAATCCTGGTAGTAATTGCGAGTGATCTCCACACCTTCCGTAAGCTCCAACGCCCCTGCTGAGCGCATCCGCCTCGCCACCGCTTTCGACTGCCTCATCAGTGGTTGCGCTGCGGGCACGCGAGTCGCTGCAGAAAGACTTCTGGAGGCTCAGCTATTATTATGCAAGTGTCACATGTGCAGGAGATTTTCAAACCCTGAAGGGCTGCCAAGCACTTCCACAAGCGCAGCTGGGACAGCATTTTGAGTGACGTCCCAAAGTGGTGTCGAAACACAGTAAAGGGCTGGTTTGAAAACAATGGATGCCCTGCCCAAGCAGATGCCCAACCGATCGCACCACACGCAGCTCACCATCGCTACCACCTTTATTTGCTTAGAAAAGCGAACTCAAGAAAGATAATAATAAGCTCAGATAATAATAAGGTAACCGCACTGAGACGGGTAGGGTTCGTATGGGGGTTAGGGCGGGTAGAAGCGCAGAGCAGGTACTTTTTCTGGGCTTAGAGTTTTTCGTGTCAGTTGGAGTAAGGCTCAACATTATTCTCCTTGATCTCATGCTTCGAAACATCATACCTGATGAACCTCGCGTCGAAGACTTGACAGGTTGGCAGGGCCCACAGAAGCGCTTCGAAGTCGAAGGGAGGCGTCGTCCCCTCAACCTTTATTTCCTGGTTTTGAAGTACTTTGCCGTCCAGTTGACTGAGCACTGCAGGAAAAGCCCACCGCCGATTAAACGCAGGGGAGCTCGGGCATAATTCTGAAGACAAGCCCTCGCGAATCAACGTCAGCAATCCGCCACTTACGGCAATCCTAATGAAAGCCATAACAATCGAAAGCCTCACATCTTGCGATTGAGAGTCTGGAGCGGGCGAAGCAAAGGTGCAGAGTATTCCGCAAGCAGTTCGTGTCAATAAAAAATGACACGAAGCGAGGGGCGTTGTCTCACACAGCCATCTCAGCTCTGGGAAGAGAGCAGCGTAGCGGACCAGCGCGTGTTCGCCAAAGTAAGGAAGAAGCACGTCCTCGTAAAAGGGACGTCCAACCTGCGTTACAAGGAAATGCCTTAAAGCAGATGTTACTGATTTATGAACAGTCTATGAAGTGGTCTAACGGTGGCTCGATCCCAAAAATCTGGGAGCTTGCCACAAGTCGTTTCGTTTCTCTCAGACCCGCCACGGAGCTTCCTTTCGGGCTGGGATTTCTCCAAAGAGGAATAAGGATGAAAAGATTCTGGAGAGAGCAAAGGCTCAGTTTGATGAAACCTCTAGGAAGTAGCGTGATTGGCGTACTGAACTGGCTTCTTGACGGTATTTCTCAAAGATACAAGGCGCCTTTACGTGCAGAGTGGTGGGGCGGGCAGAATGAGGAGCACTGGTAGTATATCTGGCGTCTATTGAAAGGTTGGGGGAACGACATCGAGCTAGATACGACGGGGCGAGTACGTCAGGAACAACGGACGCTCGGACCGCCAAGAAGTGGGCTGTCGGTAACACATGAAGCCGCCACTTGAACACCGACTTGAGCAATCTTACCATCTGGAAAGCTGCAAAACGGCCCCAGCGTTGCAGCTTCGCACAGAAGGCAGGAAACTTTTCTGCAAGGAACAGAACGAGTGGCTGAATTTACTGGGATACACACTGCTCTCGGGGCACAAAAAAAATTGCCTAAATTTTCCACCATCCGAAATTCCAGCAATAGAACTCTCATGAGTTCATCCATTTGTACCTTTGGCAAAGGGAGAGATGGCAAGTCGACGAAGTCTTGAACCTCAGGAACGGGCAGGCTACGCCAGTCCTACGGGAACGTTGACCGGACACAAACGGGATTGCGCGCAAGCCCTGGCTCACACCGTTTCTACGCAGAAAGAGAGGCGGAACGCGCATGGCTCGCCTTCTGTTTGCAGGACAGAGGCGAAGTGCAGGTCGTGCGTCACGTAGACGCGCTTCCAATAGTCGGGCGCAGCGGGGTCGAAGGGCGACAGCTCTCCCAGATCCGACTGCTCCGGGAGGCCCAAGGAAGAGGTCCCGGTCCAGCCGCGGGTACGGCACAGCCGCTCCCAGATAGGGCTCGTATCTGCGCAAACGAAGCGACAATCGGTTTCTCAATCAGGCCTGCATTCGGTTTGCCCGCTCTGCTAGCTGCGATTGTTCCGGAAGGCCAAGGAAGAGGTCCAAGTCCAGCCGCGGGTGCGGCATAGCCGCTCCCAAATAGGGCTGGTATCTGCGCACAGGGAGCGACGACTGGTTTCTTTATTAGATTTGCTTTCCTTTCTCCCGCTTTGCCAGTTCTGAGTGTTCCGGAAGACCTAAGGAAGAGGTCTCGGTCCACCGCGGGTACGGCACAGTCGCTGCCAAATAGGGCTGGTATCTGCGCAAAAGAAGCGACGATCGGTTTCATAATCAAGCTGCCTTTTGATTTCTCTGCTCTGCCAGCTCCGAGTATTCCCGAGAGGTTAATAAGTTCCCGGTGCAGCCGCGGGCCAGGCACAGCCCCTCCCAGATTGGGCTGGTATCTGTGCAATTGGAGCGACGATCGGTTTCTAAAGCAGCTTGCCTTCCGGTCCCCCGCTCTCCCAGGTCCAAGTATTCGGGAAGGCCTAAGGAGGACGTTCCGGTCCAGCCGCGGGTACGGCATAGCATACCCGTATAGAGCTGGTATCTGTATCAAAGGAGCGACAAATGGTCTCCTAAAGCAGGCTTGATTTCGACTATATTTCTTTTCAAAAGTTGATTGCGAGAGTCAGAAGCAAGACTCTGGTGCTGTAAATCGGAACTAATTTGGAAGGCCTAAGGGAGAGGTCCCGGTTTAGCGCGGGTTCGGCATAGCCTCTCCGAGATAGGGCTGTCATCTGGGGAACGCCTTCAAGCCCGTTAGAAACGAGGGCACAGCGCCAGCGACGTTTGCCAGAAACCATGCAAATAGACGGTTGTTCACACGTTACAGCAATTTCAGGAGGAGGAGCACAATTCGCTTCATCAGCGATCAGGCTTACAGTGGGCACCGTGGACATCCTAAGAATTCTTTAATCCGGATTGAAAGCAGGACTCTAGTTCTTCTGAAGCCGGACTGCTACAAAAGCAGGGACTTTTGGAATATCGTCTGCCTGATCTCCGCAACTTGTTGTAGCAGCAACGGCTCGACTTCTCATCATACACGGGGAGTCTGTTTAGACTCCTCAACAAATGGATGCCCCATTTAGCTTCGTCTCTCCTGGTCTTCAAGTGAGCCTTTTGGAGAGCGCCTCGCGTCTCGTGTCAACTTCTTCTGCTGCAACCTAGCGGCAGGCTCCGACCCGAACACCCTGAAGCTCTGAAATCGTAAAGCCCTGACAGAACGGACTGGAGGTGCGCCTCACCGAGACCGATTGCTTGAAAGTCCTCCCGGTCTTCTGCCTCGAGCAATCCCTCAAGGCTCAGCTGCTGAGCCACAACCCAGGCGAGGTCCTTGGGCAGCGTGCTGACGTCAGGAACGTCTGCAAGCGGAGCTTGCTGACGTGAGTTTTTATGAACGAAGAGCAGTAAGATGAGGTGCGACGCTCGAGGAGATATTGCAAAGAGAGTGAGCTCGATCGCGTTGGAAGTCGAGATCGCGTTCAGGTATGCCCCTTTTATACCCAGATTGGTGAGCATTCGGGGGCTGCAGTAACTTAGCACCGAACGTTGCAAGCCTTATACTTTGTTTCAATAATGAGTAAGTTCTTCGACTCTCGCTTTTGGCTGTGAGAAACTTGAGGGCAATCTTAAAGCTTTCGAACATTCTGGGCTCGTCATTCCCGCGTTGAACAAGCGTACGCGAGCCGCCACTCATGAGGGCGTTCCCAACGGAGTCTTATGGCGTTGCACTCTGGTGACCAAGTCGTGAGGGACGGCCAGTACTTCTACGATCCAAACAAATCATGCAATTTCAACCAGGAGCTGAAGGGCTCACCCGACAAGTGATGGGCCACCATAGCGGCCGCCAATTGGAGGAGCTCCTTCAGTCCCAGGAAGTGCGCCGCAGAGATGATCTCCATGGCTAGTGCCGGCGCAACCTGCCGTCAAAACGGGTAGGATGATCCATCGTTCGTTTCATGTCAATTTCCTGTCTTGACCAGTCCGAGCCAAGTGATGCTCTTGTTCCTCAAGGCTTATAAAACATCCGTTCGAATCTACACAGCGTGGAAACGGTTCGACTCAATCTGAACAGAGTGAGAAATTGCTGCTGATTCCGCACATTTGTCCATTGACGTGGTCTCTGAGATCTTCTATTAATTCAGAAGATTGAATGGTGTTTTTTGATCTCACACATCATGCAACGAGACGTCTTAGACATGAGATTCAGCACAACTTACAACAAAATGTAGCACCTCAAAATGGATGAAGCCTTGATTTCCTTGTTGAAAGTGCTCCACACCCACCTCAAAATGGAAAGCGAGGCGGGGTCGGGGACCAGACGCTCCGTACAGCTGCTCCACTCGGGCCTTATTCAGATACTCCTCAAAACAGAAACGGAGGACGACCTCCAAGACCTGAGGAATAGAGTGTTGAGGTCCTTAGCCCTTCTGTGACTCACATCTCGAAACCGGTTGAGCAGGAGGAAGGAAGTGCATCCCTTCATGTCTTAATCTTCTTATTACTCTTGGAAGGTTAGCAAAATCCTGATCTGTCAAATAAGATATAGCACAGTTCCTTCACAACGTCTTCTCTAGACGGATTCTCCACGATCAATGACAGGGAGCGTTCTCAAGTTGGCTTGAACTTACAAGCCTGCTCAGAATCTTGCTCTGAAAAAGTCAAAAGACCCTAAAAGCTCGGTGCCTATGATATATAAGAGTTGACATGTTTGGCGAAATCTGAATGCATGTTTTTCCAATCGACTCAGTGGCAGGGCAATCAGGGCTTCACTTCAGCAGGAGATAGTTGCATAGGAAGAAATACTCCTTAGGTTCTGGTTGTGTTAGCCAAGAGACTGCGAAGTGTATAAGACAAACAGGGTATATTGATAGATGCAGCAAACTTGCAAAAGCAATTTGACAAGAAGGTTGTTTGATAATATAGCAGATACACGTGCACTGAGAGCGTACCTCTCCTCTGATCTCTTGAAAATAAACGACATTCTCCGCCTTCTCTTTGAATGTTGCTGTGAACAAAGGTAGAGAGTCTTCGTTAGGGAGAGCAAAAGCCCAAACAAATCTTATTGTTCTTGAATCATACTGTAGCCACTTGCCACGATTGGTCAGGCACTTGCCACGATTGGTCAGGATCGACAACTTGAAATCCGGCTAGATCACAGGTTCAGCATCTCACAACTTTCCTAGTACGATGAAATAACCTGAGCTATGAAACTCTATCAGAAGCCGTCATGTCAATTCAAGGCCAAGATTACAACAAGGGACAGGAATGCGAGTTGACAAGCATTGCTGTTGCCTCCCTCAATATTCATGGCTGTTGAGCAAGTAACTTCCTAGTTCTGTGGCAAGTCCGAGCCTCAATTTACATCCCAACGTTGGACGATGTAGGTAATTGATGCTTAAAAAAATGTGTTCAAGATTGTTTTGCACAATCTTGACAGATTGTTAGTGACCTGCCAAGGGTTGCCCAGCCTGCACCCTTCAGATATGGCAGAAAGTCGCTCCAGTTTAACACATTGACCTGTACGCAACGTCATCAAGGCCAGTGCCAAATCGTTGACTGATTGTTGATGACCTTTGACTATGAGTGATCAGGTAAGCTCCCAACTCAGAAGTTTCCCTCACTTTCATAAATCATTCTCACCATTTGAATTGAGCATCAGCTTCACTTGCTCAGCTTCCAACAGCACCACTGTTGGCACAGCAAATTGGAACCCATCCCCAGTTCGCACTTTCGTATAACCAGCCACAGAAGTAGGCTTTACTGCTGAAGGGACACTAGAACTCTGTACTTTCCCTTCAAAGATCTCAATGTCGGCTGGCTCTATTGGCCCTTCAACGGAGCTCCTTTTTGAGCGCCTTTGCTTCCACGGCTTTGGAGGCAGCTCGCTGACCCCAGCAGCATCTGCCTCTCCCTGCATAGCCGCCATTCTGCAGGGTTTGACGGCGTAGCTTCCAAGCTGAGCTTGAGGAATCACAAAGCTATCGTTGATCTGTCAAAGAGCTTCTTCTGATCCGCATTTCGGGTTCGGGTGCAGGGCACGTCATATTTTTTGGTTAGGTCTTTTAGTTAAGTTGCTGCCCCGGGTACTTCCTTATAGGTATTAGATCCTTTTAAGTTGATGGATATTGTCTGATGAGCATAGAAGCGATACTGTTTCTATTCATTTCACCGTCTCGGTAACTGTTTCAGACGCTTCTAAACTTACTACCATTGCCAGCCATGAGTCACTCCAATCATGGATGTCAATGCGGCGCGGCCGCATTTTTGAGGGATTCCTCAAAACTTCTGCCAAGTTCTGGTCGAATCTGAGGGATTCCTCAAGCCCTTCCTGCCCTTCATAATGAAGTTCATTGCTTTCTTTTGATGGTGTGGTGGTGCAAGCAGAGCGCGCCTCTGTTTGGCACGTCCCAGCGGCAGCGCCTGTATCCATGACAAAATTGGACAATGATGGCGGACGCAGTCATGGCGCGCCTGGATAGCACAGCAAGTTCGCACATTCGCGGGTGTCTTTCTGTGGAGACAAGAGCTTCCCGTTTGGCGCGTGTTTCTTGCGTTGCAAGCGCATGTCTCCGCCGTCAGGGCTTGTTCAGAGGTGGTCCGGGGCAAGTCGCACGTGAAAGGCATTCCTCTTTGTTCCTGAATTGGGGATTGTGGACAGATGATGTCCACTACGGCACTCAGTTGCGGAGTCATAGTGACAACATCCAAGCAGCTTTGAAACATCATCTGCCAACATGGGTGAAGAATTCTGTAATAGGAACCTCAGTATTTTCATCTCTGCGAACCACCAATAGATGTCAAGAAGGTTTGGGCTTCAAACCTCAGAACAAGAAGAACAAGAGGAAGCAAAGGAAGCGCAATGCTGCGACAGCAACAGACGAAGTCGGGGGCATTCAAGCAACGAAAGTTTTGAACCTTGACTATGTTTACTCCGCTCCAGCTGAGGAAGCTTGGACCAAGGGCCCCTTTGACTTGATGGCCTTCCTTTCAAAGCTCCAGCCCCTTCTCGGAATGGGTCCTAGTTCGCTCGATCCAGAGCGGTCCGCAGCATTTGTAGAAGAATGTAGAGGTTTAATGGACGACTTTCTACACGGCCGCTTTGAGGGGACCTTCCCCGAGACGGTGTTGCGCTCGCAACTCGAGAAGCTGGCGCGCTTTTTCAAAACAACGCCTGGCCTTAAAGACTGCCCAGCTGGCACCTGGGCTCCCTTCAAGATCCATGACGAGCGTCAATCTGTGTCTCTCTCGGTGTTACAACTTTGGGTGCAGGTCGCTGAGCTGCGGTCGTTGACACCACCTGATCCATGGTCAAGAGCATATAGAGAGCAGCTGTCACATCTAGCTGCAGCCCAGTCCTTGGTTGACTACTGGGTACGCATGTGGGATCGCACGTCGAATTCTGGCAACTGGTGCGTAAATTCCGCAGTTTCAGAATTGTTTCCAAAATGCGTCTTGGCTGGAGGACATGGTTTGACCTGAAAGTGTTACAATCAACAGTGTACCCTGCGCCTGAAACCTATCCTGTGACATAGACTAGGCGTGCCGCGCCCGCTAGTTTCATGGAGTCCCACATAGGAAAGTAGCAGGTCAGGTATTTGATGCAACTAGTGAACTTGCAAAGTAAAGGACTACTTGCTGATCAGAAGACTTCATACTCCGCTTTATTATAGTGTTCTCTGATGAGACTCACCGAAGGATTTGGATCGCTCTGTTAGAGGTGTTTGTCGGGATCCAGGCCGACAAAGTTCTTGGATAGGTGCTTTCTTATCTTCTGCACCTTTCTTATCTTTTGAAAAGACCCCATTTCCTGTGGCAGCTCCGAGAGGTCTTCTGCCGAATACGGCACACTCCTCGAGAACGTCAGTATGGTGATAGACATGGCCGACCGGCAATTCGTACTGAATATTGCAAATGACATGGTGGCGCATCTGAGAAGCGGTGAGGAAGCGCCAAGTGGCACAGCAAAGGCAGCCTCGGCTGTCATCGAAACTGGCATCATAGCGTGCGTCAAGATAGAGTAAGTCCTCAGTCACTTTCTCTTGAAAGAATTCTGATGAATCGGTCGCTGTTCAACCCAGAATACATTATCGATCGAGAGCGCTGTGAGTTGGAAGTTTGCTTTTCATAGTCGGCAGGTTTTGGTTTTCGACCAACCTCTTGCTGCAATGCTTTCGAAGCACTTGCCTCCCGTGATTCACTTGGTTAGATGTGAGCATTGTCTCAGACACCTTCTCAGAGGGGCTCTCCTGGGCTACACGCCTCAAGTTTGAGGCTTGGGAAAGGAAACAAGCGGCCATGCTTTCTCTTGACTGTCATCTTGCTTTGCTGGCCTCAATGTCGAGTAAGTCAACCTTCTATCCGTACTGGAAAGATCAGGAACTGCTGAAGGGCTTGACCAATTTAGCCTTGGGCTCAATCTCACATCAACTACTTGTTCAGGAACCAGGATCTTGCGCTGAATGCTGCAAGAGCGGCCTTAAACGGCGGCGTCACAGTGGTAAGCAGCCTCCTCACGGTCTACAGCTCCTTTGCATTGTCACAGCCGTGTGCGTAGCTCAGTCTGAGGTCCTTGAAGACCGCCAGAAAATGAACATCGGAGAGGTAATCACAGGTCTCAAACCGCAACCTTCTGCTGAGACGACAGTGCCCTGCATGATTCACTGACATAACGAACGATCTGTGTTTTAATGGAGCCTGTTGTTTCTTACTCATCCCTCCTGCATGTTTTGGCTTCAGCCTTTGAGAGATTGATTGGCAGCCCCTGGGGGCTCCGTCGTTATCGGAAATCAGGCGAACGTTCATTCAATACCCAACTTTGCCAGTCTACTGCATTTCTCCTCTTTTCGCCGTCACGGTTTCCGAAAGTATCACTTCAGTCCAAAAAACAAAGTCCCTTTGGCGATGCCAGGGTTGGATTCAACATCGGAAAAAGTGCACTTTAGTGGAAGGAACGATCCAGGCAGTCACGTATACCTTGTATGGCTGCAGTTGGAGTTGACGATGACCGTGCCAGGTGCTCTGGAGGTGAGCGGATTCCGCTCTCTTGACGGAATCGACTCGCCTGCTAGGGATTCGCTTCCGCCCAACCAAACCGTTCAAAAGCGGCTCGTCCGACCAGAAGTCGCTTGCCAGAGGTTTTTCGGTTGATCGCTTGTCGGCATGATCCTTTAATCTGCTTGAGTCGTAAGAAATTTTTGTAGGGTGCCGCAAGAGGGGAAGCGCCGGAGGGAATTGATTGCTTTTCTCATCGTCCGTTGCACACGATTGTTCTCGAAAGCGGTCGAAAAATAGTGTTTGTCTGTACACTAATGATTTTTCCCCTCTGCAGAGTGTTAAGACGCTTGTTGACGAGTTCCCCAATGCGATTATTGGCGTAAGTCTCTGAAATCAAAGCCCGCAGAGCTTGTTTCTCGTTGTTGCTAGCTCCCTAGTATCTTCAGGCTCGTGGACAACTTTGAGCATCGACCTTGCATGCTTGCCTTTGGACATTGAAAGCGACAGATCCGAAGGCTAGCATGCACAAAGCTCTCATGTAGCATCCAAATGTCCACCCCCCTGCATCTCTTGGAATGCCACGTGTCACGCTCACCGTGCCACACGTGTCCAGGTCGGCACGATTTACACGGCCGAGGAGGCGGCAGCTGCGGCACAGGCCGGGGCGCACTTCGTCATGAGCCCAATCTTCAATGAGGTGGGTCTTCTATCGATAACTTTCAAAATTGATCAATAATAAGCCGCATGAATAGTAAGGACATTCTACCGGGCAAGAACAAACCGAAACCCTTAACCCAAACAATCATCCGCTTCGCGCCCCCGGACCTACTCTTACCATCATACCAACCGTACCCGTCCCCCAGGCGTGTCCTTCTTATCCAGAGGGCTTCTTATTCAGAGAATCGAGTCTTGTTTCTCATTGCCGGCTTCTACTCTTCCTTGAGATCGACGCACATGCAAAAGAAGCATGCTTTTCAATTTGCGGCAGGATATGGAACTCCACGTTTACGAGGGGTTACCTCTGTCACCAGCTGTTTGGGCCTGAAGTCCTTGTTCCGGCGTTTGTTTGCTTTCTTCCGGCTTCTTTTTCTATTTGTGAATGCGATCCTAAACCCGTCCGATACAGGTGGCCCCAAATCAGCTAGGCTTTTCCCAACGCAAAGAAGGAGATAAGACCCACTTTTGATCCTACCTTCAGTGCCGCACTATCAACGTGATCTTTCTTTGCTCGATTCCATTGCGAAAAATGAATTCCGTACTGCCGAAAGATCGCAAACCTGGACCTTGAAACCACGGGTCTCCCCGTGAAGCAGATTCTCCGCTGTTATCCACCTTTTGCATGGAGAAGCGTAAAGCACGTGCTCTTCTTACTTGAATGCAGGAGATTGTGGACGTCCAGAAAAAGTTGGACGTTTTGTACATCCCGGGGGCAATGACGCCCACCGAGGTGAGGGGCTCAGCCAAAACAATCTGCCGCTTCTGCGCGACTCTTCTTCTGTCGGACTTATGTGTCCTCCTTTTCTCTGACGCACACGGGCAGACGGTATAGGATTGAATCAGCTTGGGTGTATGCGAAGCCGCAACAAAGGTCTCGTGGCGTTAGCTCCCGAGATCCTTTTGTCTGATTGAGCGATTGTTGATAGGATTCAGAGCGTCGTTTGATGCCTGAGCGTCGGTGTGCTATCCTTTGCTCGAACCGACACTTGTCACTGATCAGGCTCGTATTTTGACGACCTCCGCGTGTTAGCATTGCAAGCAGATACACGGGGCTTCTCCTACCCTCAACAGATTCATGAGCACGTTCGGCGCCGGCGTTCGGCCGGTTCGGTTCTGCAACCCAGTCAGTAACCCGTTAAGTTACCGATCAGTAACCCTTTCCGAAACTCGTTCGGCAACCCGCAAGCCACAGGCGCTAATTTAAACTTTGGTCTGATTGGCTTCGTCAACCCATCAAAGGTCCCGGCTACCACTTTCCGGACTCTCTTGCTTGGCATCCTGCTACTGGTCGAAAGGTCTGAAGGGGTTCTGGTTTTCTGCAGATCTGGACCGCTCATAGGAGTGGCTGCCAAATTGTGAAGGTGAGCTACGCTGTTTTGGGGTCATTTGTTGCCAAAATGCTTCATTCAAGTGCTTTGTACCCCTCGCTCGAGGAGACATACTTACGCTGACGTCAGCGCTCTCGAATCCACTTTGCTTGACTTGTTTCGCGTCGTCATGCGCTTCTATGGCGCCACTTTCGTTCCGAGCTTTCGCAGAGATGACTGGACACTCAGGTCCAATCGTCCGAGATTGACCCTTCTGTAGCTGGGACGCAGGGGTTGAATGAGAGGACCCTCTCAGTCAAACACCCTTGATTCGCTGTATCGTACAAGCAATAACATAGACTCGCTGCTTTACGATTTTTGGTGCCGTGTCGTCATCAGAGAGTCGCACTGTCTCCTTTCCACGCATCGTCACACCCCACTTCCTCCCTCGGCTGAACGGATCTAGGAAACGTGTTCTTCTCCAGCTAGTAGGCCTTCGTATCCAAGGCACGAAGGATACAAAGGTATGGTACAACCCTGAATTCCTAAGCGCTTCTGGCAACCAGCACGATGAAGTTTCCTTCCTAGCCGACTTTCTGTTGAATGGCGTGTCATTGGGTTTTCTCTTAGTGTCACGTAAGACGTAAAGCCCTCGCCAGATCTGGTTGACGGATCACTTTTTTCCTGTGCAGGTCTTCCCCGCTTCGGAAGCGACACTCCGGGCCCTCCGCCGACCGCTCGCGAGCCTTCAAGATCCGCCGCTGTCGCTGGTCGCCTCGCACGGAATCCGGAAAGGTGAGAACACCGGAACAACCTTGACCGACAAAATGGTGAATCCGTAAAACCGTAAAGCTTACTCCGTAAAACCTATAATCACGAAGTTTTGGAACCTTTGTGCATCAATTGCAGATTGTCGAGGCGGTTATTCAGTCGCTGTTCAATCAAGCTCACCGAAAGTAAGGAGTGATGAAGCGCTTTGTGAACGGTGCCGATGTCCTTCTGTAGCCTGACTTCGAAAACTGACGCGAAGCAGGATAGAGCAACGAGCCACATCATCTTTTTTCGTCGGCTTCGAAGTCCAAGCAGGTGACGAAAGTAGCATTCTGTGAAAATTCGCCTCTGAGAACTGCATCAAAGCCACTGCTGAACAAACTCGTCGAACCCGCGCAGAGGACGTTGGACGGTATCTCGGCGATCGTTTGGCGAGCGCCGTCGTTCTTTCGGACGCCATCTTCGGACACGACCGGAGTGCGGACATCACTGCGGCGGCGCGGAGAGTAGTGGCAGTTGCGAAAGCCCATAAGCGATAACTAGAAAGTGCTTTTAGGTTCTAAATCAGGTTAGACTAGATGACCTTCAGGGAAATTACATGCGGTAGACTGTACATTCCTGCCCTGGGCGAAGATTAAATCTACAGTATAGAGCAGCTATCTTGAAGGGCGAAAGGTGTTGGCGTACCCAGGGTCACAAAAGGAGATAACGGTTGACGAAGAGGTGAGCAGACACTTTTCACACGTATATCGATGTTGCCCGCGCTGTGAAGTCAGTCGAGGCCGCCTCCACACATCCAACTTAGTAGCGAGCGACCTTATATGTTCAGCATCTCTTTGAGTCAAGAGCGGGAGAGATCAAAGGTCCTTGTAAGCAACACGTCTAGGTTCGACGGTCACCAGATTGTAATGGTTCATTGAACACTAGCTTTGTAAACGAGTCCTTTTAATGAATCGTTTGCCGGCCGTCCCCCGTTTTCACTCATATCAAAACCGCTCCGATTATCCGGGCCGAGATACACGCTCATCATGCTGATGCCCAGTCCACATGCCCGAGCACTAAGGGCGCGAATGTTTGCTTCAATATGCGTTTAAGCGCGGTAATGCACATGGATGCGATGGCCGGTCGGATCAGATTGAATGTAAACAGTAATTACATCATGTGCACGTTTTAAAGTATGCCCCGCGGGCTGCATGCGAGCCCAACACGCGCCGGAACACGTGGCACGTCTTGCTCAGATTCTCACTTCGCTCAGCTAGTATTGAAGCGCAAGCCGTAAACTAGCTCGCCGCACACTTTCAGGTTTATATCAGGTACCTTTGCACATGATCAGGCATCCAAGTCAATGATGTGATGTATAGATGCGAATGTCAAGGTCGCGCGATCGGATCGTTTATAGGCTGTTTCGGGGCCAAGTTAATCGTTTGGGGTGATGCAATCCGTTTGCAGCGATCAAAAGCGGCCAGAGGTTCGCATGAGGAACTCCCAAAGCGGACAACTCAAAGTTCTCAACCGACAAGTCGTTCGTTCACAGTTCTTTATCAGTCAACTTTCACGGACACCCAGCTTTTAAGAGAGCCCCACCGCCGAGCCGGGCCGCGTTGATTTTCACCCTATTCTGTTTCATCCCCGCGAGATTCTTGAGTGCCCTCTTGGCTTGCCCCCGCACTTCCGCATCGTAACTTCCTTCGAGACGAACCAAAGCCTCCAAAGCGCCCCGCACCTCCGCAATCGCCTTCTTGTTCGCCGCCCCGATTGCCAAGTTGGCCAGCGCCCTCGCGGCGTATCCCTTGACTTTCGCCTTCCGGCTGCCCAGAAGCCCCACCAGCCCGCACAAACACCCCGGCACCGCCACGATTTGCGCTTTAAGCTTCGGGCCGTGTGCGAGGTTTCCGAGCGCCCACGCGCCAAACTTCTGCAGGACCGCGCTCTTGCAACTCAGCAACCGCGCGAGCGCGTCCAACGTCCCCGGCGTGTTCGCGACGCGCGGCTTGTTCTCCACTTCGCACGTCAGGTTCACGAGCGCGCGCGCGGCGCGCATGCGCGCGCCCGCGCTAGGGCTGCTCAGGAGGGGAACCAAGCACGCGACCGCGCCCGGCGCGCGCGCGATGGCTCTGCTGTTGCTCGACTCGAGCGCCAGGTTGGCAAGGGCCCTCGCGGCCTGCTCCTGAACCTGCCCCGTGTTATCTTTTCCCAAAAGGCGCACCAAACCCTCTAGACTGCCCGGTATTGCCGCTATAGCTTTCCCAGTTTCTGTGTCAAGTGCCAAGCTCGCGAGCGCCCATGCCCCTAAGGTCTCTGATGATTTCAAGCCCGGCCTGCCATTAAGAAGGTTGGCCAATTTGCGCAGAGTCTCCGGCCCAGATGCAATTGCGCTCAGAACGGTGGAAGCTTTTGATCCTTGAGCCAAATTGTACAAAACATCCGCGGCCGCATTTTGCAGTGTTAATGCGCTCCGACCCCAGAGAAGCGTCGTCAGACACTCCAAACTTCGCGGCACAGCCAGGATCTTGTCCCGATTCTTTGCGTCCACTGCCAGGTTTTCAAGTGCCACAGCCGCCATGATCATTGTGGTCGCGCGCGCGCGCGCACTCATCAAAAGGTCCAGCAGCCGCTCTAGGAGGCCTGGAAGCGCACCAAGACCAGGCCCGTCCTCTTCACCCTCCGCTAAATCGCTGACAACATCCGCCACCACTTCCTGCAGGATCTCGTTCTCGCTCCCCAAAAGGCGCACCAGCCAATGTATTTGAATCGAGTCCTCATTTCTGGCTAGCTCAAACAGCATGTCTTTGGCGCTCCTTTGCGCATCGATGCGTTCGCTGTCCAGAGTGCACAATAGCTCGAGAATCTTCGGGAATGCAGCGCCTGCTGGCAGCCTGGCGTTTGCCATCTCCGCAGTTTTATCCTCGCAGTCTTGAAGCAGTTCAGAGTCCACAAAGCTGTGCTTGCTTGCGGCTCTCAGCAGCGCTTGCGCGGCAATGACGTCCTTTGAACAAACCGTCCCAGCTAGAAAATAGCGTGCCATCTCTATCATGCTGTTGGCGCTCCCAGCTACCGCACTCATTCTGAAAAACTCAAAGGCATCTGCGTCTTCCCCTCTTTCCCGCGCAAGCACTCCTTTGCTGAAGAGCACCTCCGCTGTGCTCTGCAACCTGTCTGGCTCAAAGTGCTCTTCGGTGCATTCCTCATTGTTGAACAAACCAATAATGCGCAGGCGCTTTGCACTTTGCTCCTCTTCTTGCAAGCGCTCTGCCTCATCGTCGGAGTGGCCCTCAAGCTCAGAGTGGGACCGCTTAGAAGCTATCGCAGGAGACCACAGAGAAAGAAGCCATGAGAGCACCATGGTTATGCCTGTTTGCAGCGCTAGGTCCGCTCATAGTCTATTTAAGCTGAGGCTGACAGGCAGCAGCCGCTCTGCAACTTCGAAGCACGAAGCTTGTTCAGAAGAACATCCTCTCCTAGTCCGCGCCTGGCCTTCCACCCTGCTTACACCTGAACAATTCAACACTCTGATCCATAGTGAGTGCCTGGTACCGTACTAGGTACGATCTTTGTGGTGCACGCTGGACCATCTCACGTGGCGGCCGCTCCGTGCACAAGGGTTTTAGGAAGTCTCGAACGTCGGCCGCGCGCGAGGTGAGCGCGCTAAGCCGCGAGCGCGACATGCGGAGAACGCCGATCGCAGTAATCGCCTTTGTCAAGCACTGTTTCTCTACATGGTTCAGTAGTTATTTGTACGGATGGCCAAAACACAGGCGGAAGCAAGGTAATTCTACCTGACTCGCGGTTGCTAAATATGATGAAGTCGCTGGTGCGATATGGAACGCCGTGCAGTATGAGAAAAGAGGGCTGAAGAAACTGATAAACAGATCATGATTGCGTAAGGTGCTCCGGTTCTGCACATCAGAACGTGTTACTTTTAAAGCGATGGCATCCCGATAGCTCGTGCGCATGCCACGTTGAGAAGGAGTACTGCCGCTGAATGATTGCAGATCGAAGCAAGAAGCACAATTGAGACGTAGCTTGACCTGCTTCTTCCGATTCCGAAAATCAGAGTCTCAAAAGTAAATCTACTTACACGAAATCGGCATGACTCCTTATGGGCTGATGTACTGTCTCAGATCCGTACATGGATTCCACGAACTTTCCACGATTTTAAAGCTCGGACTGCTCCACAGTCCTAGTGATACGAGTATCCTGCGCTCTTGTTCTGTGGTTTATGAATCGGACGCGCGTTTCTGACATGCATAAAACCACGCACATCAAGCAAGCATCGCATAGATCCAGATCGGAGATCATTATGGCTGCTATCAACTTACAGGGAAGATATCGCAGGACCATCGATACCTGTCTTCTGTAGTATATGATGCTACTTGACTATGGAGAGGTATCGACCGCTTCGAGGCGCCCGATTATCGTTCACTATGAGTGAGTGCAAGAGTTCAACAAAGAAGGCTTGAGCGTAGCTAAGAAGCTGCGCTTCCTTTGTTACAGGGAACTAGAGTGGTAGAAGAAATCAAGACAGACTGGGATTTAGCCTTGTCCAGATAGACGAAAAACTTATCCATGCTGCTCTGTCTACTTCACCTACCGATCAAAACGTCCTCTCATATCAGAAGCTAGGCACGAGGCAAAACTGAATCTGCAAGATCACCATGCATGAAGCTATCCCGTTTGATCCTTCTTCAAAATGCATCCACAGATTGCTTCCAAGTACCGTTAAGACGCTCACTACTTACGAAGACCGTTCTATAGCACCTTCACTGGTGCCGCCCTACCGCACCTTCGCAATCAACTTCTCGATCTCTTCATCTTTGCCTAGGTTCACGAGAACTTTGCTGGTATCTCTCTGCACTTCTAGATTGTTGCTGCTCGAGAGCCGCACAATTCGCTCCACACTGCCCGGCACTGCCGCAAACGCCTTCACGTTTGCGCTGTCAACCACGAGCTCAGCAAGGGCCCTCGTGGCCTCTTCCTGTATTCTTGCACTCTTGCTGCCCATCAGATCCGCAAGAGCTTCCCAAACTCCAGACTCTGCCGCAATCCTCTCCCTGTTGCGTCGATTTCCCGCGGCCAGATTGGCAAGCGCGAACGCTGCCCATTCTTGCACCTCCTGGTTCTTGTTGGACAGCAGTCTTGTGACAGCCTCCAAGCTCCCCGGCACCGCAGCAATGGCCTTCCGGTTTTCCGCGTTGCACGCTAGGTTCCCAAGAGCGCGCGCCGTTTGCATAGGCACATACGCATCCTCCGTATCCAAGAGCCCCACTAGTCTCTCCAGACTGTGTGGTGTTGTGGCAATGGGCTTCCTTCCTGTTGGCTGCCAAGTCCAGCGCTAGATTGGCGAGAGCCCTTGCGGCGTTCCCCTGAGCTTCCACATGCTCGCTACGTGACAGTTCAACCAAACCCTCCAAAGCGCCCGGCAGACCGACAATCTTTGCCTGATTTTCCCCGTCAATCGCGAGATTTGCAAGACCCCTTACGGACAGGTTCTGAACGCGGATGTACTTGCTTCTTAAGAGGGCGACCAGCCTCTCTAGACTGCTCGGAAGAGCCGCGACAGCACTTCTGCTCTCGTCGTCAGCGGTCAGGTCGGCAAACACGCTGACGGCCGGACGCAGTACGTCTATGTTTTTGCTGCCCAAAAGAGCTGTCAGCTTCTCCAAGCTGCCCTGACAATCAGCTATCGCCTTCAAGCCTTCCTTGTCGTTCGCCATGTCTGCAAGAGCGTCCGCAATCATCTCAAGACTTTCTTCGTTTCTGCTGCCCAAGAGGCTCACCATTTTCTGCAAGTCGTTCTCAGCTACCGCAGCTTTTGCTAGCGTCAGCTCTGCAGTCTGTTGGTCGCACTCCTCGAACAGACCAGGAGATACATGGCTCTGCTTTTTTGCCACCTGCAGCATCACACTTGCAGCGTCCGCGTCGCTTGGAATACCGTGCAGTGCTCCGAACAGGAGAGAGCGAGCTAGCTCTATCATGCTGGTGACACTTCGGGACAAAGCTCCCGTCCTGAAGAACTCAAGAGCTTTCTCATGGTCGCCATCTTCGACAGCAAGCACGCCTCTGACCAACAGCTGTTCAGCTGTGCTTTGCAGCATATCTGGCTGGAAGTCTTCTTCCGTCCATCCTTCAACGCTGTGCAGTCCAAACATTCGCAGGCGCTCTTTCCGCTGCGCCACCCTGCGCGCGCGCTTCGCTGCCGTGAGGAGGTCTTCTGTTTGATCATCGCGTCTCCGCTTGCTTTTGGACTGTGCAGATTGTCCTTCCTTCGAGGGCAGCAGAGAGAGAGTCCAGTTGGTCATGGCGCCCTTCCACACTTCCCTTCTCAGTCTCTGTGAAGCGTAGTAGAAGGGCGGCGGCGGCGGGCGGAGACGACCAAAATTGCTGCCAGTCTTTGTTCAAGGGCTTTGTTCAAGCGTTTGAGCGCCCTGTGCTTGACTTGGCGATTCCCAGCATGCATGTTACTCGTCGAGCCGAGGCGCTCGACGTCAGTGCTCCAGCAGTTTGCCCGAAACCTTTCGTAAACCCCGCGTAGGCGCCTGGCGGCCGCGCGAGATAGCCCTCGATCACTAAGCGCCCATTATGCGCCTCCCGAACTTAACAAACATGCATGATCAAGTGTCGGGTTACCGAGCTGTAGCGCGAGCCGCCACTCATGACACTCGCGAGCATGCCAAACGAAAAGCGAGTATACGTACCTTAGCGCCTGACCCCCTCTTTTACGGTAGTAACAAAACCCTGGTTGCGTCTATGGGGTGCTTGAGCCAGTTATGCTAAGAGAAGCGACCGCCGCAACAATCATACCGCACGTTTGTTTGCGGTTTTGTTCTGGCCGCGTGCATGATTTGTATATATGTATAGAGGTGTTTCAAGGTTTCAGGCCAGGCGCGGGCTGCAGGTCATGTGGTCTTTCATCAAGGCATCTCCTGGAATCAGACGCGTCGTCGATTATTACGCATGGGCCGGCGCGCTGCTTAGAGCCGCGCCGGCCATTCAGTTCTTCAGACAATCTCAGCTGACATACCTAATGCGCGACGTCATGGACACTTGCAAAGGAGCTGTGGCCGCCCTTGGCATGCTTGTTAGGTTCAACCCAAAGCTTCCGCAACCAGTGTCGAGTGTGTTGCAGCGGACTGTGCATGCGGATGCTGTGCAGCGGAACTGCAGTCGGACTCAATGTCGTCATGCAATTTTCCGAGCGCGCAGAGGGTCCTGGACTGTAACGATTTGAGGACCTCAGCTATTCGGGTCGCCGGGCCTTTCTCCTTTCACAACTTTTTACTCTCCCATGGCGGCGGGTTTGGAGCCTCGGAAGAAAACACACGGTTTGTTGCAACTTGAGATCGCAACGCAGGCGATTCTTTGTGAAAGGCGATTCATATAGTTCAAACAATCTCGCTCGGCTAACGTTGTCACTGCACGATTGTCAGGATTGTGCAAGGGTATTGATTGGGCGAGAAGGCATATGCGAAGGCGGTGAGAGGCAAAGCCGTATATACACTATCCGTGAGCAATGAGCGGATCGAACTACTGCTGGCCCCTTCTCTGCATTAGTTTGCACTGGGCTTTCAATTTTCGTGCCCGACAGAACAGGTGGCAGCTATTGCAAAAGCCGAATCAGCCCGTTATGTGTCGCAAAAGGAAGCACGCATCTACGACGTTCACGTCATTCATAAACCTTTGTGAATCTCCTCGAATTCTCATCCCCCATCACTTATCCCCTTCCGTCCTGAGCTTATCACCGCCGCCAACTTCGGGACTCCTCGAAAGACCTTCCAAAAAGAATCTCGTCCACGTCAGCGTCACGGTAGTTTCCGTACTCGTCTAGTCCCCCGAACTCATCGCCCTCGCCGAACTCTTCGAACTCCTCGTAATCGTCCGCTTCTAGTTCGTGGGCCTCCAGTCCGCCCACTCGGGGCCCTTGCCGATGCTCGAAGCGTTCCGGCGGACACCTGAAAGAATGGAAACGGAAACGCACCGTCATTGTAAGAGGAAAACGGGGTGCAACGTCTGGACGATCAAGATGATTTTGATTCATGTATGACGAGCAGACTACTGGATGCGCAAGCTCGACTACTTTGCCGGAACAAGCTGAAAACGCTTTCAAGGCGTGATGACGGTGCGACTTCATCAGACGGTGTGTCAAACATCCATTCGATTTGCCCATTCGCTGCTTTCGCCCCAACCTCCGAGGAGCAACCCTCTAGCCGCACATTGGCCATTGTAGATGTCTGCGCCGGGGCTCGTCCTTTCACTTAACGTACAGGAACTTTTGGCCGGTAACCAGGCTGATAACCAGAGTTCAGTTCCAGATTATTGGACAATAAACCGGGCTTTCGCCTTATTCCAAGGTTGATTACCGCCCAAGTCTGGTTACTGGACGCTTAGCCTCTTTTCAACCAGCTCATAGCCAGCCCAGAACCATTTATGATCAAGGGCCCAAAACACCTGTGGTTCTTGCAAGTATGCTTGAAGATGCCATCAATTTGTATCTGAGGCTGTGGAGCTCGCGACAGGTCACAAGTAAAGAGCACACACCGGTGGTTGGGCGAAGTTGCAAGCCCCTCACTTGTTCCAATGTCTATGTTGCGGAAAGATCACTCAAGCGCACTGGGTGCCAGATCAGTTCATGGGCTGAGCCTGGCTTAAACGGAAAGCTTCCTGGCAAATTGTCTAAGAGCGGAAACAAACCGAGCTTCAGAAAGAGCTAAAATATGAAAACCCTAAACCCTAAACCCAAGAAAGCAAAAATGAGCACGCACCGGTAGTCGGGCCGGTTTGCGAGCCCCTCGTGCACGTCCCACCAGTGGTACAGCACGTCCGCCGACTTGACCAGCCCCGGCTTTTCCCCGACCACCACAACCCGCCGCTCGGACGCCCGCACCCGCGCCAGCGCGCGTCCGAAGTCAGAGTCGTCCGAAACCAGCACCACCGACTCGACCTGCATATGAGTCAATCTTGCTGTCTTGTGATTGTATGAAATTGATGTTTTGCTTTTGCGGGTTCTGAGTACTGGGGCAATGGACGTCTGTACCGGCGCCAGAACACGTCCGAAGCCGGAGTCGTCCGAAGCCAGTACGACCGACTGGACCTGCGAATCAGTTTGATCTGAAAATTTGTGTTGTTTTTTGGTTAATCCGAGTATTGGGATCTGATGGCCTGGGCTGTGTGACTCTGAGGGGTTTCGGACGCCCGCACTCGCGCCAGCGTCCGAAGTCGGAGCCGTCCAAAACCAGCACGACCCACTCGGAGTGCGTTTCTTTCCTGTCAAAGTTCTCTTTGTTTGTTCCATTCGAGCTATTGGGGTCTGATGGCCTGGCCTCTGATGAGAATTTCACATTCAGCCCTTTCAAAAGTAGCAGGACAACATTGACCTGAGATACGAATCACGTTTCTCCAGCGAAACGACCTTTCAACGATTCAGCAATAGAGACGGCACGTTCGAAAAGACTGCCACCCAATAACCACGAGGATGCCCGGATGACCAAAAGAGTCCGATCGGAGGTCCAATCGAAGCATCGAAACCGCAAGGGCTTCAGCCCAACGACTCACGTGGTTTGGTTTGGTTAGGAGATACTCCAGATCGCTTATGATCGCCGCGTCCGCGGCTTGTGACTGATCCTTTACTTCCCGCACGCGCACGCCCCGGCTTTTCAGGTCTGACATCAGCCGGTAGCCCACTTTCGGCGTGATGATGTCACGAGCGACGTCGAAGTACGTGTTGCGTGCGTCCTTCTCTTTGATCTTGGCGAAAAGGCGCTTCGATTGTGACGGTTTCTTTTTGCTGAGGCTCTGCGCCCTGCAGAGCGAACGAGAACCGTCGGTTTGGGCCGGGTCTTAAGACGTCTTGAAAGGACCCGCGTCTCCTTTTGGAGTACCACCACCGATCTGCAAACCAGAACTTCGACTAGAACGGTCTTATGTTACTGACAATCTGCGTTTTGCGAACCGAAAGACAGCCGTTGTTCAAGCTTTGTCGAGGGCCATCAATTCCCTTCTAGGGCGGCCAGGGCGTAATGAATATGAAAACTAGCTTCTTTGGGTTCAAGTCTGAAAATTCGGCTCTTTATCCCTGTTGGATGCGCGAGAAGGTGCTTTGACGGGGATGCCTTCGTTTATGGAAGTTCTGAACTCTGCCGGGGCATGCAGGACCGTCGCTCTAGAACGGGGGATAGACTCAAAATGAGGAAAATCGTTGAAATCTGAAACTGGCCCGCAAAGGACCACAGATCTGACAAGCGAGGGTGTCCCTGGAAGAACTCCTCTTATTGAGGCCCCATGTTCTGGAAGAGACGGATAGTCGTGGCAACAAACCTTGTTTCGTTCCATTTTAAAAACGCCGCAAGTCTGAGTCGGGTCACAAAGTGGAACAGCTGTGCAACACAGGTTCATTGGGCAGTTGTTGCTCTGGCAGATGAGCGTGGAGGGTCTTTTCAAGGAGGCCCTGGCCTTCGTTCAAGAGGAGGGCCGTTAACATGGTCAAATTGGTCTAAACTGAAGAGCCGCTGATTAAATTGAGCAGGTTTTCGCCCAGCCCCCCAACTAAGCCGCCTATCTCTCACCTGTTGACCTTCTTCTGGCGCTCCCTTTCGTGCAGCTGCTTGAAGTGCTTCTCCAGTTTGTCCGCCGTTTTCAGCTTCGCCCCGCAAACCCCGCACCGATAGGGTTCGTCCGAAACCCGAACCCCTTGCCGCTCCTCTAACCGGACCTGCTTCCGAAGCTCCCTTTCTTCCCGGACGTACGACGGGATGTGCTGGAATGTGTGGCGGTTGGCATACGCCCGGAACTCTTTGACCTGACAGAGCCGGTTGAGATTGTTCATACTTCGTTCTAATCTATGTTCCGGCAGCCCGAATTTGTTCTTAGGTATAAAAGGATATCATAACAGCGTCAAATGCTCGAAACAGACTTCCGTCGGACCAGACGACATCGGAATTTTTGAATAAAGAGCGAGACAATATATCTTCTTGGCACGCAGATTGTACGTGAATTGAACAAAGATGGGAGCAATGACGAAATGACGTTGCTGACCTGGCCAAAGCGCTCCCCAATGGCACGGATGCGGTCGGCCACGACGCGGGGGTCCTGGTTGGGAGTCTTGTTATCCAGGTCCCAATAGATCGCCACCTGGCAGCAGGACACGAGGCTTGGAGAGTAAGAATCTTGACAGGTCTCCGGCTGACAAGACACGAAAGATTGAAAGACCAAAGTCTTGCAATTTTCGCAGCATCGTGAAATGAGGAACCAGATTCGCCTCAATCATCCTTAGACTGCTGGATCATCATACGCCTTGAAGTCCTTCAGATCAACTGGCCATCAGATGGATGGTCACAGAAGGAACAGGCCAAACGTCATGTGTTTCGAGCAGGGCCCGCATTTGCGGCACCCGGTAAGGTTAACGTGCCATGGTTCGAAGTAAAGCTGGATCCTGTCAAAGCGCTAACTGTACCGCACTGCCACTTGAGTTCGCACCCCAACGCCGCGAATCCTTGTTTTTTCATTTCAACCTTTCGACCAGGCAACAGATAATTTCCTGAAAACTTCCACCTGGGGTAAAGTTATTATTTTCTATGCGAACTCACAATCGCAGTACGGTAATTCAGATACCCCAGAAGCGGCCTTTTCGGAGGCAGTCAAGACATAGCATATCAACCTGGGATGGACTCCTAGTCGGACAGCTGTGCAATTCAAGAAGTCGAACAGAGAATTTCCTCAACAAGGAAAGCCCATTCAGACGGTTCGAACCCGTTGTCACTCCGCACTGGGCGTCCAAGATCGACATACCGATTGGGAAGGCCGCGCTGTGCCGCATTTGTGAAAAGGGCCGCTGATGGGGCAGGTGGTCACAAGATGAAGAAATGATGCAAGCAATGACTCACTTGTGGTCTGAGTATTTGAGGGGCCTCCCCCTCCATACCACCAGGAGCACCAGCTGGTCTGTAAGCAGCCGTAATGCTCCTGATGCCCCTGCTTTGCAATTCTCCTCGTCTTCTGTCCAAAAGCTCCGTCACGATGCGACTGCCCAGCTGGGAATTGCTTGAGAACGCACGTCTTTCGAGCGCTGCAGTTTTAAAAAGTCCCTCCAGTTTTCTTGACGCATTCTCCAAGGAATCTTTGTTTGAGGGAAGAAAACGTGCCTTTGAGCAACAGGCTTCCGAGAAGAAGGGGCTGGTCTTCCCGCCTGAAAGACTTGATGGCATGAAAGCCGAGGAGGGACATGCGCTCAGCGCACGAAAGCTATCAACAAGGGCGGCGATGGGCTGAACGTGGGGGCGGCATGAATTTCGTAGCCTTGGGCCCAAACACAATGTGCCGGTGTTCTGGACGAAGAGAAAGGGGCGTGTTGACGCCATGTCTGCGCCCTTCGGACCGGTTAACTTTAGGAAAAGAACAGGCTTGATCGGCGAACGAGCTGCATGCTCGCTGCAGTAAAACTAGAGCGGCATTTCTATTCAGCCCTGCGTATCCATTACCATCTTCGCGGTCAGCCTGGCCGTGCACTGCGCAGGCGCTGAAGGCCCGGCCGCGGGGCTCTGCTCGGTAACGGCGCATAACCTGCCCCAACTTTTGGACGCAGAAGTACCGTTATCGGACCGGTTTTCGACTCGAGGATCCAGATTTTGGCGGGAAGCTCGTGAATCAGGGGCGATAACGGTTGCTTGAAAACCACTGCAGCAGCTCCAAAATCTACGTAGAACTCACAAGCTGCGCTCCGATCGACTCCATGTTTTGCCAGCCATAAAACCTGAGGCTGACGTGCTGTGCCGCTGCGCCCACAATATTGGGGCTCACGCATTGGAACGGGTGCCAGGGCAGATGTCCTCCACATTCCTCATCAAGCAGGGTCCGTGCTTTCAGTCGCTCAGAAAGGCCGCAGGCTCCCAGTTCTCCCTCAAGAAACCCACGTCACTCCTGTCATCCCTCAACTTCATCTCCACCAAGCGGGAATCCATAGCCCCTGGGCACCCATCGAGCCTCCCTTCCGCCAAGGGAAGTCTAAAGAGTCTGCTTTTCAGTCAAAGCCCATCAAGCAAAAGGGGAATAAGCAGCGCGGTCTCAGCAGGGTTTGGGGGTTTTGACAGGCTGGCAGCCACGGCGCCTAACGCAAACGGCGAGCTGGACGGAGTAATGGGGACCCCTCGGGGCAAGCCGATGAAGTACATAGTGGTCACAGGAGGAGTGGTTAGTGGGCTCGGGAAGGGGGTCACTGCGAGCAGCATAGGAGTGGTGCTGAAAGCGTGTGGGCTGCGGCCGACGTCCATCAAAATTGGTAAGCGAGCATGGGGCGCCTTTCTTCTGAGGTGTTGCACATTGTCTCAACAGTTCAGCTTGTTTAGCTTGTTACGAGCTCAGCTTACGTGTTCAACGAACATGCGAATAACATAGTCTTTGACATGGTTAGCAACCACCTTTGCATCAAGAACCTGAGTTTCTCATGAAATGAGATCGTTGGTAATGATGGGCAGCTTTGTACAAGTCTGTCAACTTTTTCTGTAAGCAACGATTGCTGCACACTGTTGCATCCATCGCTCTTTCAGCGCATTTTGTTGTGCTTTGCCTTAAGTGAATCTGTTCTTAGGAGATCTCCGCGGCTGGGCACTTGTGCCGTTACTCACCAGTACGCTGGCTGTCATCGCAGACCCTTACCTTAACACCGATGCTGGCACAATGTCTCCCTTCGAGCACGGAGAGGTGTTTGTTCTTGATGATGGTGGTGAGGTAAGCGTCCCAAATACATCTCCGTTAGTTTGGTCTTCTAGAACCTTCCTCGTGCAGTTGAAGGCTTGGGCGGTTGCCTTTTGAGCTCCGAACTTCATGAAATGTAATCTTTGATCTCCAAACGTCACAAGCAAAACCAGAAGTAACATCAGTGGTTGTAACATGTGTTGCTTCAGCATAAAGCTTACTGTCACTTGAATGCCTTAAGTCTCAAGCACGCCAGCTCGCAGTGATGAGTTGCCATTCTCTCACTGGTGCAGGCCGATCTCGATCTTGGGAACTATGAGCGCTTCCTCGATGTCACGCTCACCGCAGATAGCAACATCACAACCGGCAAGATCTATAAGGTAGGACACACGCGGCCCGGTCGAACCTGTCAGCACTTTGGCCAGTGCCCTTCACATAGGCTAGAAGTCTGCTGTGCTGGGGCCTTCCTGTCTATGATTGGACTAATGATATATGAAAGTTCGAAGCGCACCGAACAAGTACTTCAAAGCTTGTATGAGCACCCAAGCATTGACGCTTAGTTCGCCACTTGGAGCCAGTCAGGTTGAAGTCGACCTGTGCGCATCGTCAGTGGCACCTCTGCACATGTCAAGTTTATGCTCAGGGCCCCTTCTAATTGACGCAGTCAGCTCTACGTGCTTCTGTATACTGATCTAAGAAAGTTTCTCTGGCCTGGCAGTCTGTGATTGACCGAGAGCGGCGGGGCGACTACCTGGGCAAAACGGTCCAAGTGGTACCTCACATTACAGATGCGATCCAGGATTGGATTGAGCGGGTGGCCAGCGTGCCGGTAAGTCTGCTTGTGTTCTTTCTTCTGCTTCTTGTCGGCCTTGTTATTATCCCTTCTCAATCGCGGTGATGCCGGCAATGACACCCCATTGCATCACTTGTCGTGTATGCAATGGTTGTTTCTTTCACTTTCTTGCTTATTCTACGGGGTAAGTAAAAACGTGGTCTTGCACAGGAACCGGAATTTATTGGAGACCGGCTGATTAGCTTTATTTTCCCGGGTATACCACCTTTTGGGCGGACGTCAAAAGCACACACTCGTAGAAGAGTGTCAAACTTCCCGCTTTCTTTGTCGCAAACTATCCCGTACTAAATCGAAAGCCCTCTTCTTGGCTTTGCAGGTGGATGGGCAGGAGGGTGCGGCAGATGTTTGCATCATTGAACTGGGCGGAACTGTCGGTAGGTTCCGTTGGAATCTCATCATCAGTTGCATCAAGTGCTTACAAACAGCTTTTAGTGCTTACAAGCATTTTGTGCCACCTTGTCTCCTCAGAGTCGGTTAAAAGACATAATGGCTGCTGATATCTGTGTGTTGCAATTTAGAACCTTCACCTCAGGGTGGACGTCAAAGCCTGCGCTCCGAAAAGGTTTTCCAAGCTCAGTACAGATCTGCCCAATCAAGTCCTACCTGACCAACCCTTCTAAAACTTCTTTGCATCACCAATTCCGACTTTGATAAGCATTAGAGGTCCTCTTTCAGATTGCCACCAACAAACCGCGCAGCCACAATGGCCACCCTTTACTCTAGTAGCATGGTGGGAGAAGGACGTTGAAAGGTGGTTTGGATTTCACTGATGGCTTGTAGTGGCTCTGCAGGTGACATTGAGAGCATGCCCTTTGTTGAGGCGCTTCGGCAATTTCAGTTCCGAGTTGGTGAGCGGCCATCTTATTCTATGTCAGATTTTGTTAGGGAGGTTGCAGCTCCGCTTCATGAGACAGTTTGAAGACTCTTTTTGGGTGGCATTCACATGAGTCCGCCTGGTCTTGTAGGTTAGGTATAGTTTAGGTCATTTTAAATTATAAGCGCATTCTTTATGCTTAATTGGATCTTCTTGAGTATGTGTGTTCGAAGAGCCAAACATTGCGAAAGGGTTTTGCCTTGCCGCCCACCGCTAATGTGCAAACAGGGTTTTGACGACTGGTTATTTTCATCGGTGCCAACTTCGACTTCTTCCTTGGATCGGTATGTCCTGGTCACCTTTGCTTCGTCGAGCAACCACAGCCTCAAGTTCGGTACAGTTGCCCTCTTGAAATCGATCATCTTCATTCGATTCTAGTGTGAGTCTGACTGTTATCTCTCTGTAGGGTGAGACAAAGATTCGTGTTAGCTTTCGTTTCTTCCACACGCCAAGGTAAACTAATGACTCAGATGTTCTCCTCCACAGGTCGAGACAACTTCTGCCTGGTCCACGTGAGCCTGGTTCCCGTTCTGGGCGTCGTTGGTGAACAGAAGACCAAGCCGACCCAGCACAGCGTCCGCGAGCTGCGCGCGCTCGGGCTCACGCCGCACCTGCTCGCCTGCCGCAGCGCACAGGTGGGTCACGTTAGAATCGTCTTCTCCAGCCATCCGCGCACCGTTTCAAAGTCACCTCTTGAACGCCTTTGATTTCTTGGCTGATCCGGAAGGTCCGCTTTTCTTTCACTTCTTTCGCTTCTAGTGTGGTTTGAAAGTTGTCGATTTTCATGGCACACCTCGTGTGCTGAGACCAGTGGCAGCGGAGTATATCTGGGTACTGCATACGATAGCTCTAGAAGTTTCCGACCATCTGCAATCAATCCAAAGCCTGGGGTCCATTTCATCGTTTGAGAACTACCGCATCCCCTGGAGCAGAGTACAAAAGCAAGGCCGTTGCGTGTCACCAGCTTCGCTCTTTCACAACTGAGCTACCCCAACACTGTTAGTCCACATCAAAATCGCAGGGTTTAGATGGTTCTACTCACGCATCTCCCGTCTTCTCTTCGCAGCCCCTGGAGCAGAGCACGAAGGCGAAGCTGTCCCAGTTCTGCCACGTGCCCACCGACCACTGCCTGAACATCCATGACGTGTCCAACATCTGGCACGTGCCGTTGCTGCTGCGAGACCAGAATGCGCACAAGGCCATCCTGCGCCAGCTCGGATACCAGGTGGGCATCGCTTATGGGCGCTAAGTCAGTAGCTTATAGTTGACGGTTGGTTCGCTTATGGTTGGCCGAACCGGAGAGCTTCTCGCTCGGACGGGAGTGTTCGGCCTCAAGCGTATACGTGACGCCCGCTTGTTTTTGCGGGGTGGCTCTTAATCTGGTCGCGGCTATCGCTTATGTTGGCAATCGGGGTGGTCGCGCAATCTTTGATGTGCTACAGGCGTTTCTCATAATTCAGTACCGCAGGACGATTTGAGGCGGAGCAGTGCAGAACTCTCATTTGTGCACGAGCAAACGAGAGCAAGTCCGCAGCGCAAAGTGATTTACACTTACGACTCTTCCTCTCTTCGGACTCTCAGTAAAGGCAGAGATGAAGCCTTCTTGGCTAAAGTTGGTTTGTTCATATCTTCCTCAGAACCCCCCCGAGCCGCATTTGGAGGACTGGAGCAAGCGCGCGGTGCTGTGGGACTCGCTCACGCGGGAGGTGAAGATCGCCATGGTCGGCAAGTACACCGGACTGTCCGACTCGTACCTGTCCGTACTCAAGGTGAGCGTCCGGTGCTGGCGGCTCTCTGATTCAGCCGTTCTATCTCACCGCGCTGATAGGCGACAATCTCTGGTTTATTTCTTGTCAAGAGACAGCGGCGTCAGCATGTTGGGATTCCGTGTTATTGAGAACACTTCTCTGAGGTTGGTATGGGTAATTGTTGGTAGCTCGCAAGGCGAACCGGCGGGCTTGTTTCTTGTCTTGCAAAAGATCTACGGCACAGTCGGGGCTTTGTATCTTCGGCTCGCAATTTGGAAGATTGGGGGACGACCCTTCTTAGTTGGTGCATAAAACTGTTTAAAGGAAATGTTTTGAGGTTCCGCAGGTCTTTCGACATTTGCCTCTTTTTGCGTTGTCAGTTTCCAAATTTTCATCCCCGATGAAGGACCGTTTCTGCTCTAAGTCTTCCTCAAGGGCTTCGGGTATTCAACTCCGGTTCTAGTCTCATTTTTGCCCCCTTTTTGAGAGCATTGGTATGCTTCGCTGAGTTGAGGATTCCAGCACTTTGTCTGTATCTTGTATTTCATGTTTTTTGACGGATCATTAGCCTCTGTTTCAATCACTTTAGCACTGCTCTCACAAAGAATGTAGGACAGCATTATAGGCATCGGTCACCGTGGTAATCTCTAAACCAATACTTTCAGTTTCTCAAGCTGCACGCCGATGATGACATCAATCGTTGTTGAGACCTGATGCTGGCATACGCTTGCATGAAGACCAACACCTTTGTCACTACCACTGAGGCGCAGCCAATCATGTTGCTGATCAGCATTTTTGAAGTTCGACACTCTTAGCGGACAGGATGCAAGTGGCATCCTTGTTGATTCTGTGCCGACATGTTTGCGTACGTTTTTTTGACAGCGTATGGTGTTCCCTGAATCCTCTTTCCTTAATCTCGAAGTGATTGCACAAAGTCATGCAAAGTGCACTTTTGTGCATGTTCTTTATTTCCGTTCCTGTGAAGCTCTCGACCTTCTCGAGTCCAATAGTGCGACCGAAAGCTGTCTACTCTGGGACATTCAATACTTTCGAGTGTTCTCACCTGCAAAAACTTTTCGCAGGCCCTTCAACACGCGTGCATTGCCTGCGGGCGCAAGCTCGTGGTGCAATGGGTAGCGGCCACCGACCTTGAACCAGCAGCGGAAAAAGAGGTAGGCAATCTCGGAGACGTCCGGGCATTGGTTTGGGACTTGCATTCTAGCAAAATTTTGATCCACGAAGCGGCTTGGGACGACCTGAGTACTTTTTCCGCAACTCAGCTCAATTGTGATGTCGTCTAGCTCTGCGACGAAGGACGGAATCGATTTGCTATGTGCGGACGACAGTACTATGGCACAGGGACTCGTTCTGGCCTTATTGGAAGCGTTGCTGTTAAGAAGCGCTAACAGGGTCAATTTGTTGCACCCACTTTCGAGGGTCAATACTTGACGCGAAGCTTGTTCCACTCTGCTTGAACAGAGCCGCGACGCTTTTAAGATTGCTCTATTTACTTTGGAAAACTCACAGCGAATGTTTCAGAATGAGTTGCGCAGGTTAGATGTAAGGTCGTATGAACCTTGTTTTACCTCTCATTTCAGAGCCCTGACGCTTTCAAGACGGCGTGGGCTACATTGAGAGGCGCAGACGGCGTGCTTGTGCCGGGTGGGTTCGGGGACCGGGGGGTGCAGGGCAAGATTCTTGCCGCTAACTTCGCCCGGGTTAATGACAAACCGTACCTGGGGATCTGCCTAGGCATGCAGGTAAGACGGCTAACCAAATCCACCAAATCCACATGCAACCATCTACTTTGGCATATAGAAAGTGCTGCTTCAAAAGCCTGGGTGGACACAGCTCTTCCAGAGATCGACTCAGCTGATTGATTCGGAGCTGATTGATCTATTGAACAAGCTATGCGAGGTTTGAACACTTGGAAAACGGACCCGTGACCTGCTGCCAAAAGAATGTCCGGGTGCAGAAGTATGCCCGCTTAATGCTTCCTTTCGCTTGCGCAGATGGTAAGAATACCGCTCATTCCTCAGTTAGCATCAAATGGACCAAAAGATTCTCCCTTCCCTTGTGCACAACACAGATCGCCGTTGTCGACTCTCCCCGCTCCGTTCTCGGCCTGTCCGACGCCAACAGCACCCACTTTGCCTCATACAAATCTGCACACTACACAGCCCCTTCAAGCGTTTGTTAACAGTTACTAATTCCCTACCCTCTTCACTGCAGATCGCCGTGGTTGAGTACGCCCGCTCCGTTCTCGGCCTGTCCGACGCCAACAGCACCGAGTTCGACCCCGCGACCCCGCACCCGTGCGTCGTGTTCATGCCGGAGGTGTCCAAAACGCACCTGGGCGGGACCATGCGGCTCGGCGCGCGGCGCACGCTGCTCACGACGCCCGAGTGCATCACCGCTAAGCTGTACCAGGCGGAGCAGTTCATCGACGAGCGGCACCGGCATCGGTATGAAGTGAGTGAAGATTACTTAGGAAATTAAAATACCTCTGAAAACTGTCGTTGTTTAGATTGTTTTCGAGTGTTGCCCTCGCGGCGTTTGAGTGCATCACCGCCAAGCTCCACCAGGCGGAGCAGTTTATCGACGAGCGGCACCGGCACCGATATGACGTGAGTTCGGAATACTCAGAGGATTTGAAGTATTCAGAAGGTTCTCTTTGTAGAAGAGATTTTGAGGTGACGAGCATTGCCTTGGCGGTGTTTGAGTGCATCACCGCCAAGCTGTAATAGGGGAGCAACTCTTGGACAAGCGGCACCGGCACCGTTACGAGGTGATTTTCAGCGTTTATTCTTGGCGGAGCTTGGACAATGGTAGATTCAATTCTCAAAATGTAAGAATGAGCACTCACTAGAGGGTGCTTCTGGTTTCGAGGCGGAGATGCATGTGCGGACGCATCGTAGGGTTTGAAGCAGACGCGGGTATCTGGACAGGCGTGTTAATATCGTATGAGAGGCTGCGTTTACGATTCCCTTCCACGCCCACACATTCTGGGACGGCTTTTTGGGGACTTTGAGGACGATGACTGACATATTGGTCTTTCTTGTCCAGGTGAATCCGCAGATGGTTCCGCAACTAGAGGCGGCGGGGCTGCGGTTTGTGGGCAGAGACGAGACTGGGCAAAGAATGGAGGTGAGACGCAGTTCTTCGCCTCTACAGCCGTCACGTTGCCTTCATACGCGGAGCATCGATCGCTGACTCTTCTAGGCAACATGGGGCGTTGCCTCGCCGTTGACTGCGCACTGGGAATCGATGTCTGAAGCCGTTCACAAGTGTTTGGGCCGTACCCTTTGTAGTGGTCGGGAGTTTGAGGAAGTTGTGGCTGACTCTCCCCCTTCCTTAGGTAGTCATAGTCTCCGTTCCGAGCCTGAGATTCTTTCGATCGTCAGAGCGGTGTGGCTCATGCTGGAAGAGCGTGTTCATCTGCAGAGATTCGCCTCACTGAAGTGCATCTTGACACCAGATCTTGCAAAAGCTTTTCTCTGAGGCCAGGTTTGTACCCCTCTGTGTCACAGATTATCGAGCTCCCGACGCACCCCTACTTTGTGGGTGTCCAATTCCACCCCGAGTTCAAGTCGCGACCTGGCAAGCCCTCCGCCGTCTTTCTAGGTAAGGAACCCATTTTCGTTGGCTTCATTCGTCGCCTTTTCAATTTTGCAGTTTTCATGACTGAGCCTCGAGACCAAGGTGGTTAAGTCAAGCCACACTGCTGGAAAGGGCTAGTAATCGACTTTCAGTAATTGAAGTCGAGTGCCCAAGCTTTTCCCTAGCCTGCAGGGGAGTCTGCACGTTTCGTAAGCGGCTCAGCCTAGAGGACACGTTTCTCTGCGAGTTCCGTCCCAGGGAAGGATATGCCATCCAACGGTATTTCGCTGCAAAACCCAAGAGACTGCGATTCCCGTTCAATCAAGACAGAGGTCTTCAAAAAAGTTTGTTGACATCGACGGGCTTGGAACTTTAGGAGAGGAATGTGAAACGCACAGCGCTAACAACCAGTGAAGACAGTGCAATGAAGTGTTTCATACGGTTTTGCAGGTTTGATCCTGGCGTCCTCTGGTCAGATGGACGCATACTTGCGAGGCAACGACGCTTTGGTCGAACCAAACGGCCGGTTCCAGTCGCCAATGAAGCCCGCTAAGCCAGGATATAAGATAACCGAGCACATTACCTTGTAGCCGCTTGCTTGCAGTGTAAATATATATTTCAGAAGGTAGAGGTCTGCAGTGTGTGTGCGGTCATTTTCCTGATATAACCCTGCCCAAAAGGTTGTTTCCAGGAGTGCAAAAAGGTGGAAGGTTGACGTTTACTGGACACACTGCTGGAAATCTTGAGATCTGATAGCGTGATGGATTTGCACCCCGCTTGGGTGCTTCAGACAATCGCTAATGATGGTCCCTTTTCGTTCTCGCCGTAGCCAAATAGGCCATAGGCTTCTCATGGCACACATATATGAGTGTGTGTGTTTGTTTCCTCAGCTGATGCAACATTGCATGACGGCAAGCAAGAAAGGTATGTTCGCTTGATGATTTGCAATTATGATGTCACATGCTGGTTTTTTAACTGTCGTTTGCACATACCATCACCTCCCATCCGACTGCTGCTTTGTGGGCAGTACAGGATTATCGTGTGAAGGTTCGGCGATCGTGCATTGAACCGCAGCTGAAGACAAGACGCGTGATGTGTGCGGTCACAGTGTGGCCGCGTGCTTACGTGCCATGTGATGCTGTGCATGTGCATAAGTATGCACTACATGAATGATGTTGCGCATGCGAGGTTAATGTTTACTAAGTGAGCTTTAGTGATATATGCCCGATTGCATAGGTAGGTATAGGGCCAGGCGGCTACGCGCAGTACGATCCATGATATATCAGACTTGAAAGCCGACACTTGATTGTAACAATCTGATTCGTAAACGGCCATCATGTAAGAACAAGATCTGTGCGCTCGCATTTATACCTCGTCCCCCGATGCAGCGCATCTGCAACTTTCTGTGTTACCTTTTTAACCTACGCAACATTCTACACAGAATGTTGCGAGCATTCTGTGCAGAATGCTCGCAACACTGTGATTGACCTATGCAAAATGCTTTGCGACGAACTTTTCTACAAGAGCGTTTACCAGGTCCGGCGCCTCGTCCTGTCATGAAGAACACAGACAGTTTTTCAGTCAAGATCATGCCCAAAACCATTGAAACCACAACAACGTTCTGAGGACACCTCTTCTTGACACGTATTCTGGAAGCATTGAAACAAAGGTTGCGGCCTTGTCATACAGCATCTCCCGAGCAGCCTGCCACTTTTGATATGACCCAACTTGGACTAATCTCACACAGCAGCAAAGTGACTAACGGACGAAAACGATTTCGTCGGAACCGGCATGTTGCTCAGGAGAAGCCGTGATTACGGACGAGTGGAATGCTAACCACAATCAGCCGCTTAAAGTAAGTATGCAACGACTGACCTGCGGGCAGTGCCCCACATTCGGCAACACGACGAATTCCTCCACGTTGTCAAACTCGCCGTACGCGCGCCCCAGCTCGACGGGCTCCCACGGGTCCTTTTCGCCCCAGCCAATCAGGATCGGACATGTGGCACGCGGGATGAGCTCCTCGGGGAGTGGCCCGAACGAGTAGCAGATGAAGTCTAGGAACACGTCAGCGGCGCCCGGTTGTAAACCCGGTGTCAAGATGAAGTCGACTAGTTCGTCGGTCACGGCGGAGTCGTCGTGGTATGCCTGCGCACGGTGACGTCAGCAGAGGGTTGACTATGACGTCAGAGCGGGTCAGTGAATTGTTGGAGAGCAGAGGCGTTGAAGTGGCCGGAGGCCCGGGTCTAGGATGAAGTCGACTAGTTCGTCGGTCGCGGCGGAGTCGTCGCGGTACGCCTGCGGGAGATGACGTCAGCAGAGGCGTGAGATGGCAGGTTATGACGTGAGGGCAAATCGGTGAAGTGTGTTCAAACGGGATTCTGGAACGAAGGTCGACTGGTTCGACTGTGACGACGCAAGTCGTTGTGACATGTCTGGAGGAGATGACGTCAGCAGGGCTGCGAGTTGGAAAAAAATTAACGTCCTAAAGACCCAGTGGCAGACAAAGGTGTCAAAGAGTCGGTCCTGGTATCGGACTTTCTACTTCGATAGTGACGGCGAGGTGTCACGTCAGCAAAGGCGGGAATGGGCAGCTGATGACGTCAGGGCGAATCAACGGAGGTCCCAAAGAAGCATCACGGGCGATAACGGCCGAAAAGACAAATACAGGACCTCGAGATCTGTTGCGATGGGAATTCGGCCAGAGGTTCCGTTGAAATTGGACAAGTACAATGAATGTGGAGTGCTTATTTTTCGAAGTGGTTCGGGCACATACATCCCGGATTCTGTCGCCAATCTAAGCAACTCCGGAGCTCCACTTTTTTCGTCTGACAGTATCCAGGACAGAATTTTGCACGCGGAGAAACTTGACTAAATCAAACCTCAGAAAAATGGCCATTTGCACACATGCGTGAGGAAGAGAAGCGACACTCGAGTAACAAGGCTCCAAATGCACACGGATATCCATACAACACGTTACCCGAGTAAACGTACGGCTTCAAGACCAAACCCATAAGCAAAGCAAGACCCTCTAGCGCTTTTCCCGGGCATCCCAGGCGACTCGCCTGCTGGAGGATGCTCTTGACGGCCTTCTTGCTGGCCAACGACTTGAAGAACGACTGCCCCAGGTTGGTACCGCGCAGCACGGTCTGGACCGCCTTCACGAACGGTTTCTTCCACCATTCCTGTTTGGTGATGTGCAGCATGCGCAGGCTGATGTTGAGCAGAACTAGACCGCGGACCATTTCGGGCCGGTCGATGGCGGCTTGCAAACCCGCCAAACCTGCACACATCTTAGCCAGGTTTATATTCGGAGTATAAGACTTTTGAGAAAGTTTCTTAGTGCCGTGAGAGCAGAGCGCCATGTCGAGCCGATCAACGACGGCTTGCAGACCGGCCAGATCTGCAGACATGATAATTCGGTTTATATATGAAAGATAGGCTCCGAAGTGAAATCTGGAACAGTATTTTATTATTTTTCGTTGTGCCGTAAGAGCAAAGAAACATGTTGGGCCAATCGACGGCGGCTTGCAGACCCCCCAAACCTGCAGACATCGTGAATCAGGTTCAGATGCAGATAAACAAGAAATATTGTGAAACTTGGGGCAAAGCTTCTGCCGGTTTTGTTGTGCTGTAAGAGCAACGCACCATGTGGGGCCAATAAACAGCGGCTCAAAGGCCGGCCAGACGTACACACATCAACGGCTTATGGTTAAGACATTGAGGTTTGGTTTGACTCGTGGACAAAAAGAAACGATTCAACCATTTCTGCCGGATCCATTATGTGGTAAAAGTAGAGGACTGTGTGCTGCGGTCCGTTGGCCCCTGGGATCCCCCAAACCTACGGGGGCAATTCCGCAATCTGTGGGTTCTCCTGAATGTGATTATTACATCTCATCGACAGAAGATATCAAAAGGTTCGATGACAAGTACTAACATCATTGTTAGCATTTGGGACATGAAAATCCACGTGTGGCCTGCCGATGGCCCAGTCAGACCTTAATGGCAAGTTTGGAAACAATGAAGGATTCGGAGTTTCATTGGTTTCTTAAGTGACTGACTCAGCGCGGTCGCCTTGCTTTATTGTAAGTAACGGAGCGGCGTCAGGCCGGTCGGCGATGTCGCGAGGGCGCGAAAACTTGCTTCTTGGACGGCTGAGAGACTGACGATTTCTAGGCACCCCAAAATTTGTCGCACTATATGTGGACAATCAGCAGCGGACTGAGCCTGCCCTGCCGGTCAGATTGCTTTTGTGTGAACGCATGGTTTTACATGGTTCCATCCAGTTTGTGTAACTTCAAGTCAACCGTGACAGACAAATCCAGCCACCTTGCATACTCCAGGCGCTGACTGCACTTCCTGCGCACTGTCCAACAGAAGGATGGGACGAGAAGGCGGAGAACGGCACTCACCCCCAACCGAGTTGCATATCATGAAGACGGGCCCCCCCGCGAATTGGTCACAAAAGTCTAGCAATTGCTGCGCCCATGTTTCGAAAGTGTACAGAGTGCCTTCCGGAAAGTCTCGCGGGTTCGGCTTGTCGGAGTAGCCGTATCCGAGTAAGTCGATCGCAAACACGCGGTGCGTTCGAGCCAGGTACGGCATGTTTTTCCGCCAGTGGTCGCTGCAGAGAGCGGTGGATAGTCAACCTTGTGATCTCTTGCCAGCGTAATTCACGTCTTCGAGAATCTTGTACTTGTACTTTCCTTCTCCTCTGCTTGGACCCCACTGTAGGGCAATTGTTTCGATCAAGGAGGATTTCGCTTGCTTTTATAGAGATGGTGCAATCTGCGCTTTTGTGCTCAGATGGGGCTAGCTTGCAAACAAGCCCATCTCAAAAGTCAAGCACCCACTGACGCATTCGCCACCGGTTCAATATCTTTCTTAGTCTTCTGGGTCATAACAGCATTTGATCATGTGTCTGCAAAATTGAACCCCTCAAGTTCAACCCCTGAAGCAATAACAAAGCAGGGCCACAGTCACCTTTACACCCAAAGCCGAGGACGAGCTTGGCCTGGGTTGCAACGGAAAGTTGCAGGAATCTATCACAGCCCATGTTTCTTTGACTCAATCAGGTCGACAAATCATCAAGATAACCATCAAGGCTCCATTCAATCTGCGAGCTGGGCGTGCTTACCAATTAGCACCAAACCCATGCACTAGCAAAAGAACCGGGCCGCTACCGCCAGCCTGCTGATAGCGGATCTTATAACCCCGCCACGTCCAATACCTGCAGGGAGGTTCAAATCGAGGATTGAAAAACATAGGCCACAAGCGCAGAATTTGAGGATTGGAATCCCGTTGAAACCGCACTGGCCTTGGCGAAACAGGGCGAACGATCAGGGAAGGAAGTGCTTAAGAAGATGGTACAAATGACCATGATGAATGGTGGTATAAGCAGAGTGCTGACGACGTTGCTCCCAATGTACACAAAAATGTTGAGAGGCAGTCGGCCAAGTTCTCAAAGCTGCCCGGCCCGACATTCTCAGTTCCCACTGGCAGTCTGCTTGGTGAGACAGGACAGCTTCTGAAAAAGCGGTGATGTAAAGTATTGTTGATCCCTTTGACAGACATCTCACTAAGGATAAGCTTAAAAGATTTACCATGTTTTTAAAAGGACGGGCATTCCAACCAATCTGACGTACCAAAATTCAAGATTTGCAAACTCCAATCGTCAGCGAAGCCTAAAGAAACCCACGAACCACTTTTTGGTGAACCATGCTTTTATGCCCTGTGCTTTGACAAAGAGGTGCTGGATGGATGATGAGAAAGTTTTCGAATAGTAGAAGTGCAGTATTCGCAACCTCACCCAGTTTCTACTGTTGGAGTACCGGGCTCCATAACCTCAATTTTCTCGACCACCTTGGACCCATCTTCTTGAGCCAGCGCTGCCCGCATGACATTGTGCCCCCGCCGCCGTTTCCCTTGCTTGCTAACTTCATCAGTATCTGGAATCCGTTTGGAATCAAAATGGTCCTGTAACTTCTCAATGCTCGGTGTTCTAAATGCTGCCGATTTTAAGCTCTGTCTTTGAGATCTGGGGCGCAGATTGGACGGCGCCAGGTGGCACAACGGGAGAGGATCCTGACGGGCGGTGGGTTTTGTTGAGCTGCATGACTTTGAGATAGGGCGTACGAAAGTGGGCTGAGAGCACGGGCAGAATGTGCTCTCCATTCTAAACGAGCTTTTAGCCTTCTTTCAGCATGCACACAAAAAGCGCCTTCGAGAAAGAGGAGATTATGGAGCAGGCCAGAGAAAACTGCAACTCAGGATCTAGTGTAGTATATGTAGTTTTGTGCTAGCCGTTCAGGCAAAACTGACAGGCGACCCTTCGAAAGTTTCTGCAAGCAGCAAGGCTCTAGCCTGAGGTCGAGCTGGCAATGACTCTGAGCGCAGGGCACCAATGGAGTGCGACGTGGCTGCATCGTGGGCGTCAAGTCGTCAACAATTTTTGCACATGCGTCGACGTGCTTGACGTGAGTTGTGAGCCGTCCGATGATCTACAAACAAAGCATCTGGACGTCGATAAAACGGTGAGGAACATACACAAATCAAGCGGCGGTTGCAGCGACTATGAAAACCCACACTTCCTATAGCGGTACTTACACTTGCATGCTACTGCAGTATTCAATGAGGTCATTCCTGCACACGCCGAATCCGGGAACTCGCGCATATGTATCACTCCATTGGCATTGGAGACTGTCAACGATCAGAACGCGGTGAGCAAAGTGGCGCGGCGCTAGTGCAGGTTGATATCTTGATGTCAGCATAAGAGTATATTTCGACGCAGCTGACAACACGACAGGATTTGTTCCAACTTACGGCGTGAAGCCTAAAGGCTAAACTGCAAGTTGAACATTCGCATTGCCCTCAACCTCTCAAGACTTTGGGCCATCAACAATGATGCATCAGTGCAGTTGACCGGATCTAGGTTTTGGCCCGCAGTATGGATCTCGCTTTCCTCTGCCAAATTATGACTCCGAACAACTATCTACTGGTTCGTGGCCGCTTTATTTATCAATGAGTCAACAATAAGAAAACAGGGACACAGCAGTTCGAGAAATTCAGAAGGGCTGACAACTTGGGCGCAAAAGAGAGCCGCAATGTGAGACTTCTCAGCAGGACTTGTGCTTCCAGAATATCTTGCAGAACAGCTTGCAATCCCGCATCTTCAGGAAAGAGTGCGACAACTCTCTTTGCTGTGGCAGTCTCTGATTACAAAGAGGGCCCCAGAGAAAGAAACCGGAGGGACGGAGTGACGAAAAGGCGGCAACTTTCAGTTGCTTGACAGGTTTGTGAAGAGTAGACCCAGTAAAAAGGCGGCCGGGCACAAGATAGAGGAAGCAAGGTGAAAGGAGCACCAATTCTTCATTCCCTATTTTCGCTCCCCTAGTTGGGGACAGAGTCTCTGCCAATTTCGCGCAGCAAGCGTACGCATCTGAACCGCTAGAGTCAATCTGCCACACGTTCAGAAGGAGCCCGTTCCCACCCGGGCGGGCAGTGCAACTCCCCCCGGTGTTAATGGGCGCAACTCTGGGCCTGCCCAGCAGGGGGGACCGGTTGCATGCTGCGGCAAGGGATGGGGATCTAGGGCGGGCAGAAAAATGCATAGCGGAGGATCCTGCGCTTGCGAACGGGCCACATGGGATGAGCAAGGGGAACTTCCCACTGCACGTGGCGGCGATTCACGGCCAAATCGATGTGAGTGGGTTTGTTTATGTCATCTGTCTAGTTTCTGGATTGTCCTGTGGACTTGAAGTGGGCAGGTTTGTTTACGTCATTTGTCTCATTTCTGGATGATTTTGTTGATATGAAATGGGCAACGAAGGGTGCCCACGAAAATTCTTTGTTCTGCGAAGAGTAGATGAAAGCCTGCGCTCATTGGCCCAGTATGGCATCGGCCAATGAGTGCGGGTCTCAGGAGGGTGGAAGCAACTAGGCAGTCAGCGCATCACTCCGAAAAACAAAGAAGCACCGCACTAAGCACTGATGCTCAACTTTTTGCTGGAAACGAGTGACACTGCATTGCAGCCGGCATGGCATTGGGCCTTCGTAAGCATGCATGGCGCACATTCTAGTTGGATATAACTGCATACTCTGGCGGATACCCATTGCGGCGCTCGCTTCGGAGTCTCCGCTTTTCCCGGCTGCCGGACACCCCCCCAAGTGAACTAACTAGATTGCATTCTTATGATGAGACTGTTGCATTTAGTGGTTGGAGCACCTCCATGATCTACTGTAAAGGTCGTTAATACTTATGTAAATGGATTGGGCGTGAGGAGTTTTACTCTAGATTCTGGACAGTAAAGAACGCGCTACAATTGGCACCTTGCCATTGCAAAGCCTGAAGCGGTCCCGCTACGGCGCTTCATGCATTCCTGCCATTGGGCGCCTTCTCCAATGACCCACTTCCTCCGGGTTGGTGAAGGAATGCTGTTCTGATACTGACGGAGTATGTCAGCAACCTTACGTCCTGTTTCTGCACGCCTGTTTCTGCTTCAAAACGCTGTAGCTTCTGGAGTAACAATCGTACTTTGTACGCCTGTCCACGACGCAGTGAGCGTTGTTCCCGTCTTCTGAGCTATACCAGGAAACCTGCTTTGTACACGCTTGCCATTTGCCTGAGGGCACGCATGTTTCTTTTAGTCGAGGACCAATGCATGCTTTGAGGCTTTTCTGCTCTACGGAACTGTTATTGAGCTGTTTTGAGCTAGGTTCTTTAGGAAATTAGTGGAACCAGCTTTTGCACATGGAAGAAGCTGGCTTTGGCTGAGCTTGATCGAAACGGTCGCTCTCCAAAAGCGGTTGGATTTGGCATGGAAATCGAGGGGTTGCTCTGACCTGCGCATGCGCCACTAAACGAGGTGCAGCTTCCATAATTATCTGGACTTTATGTCTAAGAAACGAGGAGTCGGAAAAGGCGAAACATTGGCAAAGCTGCTTCTGTAAGTCTCGCTCACAGAGTGCCTTCTGGCGTGGAGGACAACGAAAGTAAGGGTGTGGCAATCTGCTCTGCCAACAGTCAAGCTTCACGGCCACCTTCTGTCGGCTTTCTCAATTTCTCGTTTCCTAAGCTTTTCTTCAACAATGAAGAAAATGTCCAGGAACGCTTTGACCAACCTGCCCTGAGTGCCTCTAC